AGGTTTTAAAACTCTCAGTATGGTGGTCCTGACACTCCCATGTTACTGCTAAAAATCTTCACAATGATCCTGGAAACTCAAACCTACCAGGCTAGATGGAAGGCCACATTCATTATACCTAAGCACAAGTGCGGCTCAATAACAGAAGTCTGAAACTACAGTACAATCAATATCACATCTACAGCATCTAGAATTATGGAGAGACTAGTCAAAGATAACATACTCAGGCATATGCTTGGCTGCAATATTGTAAGCTAGAACCAACATGGATTCCTAAATTCCCGATCATGTTTGACCTTCCACATAGACTTCGTTAATTTTGTAACCACTAGCCGTGACATATGATAACTAGTACTCGAAGTCTACTTTGACATTTGTCCTCTTCTCTGCATGTTTAACTGTATTCTAACTGTTATGATTCATTCCAAACCATTTATCTTATAATCACTCAAATTCCAGGAACGATCCGATTATACGATTCGAAGACGCTGGCGAACATGCTGTAAATGAGTATTCATGATCTGAAATAAAGAAGCAACTGGTTCTCAAATAGTTTTTCAACATTTTACCCAACTTACGAGTACAGTCCGCCATGCAGACACAAATGGCGCAAATGGAGAATTCCGGAATCGACCTCGGCACCATTTGATGCAGTAAAACAACCCAACATGACCTTATCTAGTTTTCGCCTCCACGATCAAATTTCTTTCCTGTTATGAAACTACGATAAGACTGCTGAAAAATGGAATAAATATATTACTGATCTCAATATAATACATCAATAATCTTTAAGCCAAGGGTGCTGATCACAACAAAGTTAAAAAGGAGAATTGGCTTCAAGCTTTATTTTTCCCTGATATCTGTATTACATTCATCTGATGTCTGGGTTTTTGTTAATGCGAAGGCAATATTTCTATATCTCTCTATGTGTTACACAAACAGACTTTATAGCAGACTGTTCCGACTGACTCTAATGACAGAAAGAAAAACCAAACTGTAAATCCATTATAAATCAAATCATGTGTAATTTATATAACAACTTATCCATGCCTGTACAATAGGTATGTTCCTGCATAAACAGGGAGAAATATATTATTATTATTAAAACAATATTTATGCATGCCTATACAATTGGTGTACCCTACACAGCTAGGGAAAAAATGTACCTTATTATATTATCTTTACTAAATATGCTTATTAATATTATGTGTAACCTATCGAATTGATGATGCCTGTAAACTGGCGTCCCTCATGTAAAAAATGAGAATATATATTATTATTTCTAAAGCATTTCACCACGCTAACCATTTGCTGCTGATACATGAGCTGAATGTCTTAGCAATATGTGACCTACTACTAGGATGGCTAAAATTATTTCTTAAAAAGAGGTCCCAAATAATTAGACCTAGGTCTGTGACTTCCGAGCCCAGCCCAATCACTTCTGGTGTATTTTAAGGTAGCCTCATTTGGTTCTTACTATTCTCACTTCATATCAACGACGTACGTGCTTGCTTCTAACACGGCAAACCACTCATTTTTGCAGATGACTTAAAAGTACCTTACACATTCCAGTGTGATAACCTGGGGTACTTCCAGAATGCTATGCAGAAGGAATCAGGTATAGTGACTGCTTGGTTATGGAATGTACAAGTCAGTCCGAACAAATGTGGCTTGGGTCTGCTTCGGCGCACTCTCAATCGACATAAAATTAACGCTTCAGTCTGCCAACCTACCCAGACTCCGCAGTGTCGTTGACGTAGGCCTCAGGGACTCTGGTGATCGAAAATCTTCTGAGCAATTGGCATCACAGATACGAAAGTCCCAACTGCATACTCAAGAACTTCCCCAACAATGAAACCAATCTCATTTTATACAAAACATGTGTAAGCCCACTATTAGAAAACTGTTCACTTAATATAAGCAGTACTTGCATATATGACAAAATTAGGGTGGAAAGTATCCAGAGATATTTCACTTCCAAACTACTTGGATCTGACCGTAAGGAAGACTACAATTCATGGTGTGAGGCTCCAAATCTTGGTTCACTTTGGATGAGACGACTTGTTGTAAACCATATATTCTTCTTTAACGTCCTACACAAAACGTCATCCTTAGACACTAAGGACATACAATTCCCACCACACCATCACCAGTGGGTCAACAATCATTGGCATATTTCTACGGCGGTTTATTAAGTTAGGATAGGCAGTGGGCTATACGATTAAAGAATGATGCCAAGAGTGGGTAAGCGGTCAGATTCGTATTTCGCTGGTAGTACTTTGTTGGGGGGCAAGTTGCCGTGCTTTAAAGGTCACAGGATGTCGTTTAGTTGTGATGTGGTGGTTATGCATGGCAAACCGTTTTAACAATCACATCAGCTACGCTCAGGTGAGTTGTGCTGAAGATCGTATACCAGTGGCGGAAACTTCGTAAGCGGTCCCAGAGATTAGTTTTGACAAAGTCTCACAGCGTTATACGGTTTTGAGCACAATTTATTGCTAATAATCCTATCAAAGTACTCACTCAACTTTCTAACTTCGTTTACATAATTCCGCCCAAGTCCCTGAGATGTTTTCAGGATTCTATTGACCAAGGCAGACAAACTGCATGTGACGACTCCTTGAAATGTCACAAGCACAGTCTGTAGTGATGGCACGAAAATGGACGAAAACAACTCTCTACAGAGTACCTTATCGAATCTGCATGTGATTGTCGCTTTCTAAATAGGACCATAAACAAGGATACTTTGATTGGAGTCCTTCCTACACCCTAGAAAAAGAAGGTTCGAAGAACTCTTGAGCTATGGGGGGTTCGAATAATTAGACCGGTTAATTTAGGAAGGGTTGGAGAGATAAGACGACCTATTATTTTGGAGCAGATACTAGGAAAACCATCGCTTTCGGAGAACAGATATATCTTATGTATTTTCATAGTCTTTGATCTGGTATCCTGAAAGTTTCATGACAAACACAGGCGTTTGTTTAAAACCTATCTGGTGCAACCAACAAGGTATTTGTTGCACTCATGTTCTAGCTGCACTTTTTATGCAGGCATAGTGCCAACATGCACGTGTTGAGGAAAAGTGGTGGGAAGGCTTCATAGGCATTACTATTTAGGACTCTTCACATGTGCAGCATTGGCAAGTGTACCAAACTACACTGCGGGAAATTAATCGTGTATGTCACCAGCCATTTATGCCAACATCATTGTTCATAAATCATTTTTGTGGGTCATTATTTACTAAGAAATAGCTAAGAGAATTTCCATCAGTGCAAACCGGTGACAACGATTCCAAAGTTAAGCTTGAGCTGTTTAAAGGATAGTTTGAAGCAGAAATGATCTATGATCCAGGTCCAAAGTTATCTCGCGTTCAACAGCGATGTCAACCCTGTAGGCTGTGCTGGTTTAGATATCATCATTAAAATCACTAGTTACGCAAGACATGGAAGAGACAGTAGTCCCTGGAAGCATGTGTGCGCAACAGTTCCGTCTAGGCTCGATATGCCTGTTAGATGTACATCTTTTGATGAAATTTCCAGCCGACCGTGGAGCCTGAAGTCTTGGTTGTTTAAAAGTGTTTGGAAGAGGGCAATAATTTTCTGGGACGCCACAGGCAGTAAGCTGCAACGACGAAAATCCCGAAGAAACTAGCCAACGAGTAAAACAGATGATCTGGACCCGGCAACTTATAGTTTATGTGATCATCAAGGGTGATATTTAAGACTTTTGCCACGAAACATGGTGCGAGAAAGTCTAAAGACAAAAAACAAAAGTAGTAAAACCAAATGGAAAAATAATACAATTCTCGATTTGAAGACAAAAGGATTCGATGGCAGTGACATGTTGGACTACAGACAATAAAACAGACCATTCTGGCTTATTACAGAAGCTAGTTAGGAGTAGTTTCGTTTCTGGATACTTCTAGTCACGCGAGGGAGAGCTAAAATCACTGACTTTTAAATACTGACATTTTAATGCTTATGAGCCTAATTTCGAGAGAGAACCTATCCGATTGGGCCACGTTATACTGGGACTAAATCAATTGTTCATCCTATGCGTTTATTTTAAGGCGTGAAAGCTTTGAATTTTCGACATCCGAAAGCATTTAATCAGAAGGTTTTTCTCATCATGGCGGCGCCATTCGATTAGGTTCATACCAGCGAACTTCGCCTTAGACCTTCAGCTAGGCACATGATTCAGTGGCCTACTCTTAAAGAATGCAAGCTGTCTTTGAGAGGGCGTTCTAAATGACTAAGCTGAGGATGTGATTTATGGCAGGTTATGTGCGGATGGTGAATGATAACGCAAAGAACTGCTTGTCCATAACGGGCATGTTAAGACCAAGAACGCGTTTTAAATCAGCTTTGGAATTTTATTTGTACAATATAGTCGACCTGTTTGGTAGACCCCTTTTTCCATGACTGGGTTTTGGCAGTGTGTCTGTGTAGGCAGCGCTTGTGCAGTAACTTTTGTGGTAGGTCGATAGCCCTTGCTACCTCACTTCCACACGAAGAAAAGAGTGGTGCAGCTAGAGCGTGCTTATAAAGTGAAACTTTGATGTGGTCCCACTAGCACCACCAGTTCCTTGGAATTTGTCACTGTCCCCCCCTGAAGATGTCTCTTCCGTCAGGAACATTTCGTTGGGTACCAGTGATTACAAATGCCTTCTTTGCATATGCGCAATGAACTTATGAAGTCCGAGTTGAAGTTTAAGCTTCTAAAATGCATTATACAAGAGAAGCTAGAATTACAAAACAGCGTGCAGAAATCACTCGATTTTCAAAACCCGTTGTGTTCAGTATGTTTAAAGAAGTGTTTCACAACCTCCTGCTTTCATATCAAATATGCAGAAACGTTTTTCTATTCTTGCATTCTGTGCTGATTTATGTCGTTAAGGTGCCACAAATATTGAATGGTTTATAAATGTTGTTGTATACACTTAGCTACCGGAACGAACTGCTGAAAATTTAAGAGTGATTATTAGGATGACCGATCCGTCATGTTGGCTCATTAAACAGAAGTTGTGACACCGTGGTGATCGATGACCTTGACTAAATAAACGATTAGTGTTTAGGCGCTAACATCTAGCAACTGGACGTTACACGTTTGAATTTCGGAGGTTTTGCTGTGTCACGTAAAGTTATTCGTAAGTATACTACACTGTATTTTCTGTTACTTGTACTATGATGCTTGGAGATAAAGTACAGCAGCCACTTAACAACCTTGAGCAAATAATCGAAATCCAGGACTGTAAAACTGTATTATTAATGAAATAATGTCATGAAGAGAATGAAAGAACTTATGGGACCGGTTTACTGTGACTGGGAGGGATGAGTTTGGGATGGAATACTGAAAAACTCAAACCTTTGTAAGCATGTGATTGACAAAAGTCGTGTAGAGTATGAGAGACAGTTAGTACTAGATTGTGTGCATAATCCAAAAACTCGTATATCAAGCGTAGGACTAGAACTGGCAGTGGTATACCGCTCCTTATAAGAAATAGTGGAGACGAGTCGGACAAAACGAAAGCTGAAAAGCTTTCCGAGTAATTTTGCGATGTTTTTTCGCCTAATCGTACCACTCAGAGGTGTAGCATGGTCACTGATATGGCCACTAAAATGCCCACAATCGTGGTAGAGGATGTAGTGATTCTCAAACTACTGTCCAAATGAAGCCAGGTAAATCACCTGAACCTGATGGACTTCACCCTAGACTGCCAATCTCCTTGGTGGACATAATACACATCCTACTCACGGTGATTTTTCTAACGTCTGTGACCCAGGCTAGGCTACCCAGAGACTGGAAAGATGCTTTTATAAGCTCCATCTTTAAAGAGGGGAACATACAGTTAGCATATAACTACTGGCCTGTAAGTCTGACCTGCATTACAGCAAAGTTATAAAAAACAGTCATAAGGGATCAACTCTTAGCTCATATGGAGAAACATGCCTACTGGCGGTGGAACAGCAGGGATTCCGACCAGGACGGTCCTGCCTGACAAAATTACTGTTAGCTAGGGAAGGCTGAGTCTAAGCCAGGGATAAGAACCATCTACTGGACGTTGTCTTTATCGGTATTAGTAAAGCATTCGATAAGGTACCTCATTTAGGTCTTCATAGTAAGCATAAGCGTTTTGGATTAGACTAACGCCTATGTGAGTGGTTTATTTTTATTTATTCTGAATTTTTAAAAAATTTTTTTTGACCACTTGATGGATAGAAGGCAGAAGGTAAGGGTTAATGATGCACTATCAGGATGGAAAACAGTACTAAGTGGGGGTACCTCAAGGAACTGTACTCGGCCCCCTGCTATTCCTATTAAACGTAAATGAATTACCGGAAATTCTTACCTCATCTTCTTTACTATTTGCGGACGATATTAAGATATGGAAAACCACAAACGATGATAGGTTGGCACTACAAAGCGATCTAGATAAATTAGCTGAATGGACTAACCTTTGGAGTCTGGAAATTAATTCCAGGAAAAGCGCGGTAATGCGCCTAGATCAGAAATCTTACACGTCGTACTCTCTAGGGGACACAGAACTGCCAGATGTTAGAAGACAAAATGACTTAGGAATTATTGTAAGTCATGACTTGAAAACAACGGCAAATTGTAATGGAGCCGCAGTTAAGGCTTTCAAATACTATGGGCACTACGAAGACCTTTCAAACGTTTAGACGAGGATATGTTCCAAGTACTCTATGCAACTCCATTTTAGTTTGTTTATTAAATATATCACACAAACTAATAATATAACTAATAGTAATAAACAAACTAATATGGAATTACTTACTACCACAGTGCCCAAGTTTTACACATATATTAATACTCTATGCAACATATGTCAGCCCCCATCTAGAATACTGCATACACGCGGTGAGCACATACTTCAAAATGAGGCACATATTCTGAAAAGAGTACAGAGGATAGGAACAAAATTAGTAAGTGGTATCTCACACCTTCCTTATGATAAGAGAATGGAGCATTTAGATCTCTTCCCATTATCATGCCGAAGGAAGAGAGGTGACTTAATTTCGGCATACCGTCTATCAAAGGGTGGTTTAAGGATTGACCTTTCAAACCTTTTCTCTCCCTCTAGGATACACTTACGAGGTCACCACAAGAAGGTGCTCAGGCCAAGGTCGAACAAAATACTTGTGGAATTTAGATTCTCTCATGGAGTGGTCAACGATTGGAACTCCTTAACTGGTTTAGTAATAACAGCCCCATCGATGAACGCCTTCGAAGCGAAATTAGATCGCAAGGTTTAATATAGGCAACGAAAGCCTTCTATCCTTATAATCTGAATCTTGTACCCCCTACTCTATTGATAGGTTGTGTTTAAATGTGTAGACTACTTAATGGGACTTCTGCAATACCCAAACCACTGAATCTCACCATAAAATTACACCCACCTGCTAATCTTAATCTAACGATTAACTAACGTGGCCTTATCCCAAACTTCTAACCCTTGTCTAGCCATTGACTTCAACTCCAGATATTAAAAGCAAATCAGCTGAAAACTCTTGAGTCTTTATGTACATGGCATTCATCAAGGCTATCTATTTCTATCTTACAGGTCCAATCGTTTGATAATATAATGGGTGCAAAGTGGCTCTATAATATACTTCTGGGAATTGGCGTCTTTTTTGTCACATATTGTCGAAATATCTTCATTCGAAGTTTAGAAACGTAATAAATTGTCTACTGGGTTAGACATGTACTTGCATCGTTTGTCACTAGTCCTCTCGACGTTTCACGGGTCTCCGTACGAAGAACAAAATTCGTTCTTGTCGCTAAAAGTCAGTGTATGTAGTTCTCGTAAAACATTAAGGACTTCGAACTCATTCAAACCACCCTTATGGTCACATTCATATATCAGCACGATTGTGAAAATACTATACAGACTTTATACCGCATGAAAGGAATAGACTATTAAGGATGGTTGTAAACCTATATTGGTACATTCCATTTCCTGTACAATAAATGCCCTGTCGTAATTGAGGTAAATAGGCAGCTATTGAATTGAATTTTTGATTTTCCCGTCGATTGATTGGACCGAAGTGCTCGGTCTCAGGTTGACATGTCGGCTTCTTGTGCAGATGCTTCGACGATGTCTGGGCATTTGATTAGTATATACACTGCTAGCCACCATCCACCAATTGTATACTAAATAGGCAGCTGCCTAAATGAGTTCCACTGATTTACAAACTTCCTAATTTGAATAATCCGACCGTTGTTTTCGGACTTTAAGGTGTCTTCACAAGTAGTTAGGTTTCAGGCGGGGGAAATAAGCAGGATAAATCGGCACTCAAATTACCACTTAGATAGGGAGTGCTAATACGAGGCCATCCCTCAACTCCCAACATATCGTGGGAGTAAATCTAGCCAGTCTCACTCTTCCTCCTATGAGAAGTTTAGTGCCATATTCCAAATGAAATTTGATATAGCCCGGTTATTACACTGAAGTGTATCAAAATAAAAAATTACAGAGCCCTCATGGAGAACCCTTAATATTTCTGGGATCCTCATATTGCTATAGAGTTCTTGCATATATTAAATTGTTTAATCAATAGGTCTAAGTCTTCTTACAAACCAGATCAACTACTGTCATTGTGTGAAGCATAATATCATCAGCAAACATTTGACAAGATTTAGTTCTCTATGGTATCTCATTTACATTAACTAAGAAGAGATGACGGTTTAGAAAAGTACCTAGTGGCACACCGCTCTTTACCTCTCAACATGGTAACAAGGCAGTATATTCCTACCCTGTATCTTCTTCCCCTCGGGAGGTACTGATTCCAGTGTCTTACCATTTTAAATTTCAAAGCTACTCTGACACTTCAAAAATCTATAAATTTAGCATCCTCAGGTCTGTGAACATTGTCTTGTCTAACCCATTTTTCCTTCCTCAAAAGGGTTGATTATGCAGGAGTGACCTGCTCATACTTTGGCTAGAAGTTTATTACCCAGCATGCTGAATAATAGCACGGCTCAGAATTCTCTGTAGTAGTTTAACAACAATATAGACTAGTGGAATGGTAATTCGTAACCAAATTTCTAAGACTGGTTTTGGAGGTTAGATTGATCATGGCGTCCTTCTTGTGTCTTGGAAGTAGACAGACTCAATGACATGTTGAACAGCTATCGTTCCAGCCAGTGCTTAAAGTATCATTGAAGAGTCCATTATGGTCAGTGGACTTATCAACACTAAGCTATAGAAGCGTTTTAAAGATGGTTTCATTCCTGTGTAGAACTTTCACTCCTAAATCGGCTCAGAGACTTTACTGAAGGTGCCTTACGGTCCGAAGATAATGCTTGACTGAAGTAAATTGACCAAGACTCAACCTGGCCATTAACAGAATAAACTGGAATCAACCAATCATATTAGTGGTACAAGAAAAACACTGGTAAAACTACTATACCTAAAAAAGGTCGTGGTTATGTACAAATACCTCAGAGTTTTGTCATGGGAGTGCCAATCATAAATTTAAGTTGCCTATTATTATTTTGACATCATTGAGTGGACAGCTGTAGTTTATTGTCCCTAGGTTGTTTTCCTAATATCGGCTTGAACCACTTTTCTTTGTTTGCCAACTCTTTAACCACTGAAAAATCTAGTTGAAAGCAGTGTAGGCTGTATTATCCTGAATTTTATTTTGAAATGTGATCGACATTAGTTTTTTTCTTGCACATCTTCATTAGATTTAGTGCTATAACTGCTCTAACTTACACTGTTTTTAACTTTTCTAGTTCATACACCGTCTACTTGGGACTCAGGCCTCCCATCTGTTTACCAAATACTTTTGAAAGTTTAGCGGAAGCCACTTGTAAAACATTAGATTCTTACTGACTGGATTAATGGATGGTTTTGATGGAATGACTGATGAAGAAATCCATCTGAAAGAAGCTCTTATCCGATCGCTGAATGAGGAGGGTATTTTGCCAAAGATTCAAGTACCCGTGTTGTGTGTAATATTATTGCTAGGCTCAACTGAAGGCAGCCGTTTATTTGGCTCTGGAGAAGCACAATTACGCTGAAGGATTATCGTCTTTGAACCAGTCCACTCGGGCATTTTGGTCAACGGAAAATGGTATAGTGTATCCAATTCATATCTCACTCATTTTTAGCAAGGCTTGATCATCGCTTCACTCTTAGTCGATTTTATGACCGTTATGAAACTCGAAAACACACTAAATGTTCTAAAGCATGAAGCTCAAATGGTTAGGTGTTATCTCTAATTTCTAGTGTGTAGGAACAAATAAGGCTTCTGGATAGTGATACATTAACATCTCTTCTGCCTGTTGGGCGAACATCGGAGAACTCTTCAGTTTTACTTAGTATGGTGGAGACATTGAAAAATATACGAAGTTCCAAAATGAACGATACAGGCAAGTTGATTTTTTCTGTCATTTACAAATTGCTGGGATCAGTTGATGAGTAGGTTCTGATAAAATGCATCCAAATCGGTACAGTTTTTGACAGCTGTGGGATGACTGTTGGCTCTCGTTTCACAGTTCCAAATCTCTCATTTTCTGTCTATACGGCTAAAAATGGTGTCAATGGTTGTCGCGAATGTAGCGATTGAGTCGTGGTTACTTGCTAATATACACTACTTATTATCATTTTAAGAAATGTATACATTTTCTACATTTACAAGAAGCTAGGTGATGCTTATCAAAATAGACCTACTCTTTAAAATTGTGTGAACTTAGTCTTTTGCCACTAGTTTCCTTTATTGACTTTGTAGGAGATCAGACTACTGAGTGATAGTCAACTAGACAATGAACAGCGGTGGAGGGGGGTTATACTTGCCACTCAAGATTGAAGTAATTCATTTGAAGAACGTTTATTGCTGTCATAGTTACTCAGCAACCACATATTTGCCGATTTAGTTGGCAGTGAACCACATATGTGACTAACCAAATCTAGTTCGATAAATTGGAGTTTGACATTGTTATTTGCCAGTGCGATTAAATGCCTTACATCTGTATCTTTAAATGTAAATCCTAACACTGGGGGAGGGACATTGTTGACTCCATTACCATTCTCATTTGTTTGTTTTTATTTTATACCGTTAGAGATAGGTTGTCATGATTTCCTCTACCAATGCTCTAATTTTGTAATTTAAGGACCAATATTCAGTTGGTTCCTGACTTTCGAAAGCTGCGTTAGTTGATATATTATTATATAAGCTTGTTACAGCAAAACGAATGATTTTTTCGTCCTTTTCTATCCGAAGAAAACAAACTAGTATGGAGTTACTCGACAGCATCATTTAGATTCCTTTGTTACATTCCAAAACTTAGTGTTACCGTAAACAGGCTTCTCATGTGTCAGGCCTTAAGCTACACTTATTGCTTGAGACTGAAGTAAATTAACATACTATGAACACACAGGTTGTCTTAGTTTTCGAATGTTTGGGATGTAATTTGCATTTGTCAAATTTAAGATTATACTACAGGATTCAACTACATCGACACCTAGCCTAAAGTAAGGGAGTGAAATGGTGGAGCATGTTGACCACTTCACTTATTTCGGAAGTTACATCAACCCCAATGGACTAATTGCTGACAAAATCTGAGCACAAATACAAAAGGCTTGTGTGGGATTTCCCAACTTACGTCGCCTCTGGCGTAGACGTGACATTTGGCTATCTATCAAAGGACGTGTGTAGTGTAAGATAGTTCATTCCGTCCTGCCTTACGGCTGTGAGACCTGGCCATTGAAGGTGGAAGACATGAAAAGGCTAGCTGTCTTTGACGTTAAGTGTCTGCGTTCTATCTCCCGTGTGAAGTGGTATAATAGGGTGAGTAATATTGAGGTTAGACGTCCAGCGACAAGTATGGAAGGAGAGACAATGGATGAGCCTGTGAAGCCATATTGATTGAGATGGTTAGGACATATGTTACGCATGAATAGCCATTTGCATATCCATCAAAACCTAATCTTTTCCTGTGTTACTATTCTTTCTCCTTCAATCTTCTGCTTATCTGAGTCATTTTTATCTCTTTTTCGTGCTTTCATGTTTCATGAAGTGTAGCAACTTGAACTGCTGCACTTCTGTGCAAAGTTTATGTCGAAACTCAGTCAGTCAATAATCATAAGCTGTCTCAAACTCTCAGGTTGTTTACTGTTTTTATTGAAGTCCACTTTTCCTGTTGACAGTATGAGGTGAATTTGCAACATAAAATTTTACGCTAAGTGCAATAGCTCATGTAAAAAAGTGAAAAGAAGCTAAAAGGTAAATCTGCAGGAGAAAGAATAGTTACATGCATGCACTAATACAGAGTCGCATAAAAAGATGGGATAAAGCTAGATTTCTAAGAAGTAAATATAGTTAAGTGAAGGGAGAGGTTGCTTACTGGGTCGCCTTTAATCGAATCTACACCTGATATATGTCATAGGAGTGACACAACACCAGAAATATTGAAAATGTTATTACCACGGAAAACAAGGGGCAAGAAATTATATGACCATACCAACAAAATGTGAAAACCTTGATATGATTATGCTCAATACATGGTCCTAAAATGTCACCAGGGAATATATTACTGCAATACTGGATTCTATCAAATAAAATTAGTGTATTGTGGAACTATGCTCTACCACACTGTTCATAATGTATCTTTATATCACCAATAGTGAGAACCTAATGGGTCACGAAAAGCGACTACATCTGCTCATGTTACCAACAGTCTCCAGATGTTAATTCCCTTTTGACCGCCCCTAGCTCTTGTCGAATTCCATTTTTTGTTGCTTGATATTACTCAATGGTAAGGGTCGATGATTTGATGTGCGTAAAGAGTGACGTAACCGTCTCAATCGATTAACAGCAATATGGAGTGGATTTCATTCAGTTATTCAATGTTATTATTCCTTAGGTTACTTTCCTCCTTTTACTCATTTTGTTTGATATCGCTAGGCGTTTTACACCTTTCATAATTTCATTAATGCAACGTTCCGTTTGTTGTATACTTCTAGATTCTTCTTCGACATCAAACAATTCACGCAAAAGGTATGTGTCTTCGAGTTTGTCCTAAGTGTTGGTTACTATTAGTTTGTCTTTAAATCCGGTAAATTTGATTAACTTATTTCTCACTTTAGGTTGAGCAGAATACCTGTCTTACAGAATCGTGTGACAAGGTATCATCTCTAGTTTTGCTTCTATGTGACTTTCTATTTTGTGTTATTGTCTTCTCTCCGTAAAGTATGCTGTGCTTGGCATTAAATTCTTGGATTCCTAAATTGCTACAATAGCATTCCTTTTATCAGCATGCATGCAAGCGTTTGCGAGTTTATTTCGGAAAGTATAAAAGTGTGAGGTGTTTTGTGTGATTCAGTCTTAAATCTCACCCATTGATAAATTTGAAATAATTCCTGTTCAACTACATTGTTTTGATGTAGGGAAACTTCCGAATTTCAATAGAATCACTTTGATTTAATTATTTAGTGAACACTGATTCCAAAGTCATGTGTGACTACTAAGTCAGTTTTTAATAAATAGTAGCCTCTACTCATACTATCTGATTTGCCTAGGTTCTTTCTGCCACCTGTTTTCTTTATGAAGAACGGCAGATTTGTTTTTTCGACCAGTCAGCTGTACTTTTTTGACGTCTAGTGGTTTTACAATGTTTTATTGCATTTTGACAGACTATCTAGCAGTTTAATTACTCTAAGGAATGTACTACAAAACCTGTAATTAAAGATAGGAAGTAGTGAGGCTAGAAAAAATAGCTGCACTAATATTTAGTGAATAAAAATGAAGTTATTTACAATAAAATAGTCTACCTTCGACAGGTTGGTGAATGATAGCGACAAGGTAGTCAACGAAATTAAAATACTCTTGAAGATCCAAAAATCCATATTCAACCTGTGTCAAGCCACCAAAATTGTTCCAATTCCTCATTGACGGGAATTCCGTTAATTGTATAAGTTTTAACTGAGTAAATCGTGGTGTTATTCCGCTTATTTCGGTCGACTACTTTTTTCTGTGTTGTTGGAAAGCATATCAACTTTCAACGGTTCCCTTTTCCTCAATTTTCTACTCCGTTTCATGTATCATAAAATGGTCTGATAAAGCGATTCAAAAATTTTAATATATTTCTGAGCGATTAACCTTATTAATGAGCATTATTGGAGTGCATCGTGGACTCACTTCTGCTTTGATAGTCATCAGGTAGTGTCTCCGTGAATAAAAAAAGATATATTTACCCGCCACCAAAACCGCATTACTTGTGGCTAAATTTCAGACTAACCATTAGGACTACATGTACTATGCAACAATCAACTTTGTTAGAACAAGACATATAAGCGAACAATATTGTTTTCAATTAGATATTCTCCAGGCTTTACTCTAATTTACATAGACATATATATAAAATTTTAACCAATGACGGTGATTTAGTGGATCAAACAATAATAGTAATCATGAAAATAATAATAGTGTGGTAAATGTTTTGAACGAAGTTAATAACGATGATTATAATAATAACAAAATATTGTTAATAAGGCTTATATAGGTGATAAGAATAACAAAGTTAGTATATGCATATATGTAGACAATTCAATAAATAAATAAATTAGGTCAAATCAAATGGAACGATAATCAGAGTTTAAATAAATATCATAAAAGTACGAAGGAGAGGGATGATAAGAAAGGGTGGGAGGGTTTTGAATAGAATTCACCTAGGCCAAGGGAGAGACAAAGGTAGAACAAATTTCTTTTGTATACAAAGACTAGGATTGTTCTCTCGAATTCCCATAGCTTCGGCTAAGTGTAAAAGACGGGTTCTGATTCCGTTCGAAAGACTTGATGGAATGCGGTAAATAACTTTGAAAGCACTATTTTTGTCCACTTGGTGACCACTATCAATCAAATGAGCCAAAATAGAACTTCGTATGGACTTTATTTGACCTTTTCCGAACCATGAAGGAAGATGCTCATTAATGCGTTTGTTAAGCTGTCTAGTTGTTCGGCCTATATAGCTTTCTCCACAGGAGCAACTAAATTTATAGATACACATGGAAGTGGCACAACTAGGTAACTTATCTTTCACTTGAGCAATCAAAATTGGCCGGCTGGAAAATGACAAACAGAGGGTGGCGGCAGTATAAGTCCGTTTTATCGCTCTCGATAATCTCTGATGTAAGACTTCACTAGCCACGTCCCCATTAAATTGCAGTTTGATGAACAGTTGTTTCTTTTTAACTGTTATCGGTTTCTCTTTATTGTACTTAGCATTCATGTGTCTCCTGACAAATCTACTAGGATAACCCATTTGGACTAACGTATTTTGGATGTATCCTAGCTCATTCTCTAGAGAGTCATCTGTACAGATGCGTCTTGCTCTATTCGTCAGGCATCTGACCAAATTGATTTTGTAACGGATTGGTACATAACTGAGGAAATGTGTATATTGTCCTACAGATGTAGGTTTTCTATAGACATCTCTCTTTAGTGAACCATCCTCTCTTCTGCTCAATTGGACGTCAAGAAAATGTAGTCCACCATCATATTCTTCTTCACAAGTGAAGATAAGCGATGGATGTGCATCGTTAAACTTTTTTAACATTTCATTCTTGTCAGCTTTCACATCAAGAATAATAAAGGTATCATCAACATAACGAAAATAAGAATCAGCTTTTTCTATTACTTTTTTCAATGGACCATTTTCAATCTTGGCAAGAAAGAAATCTGCTAAAATTGGCCCCAACGGAGAACCCATGGCAATACCGTCGATTTGCCTGTAGTAAAGGTTGTTAAATATGAAATGTACATTCATAGTACATCTTAAAAGCAACTCTTTCAGACTACTAACCGGTATTCCGATGTCGATCTGTTTTTCTAGTATCTGTTGGCATATGAATTCCACAGTCTCCATAAGTGGTACATTGGTAAACAGTGATGCTACATCGAGGGAAAGCATTTGCTTTCCATTTACATTAATATCATCCACGTTAGCAATAAATTCAAAAACATCTTTAACACTATGACTTACTACCATCTTGTGTAATGGTTGGAGGAGTTCACCTAGCCACTTTGCCACTCCATGGTAGGTAGAGTTTGACATATCCAGGACTGGACGAAGAGGAAGTCCTGGTTTATGTATTTTGGGCAGACCGTACAGACGTGAAGTATTACTTCCAGTAGGTTTAAGACGGTTATAGGATGCCTCTGAGATTATTCCGCTTTTTCTCAGTTCCTTAAGCGTGTTGGTTAACTGCTTTTCAGCCTTTCCGTCCAGATCTATTGGGTTAATGAGGTTTTGGAACTTCGTTTCATCCTTTAGAAGCGAATTCATTTTGTCAACATAATCACACTTATTCATCAATACTACTCCGTCTCCTTTATCAGGTCTACTGATTATAATGCTTTCATCGTTCCTTAACTTTCTTAGGGCTTCTCGATGCTGTTTAGTCAGTAAACTCTTACTAGAATGACTACTGTTTTTATACTGTTGACAGCTGTCGACTAGTGTAGTTTTGAACCTAGCGACTTCATCGTCTGATGTTGGGGTTAAATCTTTCGTTTGTAGGAGGAGTTTTCAAACTGGATGTTGGTATCGAGTTGGTTGACCTTATATCCTTGGTCACAAAATCTAGGACCCAATGATAAAGCTTCTAACTGTAAAAAAGTAATAGAAAAAGCTGATTCTTATTTTCGTTATGTTGATGATATCTTTATTATTCTTGATGTGAAAGCTGACAAGAATGAAATGTTAAAAAAGTTTAATGATGCACATCCATCGCTTATCTTCACTTGTGAAGAAGAATATGACGGTGGACTACATTTTCTTGACGTCCAATTGAGCCGAAGAGAGGATGGTTCACTAAAGAGAGAGGTCTATAGAAAACCTACATCTGTAGGACAATATACACATTTCCTCAGTTATGTACCAATCCGATACAAAATCAATTTGGTCAGATGCCTGACGAATAGAGCAAGACGCATATGTACAGATGACTCCCTAGAGAATGAGCTAGGATACATCCAAAATACGTTAGTCCAAATGGATTATCCTAGTAGATTTGTCAGGAGACACATGAATGCTAAGTACAATAAAGAGAAACTGACAACAGTTAAAAAGAAACAACTCTTCATCAAACTGCAATTTAATGGGGACGTGGCTAGTGAAGTCTTACATCAGAGATTATCGAGAGCGATAAAACGGACTTATACTGCCGCCACTCTCTGTTTGTCATTTTCCAGCCGACCAATTTTGATTGCTCAAGTGAAAGATAAGTTACCTAGTTGTGCCACTTCCATGTGTATCTATAAATTTAGTTGCTCCTGTGGAGAAAGCTATATAGGCCGAACAACTAGACAGCTTAACAAACGCATTAATGAGCATCTTCCTTCATGGTTCGGAAAAGGTCAAATAAAGTCCATACGAAGTTCTATTTTGGCTCATTTGATTGATAGTGGTCACCAAGTGGACAAAAATAGTGCTTTCAAAGTTATTTACCGCATTCCATCAAGTCTTTCGAACGGAATCAGAACCCGTCTTTTACACTTAGCCGAAGCTATGGGAATTCGAGAGAACAATCCTAGTCTTTGTATACAAAAGAAATTTGTTCTACCTTTGTCTCTCCCTTGGCCTAGGTGAATTCTATTCAAAACCCTCCCACCCTTTCTTATCATCCCTCTCCTTCGTACTTTTATGATATTTATTTAAACTCTGATTATCATTCCATTTGATTTGACCTAATTTATTTACTTATTGAATTGTCTACATATATGCATATACTAACTTTGTTATTCTTATCACCTATATAAGCCTTATTAACAATATTTTGTTATTATTATAATCATCGTTATTAACTTCGTTCAAAACATTTACCACACTATTATTATTTTCATGATTACTATTATTGTTTGATCCACTAAATCATCGTCATTGGTTAAAATTTTATATATATGTATATGTAAATTAGAGTAAAGCCTGGAGAATATCTAATTGAAAACAATATTGTTCGCTTATATGTCTTGTTCTAATTTTATAAATGGGAATAATTAACGATTTTTTCTGTTCAGAATTTGAAACGCGGTTGTTTGATGTTAGACGATTCCATGATCGTCATAACCCTCACAGTATTATCTGAGTTTGTCAAAACCATGAAGTTTGTCTTACAAAAAGTAGAAAATTGAGTTCCAAGTAAGAAAAGTGAGTCATTAGGAGAAGTTACAAATGTCTATCACCTGAAATGGTTGGGACACGTTACACGTGTCTACTCACTGTTCCTCTACCTTAATGATGATTTGTTAGCTACTGTAGCATTAGATTGAAATAAAGCTAAGGGTGATCAGACCAAGATGTGGCGTCAATCGCTGATGCTATTCGTCGTGTGGGGGAGGTATAGATCTCCTTGTTTGTACCCTCTGTGAAAACGATTCATGATTAGAGATCAGATGATTTTGCAGTGACGCAGATATACGCATTCATACTTCATCTTGATTGTCATACTAAAGCCATATTTCATTGCGTGATCCATCTTATTGTGTCTTAGGGTATTGTACGGTCATTGATTGTAATATTTCCGTTTCCTTCTGTATGGCTCTTAAGAATGGCAACTCTGCAGAGTCGACCACGACGGCGCCAATGTACTTACAGTATCGCTGAAATTGTATCCGTTCCCTCTGTTCTACGTTAAGTTATTATCTGTCACGTATACACTCATTCATTCGTTTTCAAAATACTGTGATAACATGTGTTCATTACGTTTGTATTTTCGGAAATGAAATAAATTAAATTGAGAGATTTGTTTTCGGGTTCCACTTTGATTCATCTTCATGTTCCATGTATATGCATGCTCTGGTTTGCTGTGCTTTGTTGTGTTACTTAGCTTTCCTTTGAACAATACGCTTTCTGTAGCTTTTTTGTTTTAGGTTTAGTATTCGTTTACTATTTTTTAAATCCTAACCAGTAATACATTTGGGCTATCTGATTCAAACTCTCAACTTTCTTCAATCAAAAGATTGTAACTTTATTTTTTTACAGTCTAGTTTTATTTAAAGTAACATTTTTTGACTTGTTAGTAGCCAGTGGTTCTACCTTAAATCGTGATTATATATGCAAACATGTGTATGCTTTAATCACATCTCCACAAAGTGTTAACTACTAGGCTACTCGGGCTGCAATACACATGATCCCACTGGAGATTGAACCCAAGACCTTAAGGTTACAATGGGAGCTCGTTGACTATTCAGCCACCAGGAGATGTAGCTCCTTGGCTTAAGCAATCGGTTTTTGGCGAATGAATCACGGGTTCGAGTCCCGTCCCGGCTGCTTCAGGATGAGTAACTGGGTAATGTTATCAGTCCTCATTCAGTAAGTGTGGCTATAAGAAAAATATGTTCCAGGTTACTGAACTTTAACAACTGAATATTTTTTTCAGTAGACATGTAACATCATTTCATTTAAAGTCAGATTTCGATAGTGATTTTAAACTTTTGGTCATTATAACATTGCTTTGACGAAACACTTGGAAAATGAAGAGTACATCGGTCAATTGCAACTGATATTCTTCATACTTATGACGCTTCAACTTCCTTTACAACTCTGCCGCAAACGGTTTTTCTTTCTTACTAGGTGACCATTTTATGCATCTATTAGAAATATTTGGAGACACAGCTTGGCAACAGCATCGGTGCATCTATTCCACCGACATTATTATGTAATTTCCTCTTAGTTTGATTTTAACTGGTTAAATGACATTTCTCAGTTTTACAGCATTCACCGCTTAATGTGGTAGTGCAATTTAAAATAAAAATATAGCCACTATTAATTGTAGGAAATCGTGGCAGTATCTGATGACCGATTCCTACTATCTTCATTTTTCCCACAAACTTTTACTTTAGTTCACGATCTCAGGCATCTGAAGAAACGCTTTATAATACAAGCCGTAGGGGTGATAAATCATCCAATACGAATGAATACGCTAAAATTCATCAAGAATCTTCGTTTCAAGAACCAGTCAACAATTGTAGTAACAGACTGCAAATGCGTTCACCTACTCATGGTCCTCGGAAATTTTGCGCCCCTCAAGTCCAAACTCACCAGTATCGGGAAATATTAGCAAGTCTGAATCCACTGGAAGGTCAAATTCTGGATACATTTCTCCGTCAATAGTCAGAGTATACGCACCTGTAAAAAAGCAGTCTCCAATAAATGATGACAAATCGGATGTAGATGACGATGATGATATCGAAGAAGTGTTGAAAACTGAAGAATCCGTAAGTTGTTTTTGTTGCATAACAATATATAGTTGACATTATTACTTAGCTTACTTTATTTAGTACAGTTTAAACACAAATCTTGGGCACTGTGATAGAGTATAACTCCACTCTGTAGAACATTTTTATTTTAATAAGGTCTCAGTTTTATACAGTAATATTTATTGATGACGTTTCGAGCACGATTTACCTCTCATAATCATATCAAAAGGATCTGACATGAGCAGAAAATCATGCTCGAAACGTCATCAGTAGATAATACTGTATAAAATTGATGGTTATGATGAATACTGTATAAAGCCGAGACTATTTAAATAACATTTTTTTCTATAGTGGAATTTAAACGCAAATGTTTCTTCTGTTGGTGGATGAATTTTTTGTTACTCTTCTGAACAGTTCATCAAGTGAAGACTGTGTGAAAATGCTTTATAATAATGATCGTGTCGATAGCAGGGAACCAATATCTAAAATTATTAGACAAAACTTAATCGCAGTGGGAATTATTGACTGAGTATGACAAAGTGAACTCAACAAAATGCCAGAGAATAATTTATATGTCTTGTCTCTGTGCCTATTACTACATTTAGATAGTTTCCAGGGTCTTTAATAATGATTAAAAGTATAGGAGGACAAGCAGCATGTATCACAAACCTCGCTTCAGAGGAAGTTACGTTTCACTGTAAATGCACATTTTCCATAGCTTGTAGACCTTTTCACTTAAATTGGAACTAAAGTTTTCATGATATTCAGTGTATTCAGGAAACGTAACTCTGTATTCAGACAAACTAATTAGTTGTTCAAGTTGCTATCTTCACATCATAGTGAAGGCAACATATAGATGGAAACGGAAATATTACAATCAATGACCGTACAATACCCTAAGACACAATAAGATGGATCACGCAATGAAATATGGCTTTAGTATGACAATCAAGATGAAGTATGAATGCGTATATCTGCGTCACTGCAAAATCATCTGATCTCTAATCATGAGTCGTTTTCACAGAGGGTACAAACAAGGAGATCTATACCTCCCCCACACGACGAATAGCATCAGCGATTGACGCCACATCTTGGTCTGATCACCCTTCGCTTTATTTCAATCTAATGCTACAGTAGCTAACAAATCATCATTAAGGTAGAGGAACAGTGAGTAGACACGTGTAACGTGTCCCAACCATTTCAGGTGATAGACATTTGTAACTTCTCCTAATGACTCACTTTTCTTACTTGGAACTCAATTTTCTACTTTTCTAAGACAAACTTCATGGTTTTGACAAACTCCGATAATACTGTGAGGGTTATGACGATCAAGGACTTGTCTACTACTTAATTGTTTTATATGATTTGCATGATGGTTAGAGCTGACTATCTTACATCAGTACTATCATATCGTACATGCGTGCTGTGGCTGTCATCATCTTGGGCAACCCGGTGTTCTGACGAAACAACCGGGCTTTCAGGAATCTCTTTCTTCTCTACTTTCCGAGCTTAATTATAAGGTACAATTCTGTTTGATATCAACTCAAGCTGTTGTGGTGTGGCTTTCAGTACGTTGTTTTTTTCGAATGAGGGTAAGCGAAATTCCAGAAAAACCAACGGGAGAATAATGAAACCTGGATGTTGGTTTCAGCAAGTACCGTAGGATGGAAGTTACTAATCAGAAAGTAGACTGGCGGTGTTCGCTGCGGTTTGAAAATCAAAATTGTTCATTTCAAACCAAGTGCAACAGTTAATCGTTTTTTCTGAAAATGAATGGAAATCTATTTATAATTATTCAGTTTCGGTTGCCTGGAACGCGGAGCTAACGCTGCTTCATTGGTCGAGAAAATCTCCAGATGAATAATTCAAAGCCTACTGTAGAGTATTCTGTGCATCATTGTGTATAAACGTGGGCTCCGCTTATAAGATAAACGATAAATCTAGATTGACACATGCCGTAATACAGTACTTTGACGTGAACCATTCATGATCTTTGTGTGTAATGAGATCAAAATGTTTCCTCTGAAACAATTATCAGAAATGGATCTTGTTTCCTAACTGACTGAGTTTTAACTTAGAACTTAACACAGGAGTGCAGTAGTTTACGTTGCCGCATTCCATTTACCACACAAAGCAAAGGTGGACAAAAAAGAGAAAAAGAAATGTGAAAAAAACAACACCTGTAAGAGCATGAGACCTCAAAGACTCGTCTTCACTGCACTTTCCCCTCCTCCAAATTAGGTCTAGCGAGCTGTTGTTGTTAGATGGAAACTCACTTGTGGAAGTAGTGGGGAATTTGTATGCTGTTGGAAATTCGATACAGAGTTTCTGTGTTAATCTCCCTTGTTCCCCTTATAACTGCAACTGGAGTTCACTTTTACTGTAGTGGTAAAAGCTTGTGATAGCACTTATTTGGTTATAAATACCAATGTTTATCAAGAGCAGACAAAAATTGTTTTGACTAAAATATACGTTTGTATGAGACTTGAAATTGAGTGATGTTTAGTGATAAACTGGTTTTACTTTTGGTGTTTGCGTATCTAACTTCATAGTGTTAAAGATGTTGTTAGGTACTAAGTGTTCTAATATCGTTTCAACAGTAGACATGTTGCTCTAACACGTTATTACTTTTATTTTGAATAGTTGTATGATATTTTGAAGTGCTCACTATTCTTTCACTAAGTATTAGCGATGATTTTATCTTCACATTCTCAACTATTGAATCTATTCATAAAAGGGTTGTATTATTTTATAATGCCGCATATTTAATGCAAACTCGTGATTCTTAATTGTTTCCACTAGTTACTTTTGCTTTTTAAGATGAAAATTATCCTTCAGCACTAGTTATCACAGCCATGCCAGGTGTGTGTGATAGCGCTTCCATGTAGTTTCAGTCAGAGAGCTTATGCAACCCACCATCGTATTTCTTGAAATGTCATTATGTTTTCTGTTGATTTATTTACCTGTAACTTCTAAGCACCATGATATTTCTTTTTCCTACAGGTGGCGGATGATGCGGTCGACCAGACTGTTGATTCAGAGCAGAGTTTGGGTCTGGATTATGTTGAAGAAGTGCAGTCATCACTCAATCCTGTTCTACCGACGCGTTTAGTTCAATGACTAGGTGATCCCTGTTCTCAGTATTCTTAGCTTCAAAGCTGTTTTGAATTTATGTATGCATTAACTATAATTCGAAAATGTATCTTTCTTTAGCTTTTCTGCTATTCTTGCTTTTGAGTCAAAATTCTTCTGGCGTCACTACTTTAGCAATTTTCACACTCAAATAAGAAGTCTTTTAGAGGATTATCACAAAATTTTTGGTGTTTATTTTTACTTCTGTCAGTGTATAAAAATCACAATTCCATACAGTTCAAATAAACATCTGTAGGTAAAAGAACTTCAGCCTTTCTGTAAGAACGATATAACAATGAATCGTCGTATAACTGAAATCAGAATGATATCCTAATATGCATATCAAAATAAGTATGTGAAAGTGGGATTTGAAAATATGACTGAAGTTAAGGCATTTTATAGTAATCAAATCAAAGTAATGTGGAAAACTTTTCTATGAAGGATAAAAACTTTAAAAAAAGAATCTAGTTGTAATTGCACACAACCCGTCTAAATACTATTCCAATGCACGTATTTTCAGTATATTCCTCCACAGTCGAAAAACTGTTCCACCACTATAGTAAAGAAGAAAACAGCAGAGAATAATTTTAAAATGTGGTTTCAGATCATTGGATGTCATTCTATGAAGAGCTTAGTAAAATCACTACTCAGTCTTTTAGGCATCTAAGGTATATTATAGTACTTAAAGTTCATTCTTTTTATTATTTCGATGCAAAGTATTAAATGATACAGAAAATTGGAATTTACATTTCGTAGCACTGAGCAGTTTCTTCTTGCTGAACGTCACTGTTATTTATAACGCTAAATTTGTGATGTAGTTAAACTAGGGTTGATTTTGATTATCCTTAGTAAACACATTTAGGGTGTAAACAAGGAGTAGGTTCCTGTTTAAAATAGTTGTGAACTTAACGATCAAGAATAAAATGATAATTTAGAGAAATTCTGTAATCATCCGTGAAATCACTTTGTTATGTAGATGGCTCAGTCTTCATTGTTCGTGGTTTTGTGGGACATGGTAACATGAAAGCTACATGTCAGACGACGTAAAATATGATTTCTACCATTAGCTGTAGATAGTCATATGATATAATTAGTTCATTCGTATAGAGAGTTCTGGAGGCAGATCCTAGATACCCACAGATTTATCTTTGAGATCATGTTGTGGTCATCCTAGGTCAATGGCCGGTCGTCTTCTACGGCTGTTAGTGTATATTGTTAGTGTTAGTGTGTATTGGATCACTAACAGTAGCCAGAACTCTTGCATTTCGAGCTCTAGCTATGTTTTATTTTGGAGATACGCATGCAAAACCCAGGTGTGATTATTCACGTAATCCTTCCTGGACAACGGAGTGAATATACAGAATTCATCTTATAGGTATCAAGAGACTCTTCGGCTAGTTCGCGTAGACTTGCTGATGTAGGAACAGCACTGAGTACTAGTGAAAAGTAATCATTACTTGATTAAATACCGGTAGATAGTCTGGTTGAACGGATTCATGAGTGGACGGAAAGATTGTCAACCACATCAATGTCTTCTCATAATCTCTCAATTCCCCAACCAACTGCAGTTTAGATAAGGTAAAGGATGCGTTTAGTCAAAAGCCTCGTAGTTGCTGGTGACTTCAGTTCTCCTATGGGGAAGCTGTACCAACCGGAAAACTGTTGGTGGCACATATGGAATTCCGTGCTGAAAAAGGTGACTACCTTACAATTCTATCTAGGTAATCACCCATGCCAAGTCAGCTGATTGGTTTCAGCATAAAACTTTACACAGAAGTGCAACAAAAAAGAGATAAAAATGACTCAGATAAGCAGAAGATTGAAGGAGAAAGAATAGTAACACAGGAAAAGATTAGGTTTTGATGGATATGCAAATGGCTATTCATGCGTAACATATGTTCTAACCATCTCAATCAATATGGCTTCACAGGCTCATCCATTGTCTCTCCTTCCATACTTGTCGCTGGACGTCTAACCTCAATATTACTCACCCTATTATACCACTTCACACGGGAGATAGAACGCAGACACTTAACGTCAAAGACAGCTAGCCTTTTCATGTCTTCCACCTTCAATGGCCAGGTCTCACAGCCGTAAGGCAGGACGGAATGAACTATCTTACACTACACACATCCTTTGATAGATAGCCAAATGTCACGTCTACGCCAGAGGCGACGTAAGTTGGGAAATCCCACACAAGCCTTTTGTATTTGTGCTCAGATTTTGTCAGCAATTAGTCCATTGGGGTTGATGTAACTTCCGAAATAAGTGAAGTGGTCAACATGCTCCACCACTTCACTCCCTTACTTTAGGCTAGGTGTCGATGTAGTTGAATCCTGTAGTGTAATCTTACATTCGGCTTGAGCGAACCGCATGCCAATTGTCGAAGATGGCTGTGTTAAGAAGACTCTACGTTTTGTCAGCATCCTCACCTTGAAGGATTATATCATCTGTGTATTCTAAGTCATCGAGATTATACCCTGGTAACAAGTCAATCCCTGAGTTACTGAAGTCATTTGGCGTTAATCCTAGTTGTACATCTATGATTAAATTAAATAGAAATTGGGACAGTGGGTATCGGTGACGAACACCACTTCAGAAAACAACATCATATTCGGGGCTTCCTGGAATCGGTCTACTTGTATCTAGCAGTTTGAATGAAGTAGTGAAAATCCACTGGCTTGTAGTAACGTCTGGTTTTTGTTTATCAACAGCCTTTACAACTGTATCTATAGCTGGCTGGATATTCTACCAGCCTTCCTCAGTGTGAGTCTTTCCGTCAATCTCAGATACGCGTTTAGATATTTCTTCCTTAAATAGGCACCAGTGTCTTGATCAAGTTAAGGATATCAAGGCTTCATTGCTGACTCCTATTTTATGTCCGTTCGTTCGTAAGTATAAACGTGTAGAGACGAAGGCGCATGTGTTTCAGAAAGAGCATCAGTCTTCTACCGACACTCGGCAACGACAGTTTGTCGCTATGTTATCTGTTTGATTTGATGGAGGTCTCCAGGTTAGGCAACGTCTTTCACTGTGTTTGAAGTTGATGCTAACCAGGAATAGGTGAATATCTGAAAAGAACCGTATAAGATGACCACCGTTGTCAGTCTGTTGGCAGGGAACTCCGTAGGTGCCACGAACATATTTCTCAAACTGATAACTTTCTCACTTGGGCCATGAATTTACCTGCTAAAACGACTGTATATTAGCGTTTTATTTCTCGCAGCAATCTAGATAGTTGTGGTAGAACTCACCCTTACAAACTGCGGTAGGTTGAGGCGTAGACGGAGATCATGAGAAGGCATTGACGGGTATCGCGGTCCTTCCTTCCTACGAATCCGTTTAGAAGTACAGTGAGCATGCTACTATCCTTGCGCGATCCAGTCAAGTAGGGATTTTTGTGCCCTAGCACTCAATGTTATCCCTACATCTGTGAGTGTTCGCGAACAAGCCGAAGAATCTCCTAACCACCCGTAAGGTGTATTTTGCATGTTTACCCTGATGGCCAGATGGGGTTAAGTGAGTGACCACACTTGAGTCTTGTATGTGTGTCTTCGAAACAGAACATGCATCCATGGCTTGAGATGCCAGACTTCTGATTAGTGATACCTGTTTCCCCTATTTGCCAAAGGTTCCTGACGTTAAATGCTAAAATATGAAGTTGGTAGCATGGCTTTAAGAGATTATCAGTAGTGTTTCTCAAGCCCTTGTCGCTATTGTTCGTCACAGAAGGATGGAATCAAGATGATGATAGGTAACAGATCTATGTGTGCCTTTAAAACTATGTGTAGACGGTTTTCACTTTCCCTTTGCCACATTGTGGAGGTTGGTTTTGTCTTAGGGTTGACAAAAAGGCCAAGAGGAAAACTACTTGACACCGGTTATACACGCCCTGTCTGAAATGACTTAGTGTTGCTTTTCCGGCTATGGACCACCTTAGGGTAAGTCGGAATGTACAACGTCAGGAGTTGACCTTTTCCAACTCCTATCTCCAGAGTTGAGAAGCAGCATAGGTGGTATACTGGCTATCTAATGGAAACACCTTGCTGCTATTACAGCCCTGTTCCACAGCATTACGACTTTGGCTACAGATCCCAGGTATAGTGTAAACACCTTGCACTATGCCGGTAAATGCCTTTAGTCTAGTCGCTATCCCAAAAATGTTTTTGGTATGTCAGGATCTGAAGGAACATTGATCCCAACCGGTGTAGCTCGATGGGCCATTGCGATATGCAAACCCGACCGTCACGTCAATGTAGCAGCTACCGGTCGGGTACCTCGTCAGCACTAATTTCAAGCTTAAATGGGAGCATTAGCTAAACTGACAACCGCCAACATCAAATCAGTGATAGATTCCGTGATCATTTATGATTACAACTGGAGACACATTGGAAACAGACAGCTATCAAGTCAATACGCCCCCAGCTTGATGAAAGTCTTAAGAAAGAAATGACTGAATGCGTATTTGGAATTAACAGCAACACTCATTCTGCCGAAGCCTAGAATAATATCCAGTCAGCTGTAGAAACAATGGAAAAAGCTATTGGCAACCTGAAAACAAAGGTTAATAAGCCCCCCCCCTGCCATCACATTTTAAGGATGAAGAAACTTTAGTCGCACAACTGACGGCATTGCTCAGGGAGTTGTGGGAAAATAAGAATAAAGCCATTATGATATCTATTTTTAAAAAGCACCTACACTATGTCAGTAGCACTCGAAGAGGTATAGTCACCAAAAAGCTGTATGTAAAATAGTGGCAGTTATTGTTTCACCCAGGTTTTGTAGATACATGAATATTGATTCACGAAGAGCAGACTGGGTTCTGTTCACGTTGTGGATGCACTGATCGTGTGTCTACTCTTCGTCACTTGCTAGGAAAATGTCACACATATCATAAACCAATAACTCGCATTTGCTGACATTAAGGCTGCTTTCGATTCGCTAGTCAGACTTCATTATTGGAATTGTCTGCTAGGAAAGGGTGCTCTTGGGAGGTTTATCAAAATTCTGAAAGCCATATGAGAAAATACCACTAGCCATCATCACTGTTCTGAAACAACAGTGGGATTAGACACGGTAACCTAATCTGATCATATCTTTATAACGTAGTCGTCGGTAATTTACTGGAAACAGCTTTGGAAGATATGACTGATGGTTGCACAGGTGAGCTACCTACAGAAGGATTTTTTGACTTTGAATGCATAGACTACATTGTTTTGCCTCAGTGATCCTACTTTTCCCACATTTTATGCTATGTTGTCTTTGGGCGACGCGTCTCTAGGTGTCCATATTACATCAAGTTCATGTTTGAATGAATAAGATGTCCTCTCATACACCACACACATAAAGACTTAAGTGTCCATATTATGGCTAGTTCGCTTCATTTATTTTCTAGTCAAATGATAGAAATATGAGCTTATTCAAGGCGGTCAGTGTGGTTGCTATGATAGCCTTTATGATCGTCCCATGCATCATACGTTTAAAGTGTTATCCTATTATGTTGGTTCGGAATTTCTCAGAGCAGATGTTTTCGGATAAGCATTAAGTAAAACTAATTTAAAAATTGTGCTGTTATTTTCATACTGTGGTTAGCAAGTTTACCTCAAGCCCATTTTCCATAAGTCTTCTTTAGTAACAACATCCAGAAAATCCTCTTCATCAACGATATTGTTACGGCGAAGCTGAAAAGGACACGTTACGCGTTAGTCAACGGATGATATATACATTTTAACTCAATTTTAATTTTATGGTATATCAGTTAAGTATGGTAATCTTTCTTAGGAAAAGTCAGTTCTAAAAATACATAGATTAGGTATTTAGATGGTTATCTTTTTTGACAGGATTTTTATTATTTTTCACTGAATTAACATATTTTTTTTCAGTTGCAAAATGTTACAGATTTACAAAATGATATCACCAACTGCTGATAAACACATAGATTTAATAAAATCCTGCTTATTTTAGATCGACAGTTTTGATACGTTATGTTCAAATGATTCAAAGTTTCTTATGCTTGAAATTGAAGTTACCACCTAAAAATACGATCAGCATTACTTCGTAAATAGCTTATCATTTGCAATCGGAATGCGTGTGACAGTGTTTTTAATAGCATTTCACTAGATAGTTTTACAGGAATCTTTTTATGAAGCAAAAAACAACAGTTTTGGGTTGCCAAAACAATCAGTCTCTTTAATAATTATGGGAAGAGTTATTAGAAGACAGAGATTATCTACAAGATGTGATGTATTTACGCAATGTATTTTGAACAATTAGAACAACTTTCAACATCATTTATAAAAGCGGTCAATGCCACTCACTGCAATACGCTAAGCTGATAGCTATTAGTAAAATTAAGTCCTCCCCTGTGTGTATAAAACAGTGTATTATCAGTCTTAACCTAGCTTAGTAATTACTTTCTGACTATATTACCAAAAGTAGTACTAATAACTTATCTTCCATGTTCTTGAATCCCTTATCATTCTGTTTATTTTTAATTAGCATTATATTATATTGCGCAAATACATCACATTTGTTATAGATAATCTTTGCCTTCTAATAACACTTTTCAACTACCTTTGATAGTAGTAACCAATGTCATACATCTAGTCCTTGGCTTGGTTCAGACAAGAACGAAATCTAGGTTCAAGATTTCCTGCAGATTGCCTCCAATCATCTAACCATCCAACATTTTAATATCATTAGAAAACTGGCTGAATATTTAATGACATAGTGACACCGATTTGATTGTAAAATGAATAATATTGGATATTAGACTGTTTTCGAGGAATCAAACACAATTACATTGTGGATAAGATTATAGAATTTACTAGAATGGGAAAATGCACATTATTTCATGGTATTTTAAATAAAGTAAAATTAGGATATCTGTAATTAGGTCACTCACTTTAGTCTGATCTTCTTCAGGTATACGCAGATTAGCAAACCATTCATCCAGTGTACTAAATCCAGTTTTCCAAACTATCGTGTGAAAAGAGCATATATATATATATATATATATGGCATATCTGTATATCAGTAATGATGCTGTTTTTAAAAATGAAAACCAAACTTAGAAATAACTTTAATAGCTTTCATTGTCTAACGTTACTTTGGTTGATGTTCGTACTTGTTAAAAGAAAAATTCGAATTTTCGTGTGTGTAATATATTTCTTCTTTTTAAATAACGTAGAAACCTTAATGACACACTTCCAGAGCAGCAAATACTTATAGGTAGAATTTATCGCGAACCGATGTCATTTAGATAAACATTGATAATAAGTCCTCTTTTGTGATGAAATCAGTCGAATAGCTACAGTTCATCACTTGAAAATAGCATTACAGTAAGGGGACTTTAGATCAGTCAACTATTTCCAACAGGTCGTCAGAAGAAAACTAAAGAAAAATTCTTTGACGGATGGTGAATAGTGTCTTTATACTGTGATTAGTGCTTTAATTAAAATGTATTGGCAAGCTGCACAAATCCGCAATCAAATTAACCGACACGACACCTTTTTACACTTTAAAGCATGTTCCTGTAGGGGATCAGTTGTAACCTGAGGAGCTTGATTGTTAGATCACTTATACTGGCACTAAGTAACAGGTTCAGAATTAGAAGTGAACATGAGTTGTCTTATAACTGATAAGTCTACAAGTTTAAATTCCATTTAATGAACGTTTTATATAATGGACATGCTTATTTATAGATTTTAAACTAAACACAGGAATTTAGCATACATGAATTTGTAAGGGATCATACGGAGCCATGAGACTAATTAGGCGCGGAATAATATAAAATTTGTTCAAGGAATCCAAAGAAATCAGTTGAGGAAATTTGGTGACAGCTGCATGATTAAGAAGTAGTACTATTAAGAAGTGGTTACATGGCAGTCATGGACGTTATTGCTAACAGATACCTGTGAGAAAATGAGCTTGCAAGTCTTGAAGCTATGTGAATAACTGATTTCTAAAAATTCCAAAACATCTACTCTAGTAAATAAAAACACTAATTTTATGATTACTTAAGGATTCAGTCGATAAATGCTGATGTTAGTAAGCAGAAATAACTGAATTTTCGACATAAACTTCAACTTAAGGTTCGTGTTTATGAAAATGTGATGAACCTATTAAGACACGCTGCAGTTATCTCTACTTGTTTTCCGATTATTTATAAGTGATATCATACAAATATTCTGCTGATTTCTGTAGTCATTGATATGGAACTTCACGGAATTCTATACAGTTGTTACTGCTAGTTGAATAAAGGATTCCCCCAAAGAACTACATTTTGCAGAGTGCTAAAAGAAGAGTAGACAAAAAAAACCAGTAATACGTTGTATCTGATAAACAACACCTCCCCCTTTCGATTGGAGACATGAGTCCTTTGAACTGCTAGTATCACTGCTATGTGAATGCACCTGGACTAACATTTTCGTATGGAGTTTTGTCTCAGTAAACTAAAAATATCTTATGCTAGACAGGTTTACACTGAATTGGATATGCTTTTTTTATGTAGAACAAAAAGCCTATTGATGTCACCACTTATCAAATGGTTCCAGTGCGTTAGAATGCACACTTGATTGGTATTCACTACTTAAAATCTTCACAAATGAAAGCCATCAACTGGAATAATGGTATTATATACAATATCCTATATAAAAAACGAATAAACTAATTTATATTTTATTGTAAAGTACAGGATTACTTGTAAACTTACATTTATGCTCCAAGCCTTTGTACATTTGAAAACTGGAGATAATATTGGGAAAAATGTAAACAGAAACATCCGTGATTAGTATATTCGTAACTCATAATATACAAAATTTAAAATTTGTAATTTAGTAGTACTTTCTGCGTAAATGAGGAAAAGTGACTACAGCTGAAAAGGTTCAAATCTTCTAGGGCACAAAATATCTGTTTATCTGTTTTGAGTGTACTGAAAAATAAAACAAGACAGACACATTAACATCAGACTGTTTTCACATAACCATTTGTTCCTTATTTACTCCTAACGGAATTTGTATCATACACTCATCCATTTGGTTTACTAACTGGTCTGTTGAACTTTTGTCTTTCTCAATGTTTTCCTACATGAAAAAGTTACACCTTTCTAACTCAAGTTACCTGACATTCCACCTACCTGACAAGTAAGAACAATAATAGGTGATGAGTTGAGTTTCATCATGACCGAGACATTTCTAACTTAACGTTTTAACACCTGTTAATTTGCTTATGATTTGAAAAGCCAAGAGACCACTAACAAGATTCAGCAGAATACAGAACATTTCCACTCACAACACAACAGAAAGTTGACGAATACTCCTTTTTCTGACATTATGGCACGGCTGAATGTTTATTCCTATTTCCATAGGAAGCTGTGTAAAATGCACTACTTTTTTCACAGATGATCAAAGTTCAATTTTTTCAGGATAACACAGGATATAAACATTTACAATAATCTATTTAGATAAATTACAGGTGCACATATTTGACAAAGACAGATGAGAAAAAAAGGCCCAAAGTACAAGTCATCTGGATAAGAAAAGAAACCGAGTTGAGAAATATAACAGCTAGGAAAAAGCTAATAAGAACTTATGACAGTTGAGTGAAAAAGATAATTTTACCACTTTATAGACAAATAGTATTATTGATCGATCTGGATTAGATTCTCTTTATTGATAATAGACAAAGGTCGTTAAGTTAATCTACACATGACATCTGTATTCTTTTACAGTGAATAAATGTACGAAAGACTGAATTGAACAGCTTGTCTATTCAGTTGTCTGCATATATATATATATATATATATATATATATATATATATATATATATATATATATATATATATGAGTGCGTACGTAATTTGAGAGTTGAAACAGTATGACTATGTGCATAAAATTTCATACATTCATGCGTATCAAATTTCAGTGTTCCAAGTGTTTTACCAATAATCTTAAGTATACTATAAAATCGCTTGCATATTTGATTCATTGATTGAATGTAAATTGTCTACTGTTTGTTGGTATATTCAGATAGTTGTTTTTGAGAGAAAAACAAAAAGAAAGACTTGAACACGCTTGTTCTGAGATATATTCGGTTGACTTAACGATATACCCCTTATTGGTTCAGTGGATCAAAAAAGACTTAAGAAACCTTTGAACCAATATAGGCTTATTTAAAATCTTATTTTGTCTTATATATATATGGGTATATGTCGAATGGTATTGATAATATTTAATTTAATACAATAGTATTTTATGCATTCACTCTTCAACTAAGGTTTCTAAACTGACTGTGTACTAAACCACTGTCATAGTAAAATATATTTTCCTTGGAAAAATGGTATATTCATGATTACAATAAGTAAAATAATAACTGATCTTACTTCTCTATTAGTCCACCAGCGGATGTCTCGTAAGTGAAGCCATCATCTAGTGTTTTACTTGTTCTAGATTTACCATTAAAGGAGAGAGGATTTGACTGTGTGCTTACAATTCTTCTGTTAGAATGATTAACTTCTTCAGGTTCTTCAAAGATTACTTCATTAGAAAATGTCAATGACTTTTGGGATAAAGATAAACCTTTTGTACTTTTCTTTACTTCATCTAAAATTGAGTCATTTTGAGCATAGTATAGACTAGAAGATGTTGGATCCATTGTAAAAGGTCGACTTGAGGGATTTGTAGAACGAACAAATGTTGATGAACCAAGTTCAGCTTCTGTAGTGATTTGTTTTACTAGTCTGCGATTATGATGAGTTGAGAATGTTTGGTGACGACGTAAATGAACTGAATTCATTGGGGCTACATCTGAAATGATAAAATTACGCAGACTAATATTTCCCTTCGGAAAAGTGGGAACACTATTAATTTTCAAGTGTTGGTTAGAGGAGATTTGATCAAAAGAGAAACACTGCAAATCTTGACCAGATGTTATTCAAACATCTTAATATGCATTACTTATTTGTTCCCAGTTAAGTAAACATAACATTTACACACTAGTGTACAGTTTGACGATCACATTACCGAAAAAAATTCTTTTTTTTTACAGCTTAGCAAATTCTAAAATCAGTTTTCTTTTCACGTGATTATTCGAAGAAAGATACCGAAAGGAAGACAGCTGTAAGTGAGTAATTCATTTCCGCATTTATTTTATAGTTGTCTGGTCCTGTGATTGAGGAATAATTAGCGGAAAAAATTAACAAACAGTGTTAGCTTGTAGGTTCACATAGCAACTCCAAAAAATCGGTTACAATTTATAAGACTGGGATTTGCTCAGTAAGCTGAGGATGTAATTAATGTAATCAAAATTTAGTTACTAAGGGAATGAGAGATTAATCACACACTCTTTCTGTATGCATAAGCCTGATTTGAATCTTTTGATTGATATCGCTTCGGCAAATGGAAGTAAATTTGATATCTTTTGTCTATTTAATATTTTGAAGGACTTAGAAATCTCTCCGAGATGTCAGCTATCGACTGCACTCTGAGAATATTTGCTTCCATTCAGGCACAGCTTTCTTGGAATATGTTCAGGAAACCGGATAGAAGCACTTCTTTCCGTCCTTCCAATGTACTTGCTCCCACAAGTGTACGTAATTTCATAATCACAATTGGAGGTGACATCAGCAGGGTATTTATCCAGTTTTGAGTGGTGCTGCATAATGCTATGAGTTTAGCTGCAGGGAAGCTTCTTTTTATTTCAGCTTTCAGTCTTTTGTCAATCTTTTGTGACAGTGCATCTTCTTTGAATGGGAGACAAATAAACACTTTCTGTTTTTCTATAGTTGGGTGTTTTACTTTCTTACCCTTTACTCTGTTATACTTTTGTATAGATCCCTTATTGTATCCATTTTCTTTTAGTTTAAACTATCGAGCTGACGGAAAAATTAACTAAACATATGGTGACTCCTGTACAGTTTTTAAGTGAATACAAGTAGGGATACAGATAAGGTTGAATAAAAGTGATAGTATTAACAGTTATACGTAAGTTGATAATGACTTACTGTTGATCTGATTAGTTGCAGAGGTGATGCTATCTTTGACCAATTTATCCCATGCTAATACTTCATGTGGACGGTTTACCTGACGTAGAAGAGGTGCGGCAATAACACTTGGGAGTGCCGCCAATGCTACTCGTAGATAATTGCAAACCAGTGGTGTACCTACCGGAAGACATGCATTGTTTTGTTCGGAAATTTTTGATGCATGCAAAAGTTTTAAAAATCTTCCTCCTAGATCTTCTCCTGTCACAGAATGACGTTTAAAACTTGGTGATTTTATTATTTGATTTTTGTCATTTGTGTCATTCGAAGTTTCAGCTAAGCCTTCAGGTGTACATTTATTCGCTGGAGTTTTCAGATAATTGGTAAGCTGTGACCAGCATATTCCGCCTTTCAAACTGTCGATAATCATGTCCAAAATACACTAAAATAATAGGTTTACAGGAAGAATTTACGCATTAAGAATAGTGCTAAACAAAGTAATATTCTTTGAGAAGTTGATTTAAAATTTGTCTTAGGAATGGAGATTTTTGTCTGTACTCCTTTTACTGACTACTCATGCATAGCTTTGAAATGATGTAGACGCTTATTAACAATTTCTGCACCTAGTTTTAATATATTCACCAGATAAGCAGAATACAGTGTATGAATCCTTTTCGCTAGACAGTACTATCATCACCTTCAGTGAATATCTGAAGTAGGGAAAAGGACGTCGTTAGATTTTCATGGAGTAGTAGTCATAGTACAATATTTATCAGTAATCAGTAACTGGTATCTCTCATTATCACATAGTTAATAAAGTGGCCAACATATTTTGATCAGATGGTGGCAGATTAGCCCCAAACAGGTTGGTAGCCAGTGATTTGTCAGTATGGAAAACGCCTTTATGGTAAATTTAAATTGTGATTTCAGTTTGAGAATCATTTATTACAAAAAAAGGAAAATCATATCCTATATTTCAAAATAATATTTTAAAAAATCACCATAATCGTTATTAGGAAGAAATCAGAGTTCGACGGAAGAAACCTGTTTTCTACTTAGTAACCTCATATATATATATGTGCGTCGGTGGCACAGTGGTTAGGACTTTCGCCGACCATGCACATCGTCCAACTTTCGATCCCCTACCGGCGCACACCTGATATTTATGGTCGGCCTGCAAAATTTGGGCTACCGATATCCATGCTGAAAATTCCATACTTGTACCAAAAATACAGTGTGGAATCAAGCTGTAATCAAAAATATTATATATATATATATATATATATATATAACTACTAATTATAGGGCTATAATAAGGAATTCGGGTGTGTGTGAAGTTACTCATAGAAGAAGTTCTCTGAAACACTGCTATGTGAAAAAGTGTGCATTTAAAAGGATAAATGGATAAATACAAAGAAATCTGAATACACACAGTCATTTTGACTACCGTTTAATCGCACTACTAATAAAATTTCTTTTAACAGTATTCCTAAACATGTAAGAAAATGATGGAGTAATAAACGTAACCTAATTTAATAACAGAGGAGCATGAGGTATATAAGTTGACTCCTTCTAATCTCCTTGCTTATTCAGCTAATTATCATCAGTATCCCTATCTGATCTAGTGGACAAAGTAATCTTCGATTAAGGTAATTTGTAAACAGTATTACTGTGAATCAGTAATAAAAATAGTCGACTAATTAATTACAACTTTTTTTGGAATAGAATACAATTGGAGTTACACAACAGGTGTCAGGCTTTGGTTTATTAACCGTCTTTACTCTTACTTTCCACTTAGTCAATCAAATAGTTCAGGCATCAATTGCATATTTTACATTATTTATATACCAGTCAGTCTCACAAGTAAAGGCCAGTAGACTATCTCAGTAAGTATACAATAAGGTGACTGTCGGTATTTAATTTTCAGTTATACACCCCTCCAACACAGTCACATGGTAGTTATAAAAATGGTAAGTCAAAACACAAGAAGGCAAATGACATTAAAAGAAGGAAAAATGACAGGCTATTATCTGGCTCATCATTCTTATTATAACAGACAGATAGAGGTAAAAAGCGGAAAGAAACTATATGACTGCAAATTGTTATCATTCAAGAACACAGAGTGAAGGAAAACGATAATAAATTAAAAAGAAATATGTAAATAGTGACTAAATAGGGGTCAGTAGAAATGTCCAAAATTTCGGTTCGCTACTTGTTTAGCTATCAGACCTCACAGTGAACATCCTAGGGCAGGCAAATCTTTTAAATGATATATACCAACAACCGAAGTTTCGGTGGATAAGTGGCATGAACCGATCTTCCTGACAGTTCTATCTATTCCATTTTAATTTCACATGAAGCCTTATAAATGGAAAAATTAAGTACAGGGCCTAAAAAGAGTCAAAGTTGTGTAAACAAAACTCCTGCCAACCAAAATAGTAATTCTGAGATAGCATACTGGTTATCTCTGGCATGAGCTATGTAGTTGTAAGCTTTTTCATGCCAAACTAGAATATAAGAAATTATCTTAAGACAGTTAGAAAATAAATAACATGTGCTTTAAAAACATGTAATACAGTCAATACAGACATATACATATATATATATATATATATGTTTATATAAATCTTTTACTTCTGACTGATATTCACTGACTTTCTTGTGTATAAATATGTTCATCTATAGCTGACATCAATACATACAAAATCAATACAAAGAAGCCTGTTTGTTCACCTCTTAATCGGGCAGATAAAAGGATTAGTGGTCGAATTGTATGTGTTTTACACAATCCACTGTGACACATTTGTAGATTGTCCTTCTGGACTGATTTCATGTACATTTTTATGTTAATGAAATAAAAAACTCCGAATACTAATTACCAAAATACTATTCTGATTTTTCTCTAAAAATTAAAAAGTGTGCAACTATTCACATCTTCTGATAACTAAACTTGCAAGTTTATCCATGAAGAATAAATACGTTACTTAGTGCACTTGAACAGATTCTTATGTTAGGTATTCTTGATTTCGCATAAACATGCTGCCAAAAAAATGTCACCTATTCGCATACAAAGCATACTGGAAGTCAATGAAAAAAGTTTGAAAGATAACATAAAGACAGGGGTAGAAATTATTCTGAACCAAGCGTGATTACAGCGGAAATTTGTTACTTTTATTTATCCTTATGCTGGATTCACGTACATAAAATTGACCTGATATACATAATCTCATCTGTGATATGTGTTTGTAAACAGAAATAGCACTGTGGTTGAAATAGAGTAACTTACCTCTAACAGTTGCTTTTCATTTTTATTATTAGAATCAGAAATAACTCTGGAATTGTTTCCTTGCTTATTTACATCTGTAATAATTTCTTTGATTTTAACTGAAGCATCTGGCGGCGCACATCTAGAAACTATATCGATCCATGCATCAAGTATTGAATTCTTTTCTGAGATTAATGCATTTGATAAACGCCGTTTGGCTTCAGAATCCTGAAAAACAGAACAAAAGTGAAGCATTATTTATTTATTTGACAGATTACTGTGTACAGAAGAAATACACTCAGAAATATTCTCTTCTTTTTTTGATTACAGCTTGATTCTACACTGTATTTTTGGTACAAGTATGGAATTTTCAGCATGGATATCGGTAGCCCAAATTTCGCAGGACGACCATAGATATCAGGTGTGCGTCGGCGTGGGCTCGAACCCCGGACCACGTGCATGTCACCATGACCACGTCACACTCTCCTAAGTGCCTCCGATTATCGAAGTTACGTATCTCGTCAATATTTCAGATTTTTGCAATGAATTAACCAGGAAGAATCGATAGACAGTTAAAAACGGTCGCACTCCATGAGAGACAAAATTTTTCTTAATGTCTTAATAAATCAAAGCCATAACATCTTTGTAAAGAAAATAATGTCTTCAGAGAACATTCTGGATTCAAAGTGTTAATGAATAAGTCTATGGTACAGAGAGCAGACATTCAACTTTATAAGTTTCAAAAAAGCAAGGAAAAACATTGGAGTAGCATACAATAATTTAATTTACTATTTACCTTCAACTGAGTACAATGTACAATATGTGTAACATCAGATTTTAATAAAACGACCAACATATTTTAGTTCATTTTGAAGAAACCAATAATTTCATAGTGAAGACAAAAAACTGTTCGATACGGGGTCTTTTATCAAGCTACAGTATAGCACAGCTTGTTATCAAAAAGTTTCGCATAACTCAGAAATTATTCAAGTTAACGTGGAAATCATGTGAAATCCCTGCTCAATTAAATATACAATTTGATGGGAATCAAGAATTAAGTTATTAGGGTATGTGAAGTTTGAAAACAAATTTCTTTTAGACATATCTGCCAGGTTTCAGACTTTTTTATGGCAATACCAATAAGTGAAGGAAAAAAATGGTTTGGTTCTTTTCTGTCAGTGTTTCTAAAAGTCTTCCAGGTGTCTGGTGTTTACAAAGTTTTCAGATAATTAGCCACATAAGACATTGGATAGACCTGAAGGAAGGTTTTCTGGTACATGTTCAGAAATCTAAATGTGGTCTGTTTTTGGATCTTTATCTCTAATCTTCATTTCCATACACTATTTTGTATACGGAATTTAACGAAACATCAGTGACAGACTATTTTTTTGTAATTATTTGTACGTTTTTGTTACAATTTCATACAGATTTACATGAGTTGCTATTCCAATTTTTATGTGACGATATCTGTTTCAAGGACTGTTAGGGTATTTTGTAACTTTCAGACATGATGGTCAGTATGAGAAACATGTTTCTATGATCTTATAAATTGTAAGATGAATGAAATTTAATTATTTGTAAAACGCGTTTTTCATCATAAGTTTTAAAACTTAGAATATTTCAATCAACATTTGCTTTCAAATGACCACTATTGAAAAGGTAATGTGGTGAGAGCAGGCCGTGAGAAAATATGAACAAGGCTGATTCAACAACCAATCACAGCAAAGTTAACGTGGCAAAATATGATTCGCAGATAGAGAACTCTATTTGTCGAGGAATCCCGAAACAACCAATCAGAAGCCTGCGTTTGCCTGCCTAACTTCTGATAAACAACCAATCAGATGACTGCGCTTGTCTACTTGCATAAGCTATAATAATGTATGTGAAATATGTATAAATACGTGTTGATTTTCATAATAAAACGATCTGTTGCCTGGCCCTTGTCTTCTGTTGTTACGGTAATATTATCCTTTATTTTAGTGGACAGCTATCTTAAAGCATTCAGCCTTAGGCTTTTTAGCATTGAAGTTCAAGAAAGTGAATGGATAATTAGGTTATGATTGATACTTTTGGTCTTCTAAATTCTTCATCATTCTAAAAAAAACATCTTCGGAAATCTTCCCGAAATGAACATCTAATCTCTTAATGTTCATTGTTAGCAAATAAAATGAAATGTAGACTACACACTACATCGCTTATCATTCACATTATGGCACATTTCGGTTTGAAGATGGCATAAAAGTCTATTTTCACAACTAAGTCTGACCAATTTTTGAACGGCGAAGGAATGATGTAAACAATCCAGATGATTACATTGGTTCGGAAAGCGGTAACAGCATTTCTGGAACATGTAAGTAATTTTAAAACAATACATAAACTGGCTAGAAGCCATTTAAAATAAGGTTATAAATTGTTAAGATATCAACATATTGTGATTACAAACAATAAGTTTTGTTTGGAACGTCGTCCATTAAATGATACTGCTTCAGTGAATCACATATCCAATAAAAAATTAATATGAAATTACAGCGCTGAAGCATTATACATACAATAATTAGGTATCAGTTGAAACAGTTTGAAGCACCTATAGTGAAGCGTGTAATCATGTTTGATTATCTTCATTTCATAACAGTTTGTTAGACTTTTGATTTGCTTAGTTGCATCAAACTCTCATTTCCATGTTGTTTCTGACGAGGAAGTGGTAGAATTTATTGTAATTGATTTACTTTCGAACACTGATCATGTGGATATAATCTTGTTGCCTATTACTAACCTGCAACTAACTGTTTGCCGATTTGTGACTGTTAAACACATTGAACCGATACTTATAAATAACTAATATCTATAATTGTATAGACTATTAAATTCACATGCCCAAGTCAGCGAGTCTGTGGTTTGCTTCTTATTTTCTGTAATTGTATTTGACAATTTTCGCTGTTGTTGTCATTGCTTTTCCTGTTGTGATATTTTTGGTCCCAATTCCTTTACTTCTTGTTTTCCTGGTTCTAAAGGTAGCAACCCGAAAAGTCGCTCCTCTGTAACTTACATCTCTATGTATCAACTCCCTTCTCGGGTGTGAGGCTAGCAACCCCACCCTGTAGAGAAAAATGCTATAGAAACTTCAGCACGATGAGTCTCCTTGTGACGAAAGAAAACGTATGCGTGGGAACGTGGAAAGTCCGCACTATGTATGAGACTGGCAAAGCTGCCAGATTGCAAATGTAATGAAGGGATATGGTATTCAAGTACTGGGAATATGTGAAAGCAGATGGAATGGGAGTGGACTCTTCAAATTTTCAAAGGGAGAGTCAATGATCTACTCCAGTCATCCAGAAGACAACCACGAGCACAACGAGAGTGTGGCTATCATGATGTCACCAACGGCAACGAAAGCCTTGATGAAGTGGGAGGCGATCTAGTCCAGGATAATGACCGCCAGATTCATCTCCAAAGGAAGGAAAGTGTCAGTCATACAATGTTATGCACCCACAAACAACGCAGACCTCGAAAAGAAAGAAGAGTTCTACAGACAACTACAGGCAACAATGGATGATACTGCAGTTGATGACATTAAAATACTAATGGGAGATATGAACGCCAAACTGGGACCAGACAACACAGGAAGGGAACTCATCATGGGTAGAGAAGCTCTCGGAGAAGTTAATGAAAACAGAGGACTCTTCGCTGACTTCTGTGTCTTCAACGGACTAGTGTTCGACGGCAGCTTATACAAACACAAGGATATCCACAAGGCTACATGGGCTAACCAAAAACTAAATTGACTTCATCTGGAAGGTGGTCAAGGGACTGGAGACTCAGCTTCCTGGACAGAAAAGTGAGAGGAAGAGCAGACGTCGGCTCATACCATTATCTCGTGCGAGGAATGCTCCATAAGGAATTAGAAACTTTCAAGGAAACATGAGCTGCGGATATATCACAAGTCAAGTTCAATACTCAAAAACCGAAGAAACAGGCCACAAAGAAAATCTTCACCACAGTCATATTGAAAAAGGCGGAGACACAAGTCAACACTAGCAAAGTGGCCAGCGTTGAAAAGCATTAGAACAACCTGAAAGCGGTGTTGAGTCAAATCTGCATGGAAGTTTTAGGCAGGAAGAAGAGACCGGACAAACAGTGGTCCACTGCAGACTCATGGAGGTTAATAGCTGAGAAAAGGATGTTGAAACAAAAGATTATCCAGTGCATCGACGAGCAACGAAAACTGGAGTTGAATGCAAGCTACAATACACTGAACAAAAGAGTAAAGAAGAGTGCCAGGGAAGACATAAGACAATATTACGAAGCTATGACAAGAGAAGCAGAACAAGCTGTAGGCAAAGGAAACATCGTAACACTCTACCAAACAACTATGTTCCTATGCGGAAGAGATCAACACAAATTAAGCCAGTGAAGGATGACAATGGAAAGACAATCACCAAAGAGGTGGAGCAAAGAAAACACTGGGCTGAACACTTTAGAAGACTTCTAAATCGTCCGCCACCTACAACGCGCCCAACAATACCAACAACGGAAGCAGAACTACCAGTGAACACTGACCCCCCGACGAAATCAGAAGTCCTGAATGCAGTCAAGATGCTAAAAGCTGGGAAAGCAGCAGGACCAGATGGAATCCCAGCAGAAGCCTTGAAAATAGACCCAGAGACAACAGCGGACTTGATGACGCCACTGCTGGAGAAGGTGTGGAAAGAGGGCAAAGTACCCGAGGATTGGAAGAACGGATACTTATTCAAACTACCAAAGAAAGGAGACTTAAGTCAATGTAAAAACTGGCGTGGAATTATGCTTCTGTCCATTCCAAGCAAAATACTAAGTCGCATCATCCTGGAGAGAATCAAACAAGCCCTAGATGAAAAACTTCGTCCGGAACAGGCCGGATTCAGGAGAAATAAGTCATGCATCGATCAAATTGCAACACTGAGGATCATCATTGAACAGAGTTTGGAATGGGCAGGTATAAAATATACCCACACAAAAAGCTTAGAGAATCTAGATTTCGCCAATAATATATTCTGATTTCCTACAAACCGGATGATACGCAAGTGAAAAGCAACAAGTTGGCAGAAGAAGCATCTAGAGAAGATAGACCTTCAGGTGAATATAGAGAAAACAGAGGTGATGAAGATTCATGGTCAACAGCAACAACGACAAACAGCATTAATGAGAGAAATCTGAAAGAAACAACCTCCTTTACGTACCTACTGACCTGAGAAGCATCGTTTCAACTACAGGCAGATGGAACTGATGAGGATATCAAAGCGAGGACGGGAACCGCAAGGCAAGCTTTCATTTCTCTCAAGTCTGTGTGGAGGTCAACAGCACTCATCATGAAAAATAAGATCCAGAATTTCAACTTCTTTGTGAAGTCACTGCTACCATACGGATCAGACACTTGGCGCCGTGTCACGAAGGGCACTTTGAGCGAAATTCAAAACATCATCAACAGAAATCTTCGCTCAAAATTCAAAATTAAATGGCCGTCCAGAAAAGATCGGCAAAAGGGATCTCAGGAGGCGAATCAACCAGGAACCGATTGTGCAACAAATGTCCAGGAAGAAATGGAGGTGGATTGACCATACTCTGAGAAAAAAACCATTAAGTGACATCACACAACAGGCAATCGCTCGAGTGGAACTCAAGTGGGAAGCGGCGAGTTGGTTGTCAGTGCAATGACATGGTGGAGGATGATGACATAAAGGAGGTCATGCGAAGGGGAGATAAAAGCATATGGGTAGACGTGGAGCCAGGTGAAAACATTGCTGGAGAACTAAAAGCAATGGAGACGGGCGTCTGATACCCTATGTTCCTCTAGGATCTAAAGGAGAAATTAATAATTATTGTTAGACTTTTAGTGGTTCTGTCTACTAGAAAAGTAATATAATGACTTCGGTTTAATAGGTATATTTATTACTTGTCACTTATTGTTTCTCTCTCACACACACCCCTAGGAATAGGCATTTTTGCACTTTTCGATCGAATAGGTTTTCTGGTGTTAGATCATTTCAGTAACCCGGCAATTTGGATACTCTTTGAAAATTCTATGAGCTTCAGTATGCACTCATGATTTAGTTAGACATCATATAAAGAAGAACACAATATCCCCTCTTACAAGTTATATGAAAGTACTATAGTAGATGAGTATTATTCCTAAATAGGAAATCGTTTCTCATAAATGGTTTTTGTGTCATTATGAGATTTAGAAGTAGTTTCTTGTATATGATATGTTAGCTTGTTTCCTTGAATATGACCAGTTTTCTCATCATTTATATTATCAAATCATGAAAGCATCTTAATGAATGTCTTTTCATGCAATTTACTTCAGAAAATGTGATATTTTCAGAAAGAAGATTTTAATCATGGATAGAGGGATTGAAATCAGTATGTTTTCATAAGTAGATCAGAAAGTTTTAAAAAAAATTCATCAGTGGATATTTAGGGCCTTAAGTTGTGAGTATACATAAAATTTCATGGAAAAAAGTTTATTAAAAGTTATATATCTTAAAATTACCTGTTTAATAAAATTGAAGGGATCTTCTGAATGTCCTATAGAAGAACTAGTTACAGATGACTTGTTTGTTTGAACTTGTGTTGCGTTCACAGGTGGTATGATTACCTTTTCCACTTTTGCCTCTGGATTCTCCAGGTGATTTGTTCTGTTTGACAAGGCAACATCTTCAGCATTCTTTTTACCCTCTGTCAATAAATCTATAAATTAATTGAATGGTGATAATAATTACAAGTGTCGTAAAATAAAAGAGTTTAATTTACCTGATCCGTTTGATCGTCGTAAAGATGCAATCGATGTTATTATTAAGTTATCATTATCTGATTTGTCTCCCTCTGACAGTATTGTTATATTATTATTACTATCATTATTATTATTATTAACATTTATTAAATGAATATTTTTACTTCCCCATGTAGCTTTTAAAAATAAACAAACAAAAATAGGTTGTTAAATAATAATCATCTTTTCAAGGTATCGAAGATATATAATGACTACTTTATCAGAATTTTATTAAAAATACAATAGATTTATGTTTATTTAGCTGAATAGTGTAATCGGAGGAGTGCAAACTCAAGAATTATCCACGTGTTATAATTCAAAAGTAATTATGCTTTAGTTGAAAACTTTTCGGACTAAGATACAACTATCCATACATTTGAGGTCGGAGGAATAACATAAATGTAGCAAAAGGAATAAATTTTAAAAGATAACTTATTGATATGATAGAGAAGATTTGTAGCTCAGGTGGATAATTTTGATGTGGTTTTGTTCTCTGAGCTGGATGGTTAGTTTGCGAAGCTTTCATCGCCCTACTGGGTGACATCTTCAGCGCATACTTCATACCTACCTACCTACCGTCCTACCTCGATTCTACGGCAGACCCAAAATACACAAGGCAAATATCCCGTTACGACCAATTGTATCACTCCCAGGAACTCCAACATATAATTTGTCCAAGGAATTATACAGAAAACTAAAACACCTAACGGAATCCTGTGATCACTCCATCAACTCTGCTATCCAATTCCTAGAGAAAATCAGAGACATCCAAATAGATGAACAAGAAATAATGGTATCCTTCGACGTGACAGCATTATATACCTCTATCGGACAAAAACTAGCAAAAGAAACCATGGAGCAATTACTTAGCAACGACGAACAACTTCCACAACAATCAAAAATGCAACACACAAGCTGGATGGAATGCATAAATCTATGCCTAACAACATACTTCCAATTCAACGGCCAAATATATGAACAAGTCAAAGGAACACCCATGGGATCGCCAATATCAGGTTTGATTGCAGAAGCAGTGATGCAAAGACTCGAAAACATAATTCTACCAAAGATCAAACCCAAGATTTGGATACGCTACGTCGACGACACATTTGTAATAATCAAAAGAAACGAATTAGACAAAACTCACAACTTAATAAACAACGTCTTCAACGACATCAAATTCACAAGAGAAGAGGAATCCGAGAACAAAATACCATTTTTGGACGTCTTAGTCAGGCGAACAACTACAGGAGAATTAGAAACTCAAGTTTATAGGAAATCAACTCACACAGACCAAATACTGAATTACAACAGCAACAACCCAATAGCACACAAAAGGAACTGCATACAAACACTATTCAAGAGAGCAAGGACTCACTGCAGCACTCCCACCTTAAGAAAAATTGAAGAAAAGTATCTCATGGACGTCTTCCAAAAGAATGGATATCCCGGAATTTCATCAAGAGACATATACCCCCAAGCCAACCTACCAAAACAAAAGCCACCAAGGAAAACACAAAGAAAATCGCCTTACCATATATAAAGGATATCTCAGAAATCACTAAAGACTCTTCAAACCTTTAGGAATTGACGTCGTACACAAACCAACAAAGTCGCTGCACTCAATTCTATGTCAACCAAAAGACTCAACAGCAAAAGAAGACAAAACCAACATCATCTACAAAATAAACTGTAACAACTGTGAAAAACACTACATTGGCCAAAGTGGACGTCCCCTTCGTCTTCGTATCCACGAACATAAGCTAGCCGTCAAAAGACATGATATACACTCCCTCATTTCACTACACACAGACAACCACGGACATCAATTCGACTGGGACAACGTTCAAATATTAGACAAAGGAAATAACAAGAATGCTAGAGAATTTTTAGAAGCTTGGCATTCCAGTGAATCATCAATCAATAGACACATCGAGATAGACAAAATTTATCAACCAATAAGAAAGAAACTTCACACACGATTGGCCAAAGTTCAAGTCACAGAAACAATCAGTTCCAACACAAGTAACCTAGAAGGTGTGAAAACACACATAAACAACCAATCACGTCCAAGGTCACCAGGAGGAATGATTAATAAACTCGTGGAGAAACCTAAAAGCTCACTTCAATTTGAAGTATGCGCTGAAGATGTCACCCAGTAAGGTGATGAAAGCTTCGCAAACTAACCATCCAGCTCAGAGAACAAAACACATCAAAATAACTTATTGATATTTACTGATCATTTTATCGTCGTAATAAGTGACTACCTAATCGCTCACTTCGTAACAGAGTCGTTTATTAAGTAAGCGTTAAGATGTTTTTGTAGCCCGGCTACGCATTTCGGTATACACAGATGATGTGATTAGTATATTATATAAAGTGAGAAAAACACTTTATTTCGACACAGATTAATATTGTGGATAACGTGGAACTTCAGATTTTGTAGAAATACTGTGTAATAAAGTGGCAGGTCGCTATCTCTTTACAAGTAAAATAGCTTACAATATCAGTAAGCTCATGAAATACTCTGAGTAAACTGTCTCTGAATGTGTCTCATTATCATGCAACATATCGCAAGCAGTTAATACATTTCACAAAGTTGAAATATAACTAGCTATTTTATCTGTGTAGGATTTGAACTACGTCAAACTCTTTCGTTGCTATGCCTAAATTTTTATTTCCAATATGTGGTAGAGTAGAAATTTAAAAACAAACAAAACCGTGAAGTGAAAAATACAAGCTATATATATGCTGGTACTATGAAAATATGTCTGAATGTTTATTTGTGATAGCTTATTATGTTTACTCGAAACTAATTAGCATTGACAATGAAACTATCGCAGCATGAAAATTCAATATTTGGATAAGTCTTCCAATTTGTCGAATTACCATTGATTGCTAATATTTTATGCGTTTGAAAAGGTATCTCTTATTGCTTTGCAATAATGACAATGTAAAAAGACCAGGTTGTAGCTAAAATATCTGTCAGATTCTATCTCAAGATTGTATATTAATGCCGACAGGAGTAAACAAGTAGGAATTTTAGAGATTATAGATAAAAGAGAGACAAATACTTATACAATGCATCCTTGACATGCAGTAGAAATAAAGTATTCTTCAGATAAAAAGGTGTCACACACAAAATTAAGCTTGAATTTGCTTCGGATGTTTGACGTCGTAAGACACCTGCAGACTAGTTGGATATATTGAGAGGTTAAATCAATTATAACTTTAAGTCCCCCTTTAAATGCGTTTAAAAGATATGTAAGGAGGTGGGAGGGTGGGTAATGACACCTGCAAAAATAATTCTTCTTTATTCCATCTGTTTTTATTTCGAACCATATGATAGATTCATTGTGGCTAAGATTTTATTTTGATAAATCACACGGTGTTGTACAGTAATATTAACTAATGACGTTTCGAGCACAAACTATTGCTCATAATCATATCAACTTGATATGATTATGATTTATCAAAATGAAATCTTATCCATAATGGAGTTATGCTCTACCATAGTGCCCAAGTTTTATACTTACATCAATAATACATATGATAGATTGATAGAATCAAACACATGCGTTGAGCACTACAGCATGTGAGGGAGTTGGCCTAGATTATGCATAAACAACTAAAATAAACTTCAACTTTAGCAAGCTAACCTTAACAAGCTTTCTTATTCCCAGGGATTCTGTAAAGATTTCTAAACTACTTTTAGTAGGATTTCATCATGAGCTGATTACTTTTAATAGTTGTATCATGCTAATTTTGAGCTTTTACTATCATGCTTCTGTAAAAGGCATCCATTTTCTTACTGACACGTTCAACGCCGAATAGTAGTCGTCCATGAATTACTCTTCTGAGTAATCGCATTTCAAGCTGAAAATGTTTCACACTTTAAATCAGAGAATAGTAAAATATAATTGTCATTTCCTTGTTCTAATAAAACATTAGGGAATTATGTACAATAAGGATTATTCGAAAAATATTAATTTTTTTTTAGCTCACTATCGTACATATCACTTACATTTTTCGGATTGAGAATTCGGTGAATAAGAGCGATTCGATGTATTCGAAAGTGATCTATAATCAGAATAAACGACCAGCAAGTAAAAAGTATTACGATTAGTGATACCTTTATGGGATTACTACTTTTATAGATTGCATTGAAATCTCTTATAATGATCATAAGTCTTTTGGGCCAAAGCAGATTAATACCATTTGACACTTGTTTATTGATTAAGTGTCATCTGAATGACATCCCTGTGATTTATATATTTTAAATCTGTACAATCTGAGCATAAAAATACATCTAAGAAGTCGATATTCATTTTGAGTAGAGATTTCAGATTACTTCTAAGAACAGTTGTAATACCTTTTCATCAAACAATCTGGAAGTTGAAGATATAACTATATATATGTAAAAACAATCTCGTTCTGTTTTTTCATTTATTGGGAAATACAAAAAACCTCTATTATAACGACTATCATATACCCAATGCCCAAATTTTTTCAAACCGTTAAAAGTGAACTTGGTGTAGATATATATAATATAACTATATGAGTTTTTTAATTTTAGCAGGATTTCTAAGCCGACCAACTAATATAAATTAGCCAGCAAATCTTCCCTCCTCTTTAAGAGGGAGGGATTTAAATATCTAAAATGTCTTATATAATCCTTCATTTTATGGAAGAACAAATCATTCAATTCTAACTCCTACATATTAAATAGCAATAATTATAATAATGTGTGGTAGATTTTAATCAATCATATTCGAAATTCACGTGTTGTAATCAAGTTTATTGTAGGTGAAGGATGAATGATTTCCTGCTGAACTGAATAAAATTGACAAAAGAAGATTGCAAATCATGTTATATATTTATCAAGGCAGAATATAATTTCAGTATTTTGGAATGAATTAGTGTAATATGTTGCCAGGAATTGACACTGAGCACGCACTCGTATTTAGATGTAATGTCTATCGGCATTCAATAACACTGTCATTTGTGTAAATGTGTAGTAATGATTCACAAAACTCTAACTGGTTAGTTTGTTACCTGTTCCGGGAATCACTTATTTGGAAGATATTATTCATCAGTCGGTATAAGCTGAATTCAGTTTGCGGGTGGGAGTTACATTGTGTGCTTCTTGTGAGTCTAAAAATATTGAAATAGTTAATGAGTATATATTAATCATTTAACTTGATGTTTTATGCAAACTATTTGAATGCTTCCACTGATTATTCCTATAGGAGAGGCGATTTCCTAGCTTCTCCAGTTTACGATGCATTACTAATTGATGTGATGGGTTTGAAAGTATTATATTGAGAAGTGACTAGCAATGGAATCCTTAAATTAGACCATTTACTCGCAGACATTTTACGCTAATAATGACCACTCAGTTTAACATCGTGAAAACCAAACGTGTCTACGAATAGGATGAAAAATACTTTAAAAAGACATGGAATACACTTTCAGTGTACTCTAAGGAATTCCTTAAAAGTTATTCGTGTATCTATGTGTGCATAAATGTGATATTATACTGTTTAAATAAGGTAATTAAACAATAAAATTAAAGCGTATTTACCGTAGATATGATTCAGATGGTAAACCTTCACGTTGGTTAAATCCAGTTGATGGCCGGTAACTATCTGTAATGTTTTACACAAAATTACATGTAAGTTCACAAGTAAATTACTTGATCTCATTGGAGATATTTTGAAACTTAGTTTCTCCCAGATTTCAGTTTATACAATAAAAAGTTATGAACAATCATACTAATAGTTTATAATGCCGAGTTATGTGAATGCCACCCGAATCTGTTTTAAAACCATTTGAAGTATATGTTATGTTTTCGTTATTCCTGTTCATGGTCTATATTCTATGTCCGTTTCTTTGGTCAGATAGGAATATCAAAACATAATTAATATCTAGATACATAATAATAAACTGGCGCAACTATTCTAGAGGGTTTAACATTGAAATCCGGTTGTTGTGTTCATTTCAAGTCAACAACTTGAGCTGTATGCCATTCTATAACGCTTAGGTAAAATGTTTACCATAATTATATTCTTTTTTGACCAGTAGTTTGAACTCTTTGATATTGATAGTGTCACATTAAAGTGAAGTGATTTCTTTTTATTTAACGGGATATCTTATTCCATGGGGAGTTTCGATTCTGTTATCTGCTTTTATCTCATAATAAAAGTTTAATCGATATGTGCAGGAAATCTAGTCAGCGTTTGAGAGAAGCTACAGACATTTAACTCATGAGGCTTAGCGATATCGCCTGCACTTATTCACAACTTTGGATAAAAATGTACTATCATTTTCAAGATTTATATATTTCAACTATACGTCATAATTTACTTCTTCTACTATTATTACAAGCCAGTTTTAATATTCACCTCTAACTATGATGTAAAATAACGAAATGTCACGTACAACACTTTGTGTAGATTTTTTATTCGTCAAATCTTGAAAAACTTTATCCAATAGGAACATGCCTATTTTGAACCTCTTATCTTTTCGAATGTTAAACAAAAAGCAATTTTTTCCCAACACGATATTGATATGATCGAAGGTAAAATTTCTGTTATATTATTAGTGAAGCAGACAGTAGTATGACAAAGGAAACGGAAATATAACTTTGACAAGATTATTGCAAAAGTAGGCATTAGTTAAGATTTTTTGCGATGAAGACCGTGAAAACTATTTTAATCTTTCATAGACGCTTATAATAATTGCGAATGTCACAGTGATTTCTTCCGCTTCATTTCATCGAAGATTTCTAGCTGCTTAATTTCAAAATATCAGTAGCTTTAGTTAATCAACTTGTACCTTATTGTTTTATTCATATAAGCTTTTAGTACGCTTGATTTGGAGAGATTATGCAGTTAACAAGGTGGAAAAAAATGTGCACACATATCCTTTTTTTCTCAGCTTTAACAAGAAAGGATATTAAAATGTAACTTACCAGGAGACTGTGCTAACTTCATAGGTTTACGCCGTCTTACTTTCCTATACCTAAAAACAGGAAATAACCAAGTATATTGAATCCTATTTACTGGTATATACAATGTGGGTTCTTTTGTAATATTGTTATTTTCGAAAAGTTGTGTGAAGCATATACTACAAGTGTGTAGTTTACTTTATTTTAAATTTCAATACATCTAAAAGCGAAATCCAGTAAAATGATTCAAGCGGTTGTGAATGGAAAAAATAGTACCCACAAAATGTCATACATTCAGTTAAATTACATACCAAAATAACCTGCCTTGAGTTTGTCACTCTTATCGCAATGCATTATTATTTTGAAATTTACACTAATTTCTCATTGTTGCAGAGTTTTCAGAATTGATTTTAATTCCAATCAACCAAATTCGGAATGAGTCTACACAGCTGGGAGACTATTCATGTGGATATCTTTAGAAATGTTTGATGGTGAAGCTCTCATTGTCTTCATGGATGTCTTCAGCTCTTGATTTGTTTGATGTGAAATTAGTGCTGAAGATTTTCACTAGAATGATGATGAAAGTATTGCAATTACATCACCTAGCTTAGACAACTCTTGGATACACCATGCCGAAGAAGGCAAACAACCACAAAAACCAGTATTCAGATATTCGACGCTGAAGTTAAATTACAAAATAACTTCTATTAATTTATGATAACAGATAAAGCATCATTCCTCTTCAGATGATCACCTCTTCACCGATGATCAAATATGGAACAAACTTGATAAATGTAGCTTCTCATCGACCACTCCTTGCACTTTCAAAAATTTTATTCATCACTCCCGTACAACTATTCTAAAGTACGCCATTTATAAAGTTCCACGTCATTAGGGAACTTTTTAGCTTTTACCATATTTTTTATTGTATTACTGTCAGGAAGGACGGGAAAAGTATTATTGGCCTTATCATTTAATTATGATTACTGACTCATATTATGAATATTAATAATCTACAAGTTACTTAGTTACAGGGATTATTATTAATACATCACACCAAACAAATCTTGGTTACGATAAGGAAAGAAAGACCAGACTGGCAGTTTAGAATGATAACATTTTATACTGCAGATATTGTCTTCCTTTCTCTATCAAAATTTATTAAGGGAACTAAATGCATGGAGTCTTAGTTACTCAATCTGTCTTCTGTCTCACATCATCAGCCTCGGAACAATATTCAAAACTATTGGCCTAATATTGGTTTTTAAAAGTACTGAGACAGTATAACAGCTGTATCTGTGGATCATAACTATAAATTTTGACAGAATTTCTAAGTGTATATCATTCGGTGAATTCAAGACACTTTTGGTCAATCTTAAAACCGAAATAGATCAGGTTATTCAAGACTGTTATAAACCCGACTCACTTCACCAGTGTTCTAGTGCAAGAAATGAAGACCGCTTTCATACTGTAAATCATGAATTATGAATCAAACTTATTCTTCTTTCCAAATAGTATACAGTGTTTTCGATGGAGAATAGTGTTAGGGTGATGAAGTGAAGCATTGTTATTTTTAACTGACACACTTTGCTACTCATAAGTAGGTTGTGAGAGTAGAGTCACCTTAAGAAAATCTGAAAAGCTATCATTCCACACTTCTGTACAACGTAACATTGCTTAATTGTGTAGTACATATTTCTCGGTGTTCATTCATGCTAATTTATTAAGAGTTCAAAAACAACTTGAATGTTGCACACAAAAGAACATTACTTGTGCTACACTAAACCAATATTGTTTAATAAAGGTTTCTGTTTCTTGGTAAAATATAAATTACCCTTCAATAAATGGGTCCGATAAAAGTCCATTAGCATCAGCCCGACTAGACGGTTCTATAATGAATGTTCTCAGAATGAAGTTATTGCATGCCGATGAAACTCCATCTGGAATTTTAGGATGTTGTAGATCCATGCCAACACGGTATAGTGCGGTCATTGCATTTCCAAGCTGATTTAGACAAAATTAAATACAAAAAGGTTGATGATTAGGATTTTCGTGCAAACTGAAAATCAGAATAACCTAACAAATGGATTTGTCAATTCGTGATAATAAGTGAACAACGGGTAAATCGATAAAGTGGGAAAGAATGGTGAAGTCTGGTCAACAAATAAAAAGCAACTTCATATCTTCAATGGGATTATCGGTGCGAACTGCTTAAAAGTCTCAAACTAGAACGAAGAAACAGGGTCAGTGCTCCTGGGTTTTCACTTGTCATGATGACCCATCAAAAGGATATCGATCAGTGTCAAAATCCACTTTGATGGGTAAAGTATTCGCAATGGACATCAAAACTCACAAAAAATATGACCCCACTTTCTGAACTGATGACTGACTGACTGACTGGTTTCAACACCGAAATTTGCACCGATGTGCAGCAGTTCTAGTTGCCACACTTCACTTAGCACACAAAGCAACTGAAGAAGGTAAAAATAAATGCAAAATAGAGACAGTAAACGGAGATAAGAGGCATGTCTAACGTCAAGAGTATTTTTATGATTTATATAGACACACATATGACCACTGTTAAAAGTCTTCCTGTATCATTTTATCGAATGAATTACCATAATCAAGCTTTTATTATTAATTAGCTATCTTTAAATTGCACACATTTAGGCAATCGAATCCCTATTCCATTAATAGTTTGAAAAGTTTAATATACTATCAAATTAGTGATTTTCAAATTATTTTATGTCTCAAGTGTTTTTTTAGTGTCATACACTATGAAAAACTCAGCCGAATTACATCGACGTTTTTCATTCTTCAACGCAGTAAATGAATTTGCAATGAGATGGTAGTTCTGAGAATGTATAAACGCTTCCGTTGTTGTCATCAAAGCTTCAAATTTTTTTCGAATTTTTAGCCGTGAAAGACATTAATTCGAAGGATGTCGTTAAAATTATTATAAAAGATTAAGGTTCTAACATCGCAGTATAGTGTTAAAAAGGTGGGGGATGGAGTAAATACGAATATGATGTATTGCAAAAGTCTAATTTACTCTCCCTACACTAGTTGACTGCAAAAAGGTTTTCGTTTCACACCTTACTCAAAAAGATGATATTATAGTGTCGACCACTTTTTTAGACTACATTTAAAATAGCTAAAAAATGATATTAGGGTTAAATGAAATGCCTGTTTGTTCATAATTGTTTTCATTTCTTTTAGACATTTTGTCTTGTTTTAGGACTTTCGTTATGTTACTTATTTCACTGCTGAAATAAAAGTAATTTCTGTATGAAAAGATATGTGAATCCATACTAGCAACTATCCTGAACGTCAATTTTATCTTTATTTCGTAAACATGATAAAATATTAGCCATGAAGATGTTGAATCCCCCAAACTATTTCATTTATTCTTGCTCAGCAAATAAATTTCACCTTCAGTTCAAACTTCAACATATTCGAGATGAACTGTAATTTCATGGCTGAAATTTGTAAATCTAAATTTACAAATGTGAATGTATTTCCAGCATCTGTACAAGTAGAGCTTAAGTAAATACGATAATAAGTGGTGTTTATATGTCCAATAAAACTAAAGATAGTGAGTTAAATTAGTACGCGAAATGCAGTGAGTGTCTTACCTCACTGAATGGCTGTTTTCCGGTTAACATTTCTACTACTGTACATCCGAAACTCCATATATCTGCAGGAAATCCGCATGAACCTCGTATGAGTTCTGGTGCCATGTAGCGCATTGTACCTAGAACAGGAAATATATACACAAAAATGTGAGCTCTTTGACATTAGGATATTATTTCAAAAATTTTGATATATGGAGGGAAATCTTGAGAAAAGCTTTAAATTTAAGAGATTTGTTAGCTACAACTTAAGAAAATGTCAAAGTAAATGTTAACATCAGCCAGAATTTTTAAAATGTTTTCAGGAATAAAGTTTGTAGTTCTCACTAAAATGAAAATTTTGTATTTACATATGCTTTTAAAGACCTAATAATTACTGAAACTCTGAATGCTTTAGTGTTCACTACTTGTTATCTTCTCACACTTTATCTCTCCAAGTTCTACACAGTTCTTCTTCATTGGACTATTTACTATTGTTTCAGTAGATTTATCCACACAGCTCGAGTTTATGATGATTAAAATGTAGAGAGATCAGATGAAATAGTACCGCTGTCGCTTGACAGTAATTACAAAAGTGGTTGTTAATCTGGGCTAACAATAAAAAGATGAAAAGTTGCATAAAAATATATCCTGGATCAAGTGGTAAGACACTGTGATAGCAGCATAATTTCTTTTCCTTACGTATATATATATATATATATATATATATATATATATATATAAATTATAATAATTTGTTACTTGCGTTCGGAGGGGAACATAAGACTTCAACAGCACTTCTTTACTGCTCTCTGAAACCACCTACATCTGGCTATACGACTGCCCACAATCTTTCATTCACCCTCTGCATGATCCTGAATGCATCAGCTTCGGATACACAACCGTCGATTTCCCTTGTCGTCCCACCCAAATCGTATGTCGTGTGACGTCACTCTAATGCTTCCTCAAAGTATGTCCAATCCGTATTTTTTTCCTTTCCGCATATTTGTTAAATAGTAAAACAGGTCTCTAACTGGTGTGCTTACAAAGTTCTTTGTTGGTTTTCATTTTTGGGTAATCACCTGATCATAAGTATGAAGGCGTTTTCTGGAGAAAATCAGTAGTGGCTTCTTAAAAATCTTCAGTGATGCGTGCGCCAAGTCTCTGAACGACATAGAAGCACTGACTTCGCACCACTGTTACGAATTCGGACCCTGGTTCATTTACTAAGTGATATGGATCTAGATACTGATATCAGAGTAAAGAACAACTGTCTTGCCGCTCTAATCCGATTTTGGGTTTAAAATCCTCATTCATGCTACCCCTGGTTAGAATGATTCTGCCGAGGTACGTAGAAGAAACGACTCATTTGACATATCTGTAGTCGACTTTGATTAGTGTTTATTGTTGTTTTTTGGGTATCTTCAATCCTACTGTTTTTACTCAAAGTTCTGTCTTACAGCTTCCTCTTGTCAAACTGTTGGATTGCACTTGTAAATCTTCGAATTTTTTGGGTTAAACATAAGTCATCCATGAAATCCAGGGGTCTTCTTGTCTATGCAACATATTCTTGTTTCCTCGCTATTCACGGTCTGCCGCATATACAGTCAGTCACAGTCAGAAGTATCCCAGTGATAGTAAGCAGTTTTGTTTTACTTCTATTTTCACTTCAAACTCTTCAGCGAGCTCTCCGTAATACAATAATGTTTCTGACTTTTCATTTTTATCAGTAGGGAAAAGTTATCAAGATATTCAATTATATGAAAGGAACCAAGTTAGAAATAAATATTCACAAAAAATACCCACACAGACAGGGAAATAAGAGAGAGGAGATTTATTGGGCATTATCCTTAATGAACATACCTGCCACCTGTTATGTTACTGAAAACATTTTGTGCCAAATATGGAGAGGTATTGTATGATAACTTTTTACACAGTCACACACCATTGGATGTGCGTTTACTGTCTAAAATGAATTAAATATCTTATCACTGAAGACCGTAAAGGAATTATTATCTGAATTAGTAGATGGATTACTATGCGTCACAGCAAACTAGTTCTATATAAATAACTTAAAAGTTTGCTTATTAAGAATGCTAACTTGGTAGTGTATTTTTAATAAAAAATACTAACCTTTGAAAGTTTGTGCTCGTGGTACCAGACCAGCTAATCGTTTTGATGCCCCAAAATCTGTTATTTTCAATTCACCTTTGTACATATTGACCAGAATATTATCTCCTTTGATATCCCGATGAATAATTCTGTTAGCATGCTAAAGTTGGATAAAAGATCACTGTAACTAGTCAAAATTATGGATACATTAAATTTCAGAGCAGTTTCTAAGATAGGTAAGAAGATAGTTGGTGTTTTTCTTGGCAACAGATAAATTACATGTTTACTAAAGTTAGTCCAATGAACTGAAGTATACTTGAGGGTTACTGTTAACAAAGTTTAAGTATTACACTATTTGTTTGTCGAATAAGAAATCCAGCGGTTAATACTGTATCACAGTTTGATAATAAAAATAAACCTATATAATATAGAATGTGAAATAATCTAAATCGGGATAAACTCAGTCATGCTATTACAGTTGGAATTTGAGGGGCAAATATCAACGAATAGATAAAAATGTAATTTAATTAGCGAATTATTCAATGGTATAAATATATCAAAACTGACTTACAAGTGATGACTTATTCAAAACTATTAGCTATAGAGGCGATTTTGAGGTTGATAAATACTCTTAAGCAGTAGTGCATGACAGTAGTTGATCAATAACGGACAAAGAGTAAACCATTTAGTAAAACCTTATAAACAATTATGATTATCCTTAGTGCCCTAATGACAGTGTCTTTCTCCTTTGTCTTTTTTACCAGAATAAACTGTATGAAATACATTTTATAACAATCATTCTGAAAATAGCGAAATTGCTAATCATTTTGGTGTCAAGCTATTCACTTATAACTCATATGTCATGTGCAGTTTCTTGATCTGAAGGACAACACACCAGCAGAACCTAACTAATTTCTTTCTGTTTTAAGGATTTGAGACTATTTCTCATTATTTTCAGCAGTTTCCTCTCCAATTCCTAGCGCCTAAATCATAAATTAACAAACGTTCTTAATCTGAACGACTGCTGTTCTTGCTAACCATAAAAAGGATAATTTCAATACATCTAATAATAAGAGTTATTTTCATTTAGATTCACTCCATCATAAACACACAATTAGGAATTACCAGATGCCCATCCTTTGGCGCTTGTTTCTGTCAAATTACTCATATTAGAACCAGATGGATAGTTGGTGTTTCCCTCTGCACCCTGCTTCAAAATGTTTGTTTTCTGAGTTGTATTTAAAATACTTTGATTACAAATTTTTAGGTCTAAACCATTACAACCCAGTAAAGTAAAAGGTGAATAAAGCCAAAGATAACAAGGTAATCATGTATCGGTGTATAACAGTAACTATCTACTCACTGAAAATACATTCTCACCACTTCAGATTACACTGTAATCATTGTTCAAAAATTAAAGTGAACTTTTTCAACCCTGTTCACGTAAATCAGAACCTTTAATAATGTTTCCAATCAGTTTGAGCAAGTAACGTCTTCAGTTTGAAAAAAGATATTTTCAATAATGTAACCTTTTATGAATACTAAAACCTACTAAATACTGAAGGCCTTCCAAAATTTGTTTAGAATAATTTGCAACTGTTTCTTCTTTCAAAGCTCCATATTTCGATACAAGAGAAGTTAGTGAAGCTGAAAAGGAAGAAGTTATACGGAATGGATATGGGCACTTGATACTTTAGGTAGAAATCAACTGGCTACAACATAAGAAATTTAGGGATGTGAAATGTATTACGTTTTAATACAGTATACGGAATTCGCATAGTAAAATTTTACAGAATTTTACTATGTAACTGATTCATCTGGTGTTTTACAATATTTTAAGAACTAAGTCCAGTCACACGAAAAACACTTACAACTAACTTTATTTAAATCAGAACATATTTTATTGGTTGCTATTGCAAATGTTCAAAGTTTGTTCAGTTCTAAGTTACTGGTATATCAGATACTTTTTGACAAGATACGGAAACATTCCAGGTAGATTGCTTCTAAGTAAACAGCTAAGTCGGTATGTATATTGAATGTTTGCTACAGTCTAGTCGATTTCTTGTTGTCTTAACATCATTATTGACCAAATTGTATCCGTGTAAATTGTAAGATGGTCACTAAGCTAAGTGGCTTACTATCACACTGCATCTGGAATCGATGTTAGATGGTTGAAAGTAATCTGTAGGAAGTTATAGACCTACGTTTTCCGTTTATTGGTATTCGTCGGAATGATCAATCACAGACCTTGACAATTCTATTGTAGGGATTCTGACTTGTATCACTACTGAATTCCTCCGAGCTATAGATATTCTCTACTATATCAGACTTTGCGAACACTAAACATTCTGTACTTGTATTCTCTTGAAAAATTAAAATACATTTCCTTATGCTGAGACTTACCTCCGGGGACTAACTCCATAAATATCATAAATACACCATCATGGTCGACTGATCCAAGATACTGAACAATATTTTTATGATGAAGTTTTGAATGCAACCGAATTTCGTCGTGCAATGGTTGAAATTCTCTAAATAAAATTATAAATGGAATATATTACGGTTTCTACTTTAAAAACCTGCAGAACATACTAAAAATAATGAGAATCTATGACTTATACAGGTAAATCAACTAACTGCCCAACCAATGGTATAGGTAAAGCAAAAGATCTTAATAAAAAAAACTGAAAATAGGACGTTGAAACTTGGTTCACGGATATCAAGGTAATATAATCCTTTCATTTCACTACGCATTATCATGACTGGGAACATTAAACCCTATATTTGTTTTTGGTCTCTGAATAATGAGTAAGATTGGGTGATACTAACTAGCAGTGCAGTTCGTTTTGTGCAATTCTGAAGATATCATGTGTCGTCACTGTGTACCTGTTTCTCAGTGCGTAATGCTGTTGACTATTTTAATTTTACTGAACATTCGTCGTTTCGAATGCCAAAGCTTTTTACATTACATTACTGAGGAGGAATCGTTTTTGCAACGAATTAAACTTTCACTATCAATTAATGAATGAGCGTTTCTTTAAACATAGTTATTTAATGTAACTTCTTGAATACATTCTACTGATAATAAATCATTTTGTTTTCTAAATAAAAAAGGCAAAGAATAAACGAATATTTCTCAACATCTCAATTATTCTACCCATGTATGCAATATTTTAACACTCATCCGTAATCGAAATGCACTAGCACAGTAGTCAGGTTTCCATGACATTTTCACATGTTAACATATGTTTTATATTTCTGTACAGTCTTCCTTTTACATAGGAGTAAAAGTTTTTGCCCGACTTCAGTACAGCTATGGGAATCTGACAGAACAACCCTATTCTTTCCATTATGGGTAAATTCTGTTTTGATAAAGTCTCACAGTGTTATACAGTAATGTTTACTGTATACAGTAAACATTACTGTATAACACTGTGAGACTTTATCAAAACAAAATTTACCCATAATGGAATTACACTCTACCACAGTGCACAAGTTTTATTCTTATATCAACCCTATTCTTTGTTTACAAAAGAAGTTTGTTCTACCTTTGTCTCACTCTTGCTTGCATGGGTAAATTTTACCTTCAGATACCTCCCACCCTTTCTTATTTTCCATTTCCTTCGTATTTTTATGATATTTATTTAAACTCTGATTATCTGCCTACTTCATTTTTAGTATTACGTAAATTTTAAGGTTTGACAATTTTTTAAATTCAATTTTAGATTTTCCCATCGACTGAATGGACCGATGTGCTGACTCTCAGGACAAAATGCGTATCCTGGATTCCACTGCTAGTCATCATCCGCCAATTAACTTCTAATCTGACCTAATTTATTTATTGAATTGTCTACAGATACATATATTACTACCTTCATTATTCTTATCGCCACCTGTATAAACCTTATTATCATTATTTCTGTTATCATTATAATCTTCGCTATTACTGACGATTATAACATTTAACGCTTACTATCATTGGTTAAATTTTTGACATATAAAGCTGTGTAAATTAGAGTAAATCCTGCAGAAGATCTAATTGAAAACAATACTTTTCGCTTAAATGTCTTGAGCTTAAAGTGTTTGCAATGAAAAGTAATCTTAATTATCCACCTCTGATTGTGAGGATGTAAAGCAAAATTCAAACTGTTTGAATATTTTATGACTTCTAAGCTATAAACTTCCTGGAATTCAACAGTCGCTAACGCATTGAAGCACGTTTGCCTATTTTTTTCATACAAGACTAAATATTGATAAAACTATTTCCTGGTTGAATATTTTATTCACAGACGCTATAATAAAATACACCACTGCAATCTTATTTCAGAAAAATGAGAGTTCACCAAACAACAAAATATTTTAGAATTCATTTTGTTGTTGTACACAAAGTGATTCAACGTTTGCTTTTGATCAACATGACCTAAGTTCAAATATTTGTTTACCGTCACTTATTTATTATATAGTAATCTAAGTGCATGGATTTTTGTTTTAATTATTGATTAGCTACATATTAAGGTTCTAAATTACACCTCTAAAATTTAACATTACTAGTTGCTGTCTCCAGCAAAATAGTCGGAAAAGATGTTCCATAGCTTATATCTAAATAATACCATGTTCACTTCAAAAGACTTATCCGATAGTCCAAGATCGTAAAATTTGAAATATCAACCAGTTCTCATTTTCTCAAGTGGTCACATCATGGAAACTAGTGGTAGTAGCATACCATGGAATATCCTCATTATTACACTGACCCTCACAGTATTCTTATGGCTGTTAGCAGTAAAAGACTCTACAAGTATTCAGTTAGTTAAAAACTAAAAGCCAACCATTTATTATCATTACCTTGGGTCCTGAGTGGAACATACAGCTTCAGCAGCTCATCGCCGTTTCATCCTGATCTCTACGGTCTTCTTTTGCTAGCCCCATGACTGTTCTCACACAATCACTTATGTATCACCCTTAGATGCCCAATTCTTCGTTTCTCATTCAGATCCCACTCCAGAGCCTATCGCGTTATGTTACCCAGAGATCTCAGCGTGTGCCGGATTCACCTTACTTACTCTTGCTTATTGGTTGCGCAGTTTCTCTTAGTTAGCTTGATGTCAAAGTTTACACAAGGTAACTGGTTTTTAGCGTAGCGTCAAGTCTCTGAAATTAGTACTGAAAGTCCAAATTTTATTCTGTTTTTTAATTGCAGCATGTTTACTAATTTATGTAAGAGTGGTGAAGGTCTCTCTCGACTTTTCGATCCAGGCTTTGAGATCTTAATCCGTGTCTCCTGCTGTGGTTGGAACGGTGCTGCCAAGCTCGGTAAGTGAAAGCCGTGACCCTAAAAGCTCTTCTGCTGATGGTGATTGGTGGTTGTTGTTGTTGGTTGGTAATCTAAATCACCACTGTACTGTGTTTGTTCACCTGAATTCCTGTCTTTGCTACTTATGCTACCCACTTGTTGATTTTCTCCTACAGGTCTTCGAGTTAGTGTGACATTATACATAAATCATCCTTGAAGTCCAAATCTTCTAGAATCTTCTCGTCGGACCAATGTGTTCCAGATTTCTTGTTCTCTAAAATCTAGCGCATCATCTAATCCACCACAGTTATCATTATTATCGGTGATAGCAGATAGAAGTCTTGCCTTTCTCGTGTCTTTGCTTCAAAGGCCTCAATAAGCTTTCCTTTCTGCAGTCCTAGGTATGTAACATCATCATATAGCCTGTGAACAAGGCTGATAAAGGCCTGTGACACTCCACTGTGTTGCAAAAATTTTCAAATCACTTCACGGTGGACATTGCGGAAGGTCTTTTCAAAGTCGGTGAAGTTAAGATGGAGCTTTTACTGCTATTCTATGCTGCGTTCGACTGTGATGCGTAGAGCTGCAATTTGATTTTCACGTGATTTCCTTTCGAAGAATGCAGCTTTTCTCACATTCAAAAAATATTTTACCCTTTCCAAGATAAAGTGACTTTATATTTGCTAAGTTCTAAATCGACGTTCTTGGATTACAATTTGCCCTCTGTTTTAGCAAAGTCCGATCACTAAATGCTACTTAATACACTACCAGTAACAACTAAGTAGCAACTTTTCTGATTATGAAGACCAAGTGGCATATACTTTCATTTATAGGATATGAAGGACATATATAATCGAGTGATGAATTCAACATGCTTTTAAAGTTACCTACTGAGTGATATTTCTCATTTTCAAACAGCTAATTCAGTCGTCTCTTAAAATTCACGTTCCTTCTCAGTTGTAAAAATTTACATATATATATATATATATATAATATATATATATATATATATATATATATATATAGGCTGCAACAGAATATTCACCAGTAGAGTTATCATATGATTAACAATACAGTCTTTAAAGCCGTATCAACTGTACCTTATATTAGCTGCGTCAATTTCTTTAATGGCAATTTTAATTTGTTTTGTAAGGTCCCAACCAGTATATACAACACCGAAACTGCCTCGACCTAATATTTCTCGTTTATTTTGATCGTTCAAATCATATGTCCACTAAATGTTTAAAAACAAAACACAAATGCATCATCTCCAAATATAATGAAATTTTATAGAATACACTTATTCGTAGTAGCAAGTAAAGCTAATTCAGTAATCATAGGTAGCCTTTCTTGTTATGACCATGATATTCATGATGAAATAATGCCCTCTTGCCTTCTGTATAGATGTGAATGACAAGTGCGTGTGTGAAAAGAATGTTCGAAATATGTTGCGCAAATATACTGCACTTGTCAAACAAACTGCATCTCATTATTGTTTTGTCGAAATTTATGAAGAGAACTAATTGCTTTAAATTTCTGAAGACTCTCTCCTCGCGCTATCAAGAAGTTAGATGATCTTGTTAACTTAAAATGCAAAAGTATTTTGGGACGTGAAAGACTGAAATTTTATAAATCATGTACTTCTGGTATTCTTAGAAAATTCTGAAATCAAGTAGAATGAAGCTAAATAATTAGAACCTTCTCCATGCTAAATCACATATTGAGAAAGCAGTAGAAAATGCTACAACATTCGCTTCTCAATCATACATATGCTTCATATGTTTTGTCGGAATTATCCTTAATGTATCATATGAAATTTAATGCTTTCTGTGCACCTCTAGCCGTCAAAATGAAAGCCAAAATGCGTAAGAAGCTGCATAAATCACTTAATAATAACAAACTTGTAAACCCCTTCCCTATTAACCCAGAGAAATGTGTTATCAGCCGAACTTCCATAGCACTTCCCTGATTGTAGAAACTGGCCTTTTCCTTTGGACCTCAGTTTTGCGTTCCTCAGAAATGGTCCACCAAAAACAGATAAGCCTAACATCCCTCTTTGTCCCATAATTTCAAAGAGCAGATCTCCAACCCACAATTTGCAGTGTTTGGTGTAAATACTGGAAAGTATTAGTAGAAGCTTCTGTAATTCTGTATTGAAAGATACTTTTGAGTTAAGAAAGTGTCATCATAACGGTAATGTAAAGGATAAAACCATTTTTCCTCGAACACTGATTCTTCATTCACAAATGTACCTCTGTTACAGAGAGTTGAGATTTTATGTGACTACATCTTCAACAACAATTTCTTATTACCAGTTTCCATATCTTATTTGGAAGTGTCACTGCTTTTGTTTACTAACAATGTTAAGTTAACATTTGAGGGGGAGCATTTTTGCCGGGTCGATGATATTTCTATGGAAAGACCCTTGGTTCCATTGTGAGCTGATGAATACAAGTCGCATGTTGAAAACCAAGCTGAGGACCCATTTGGAAAGTTTTGTTTTTACGGGGATATGTGAATGACATAACAATCATTGTGATAAACCGATATATGTCATACATATCCTTAACCAAATAAATAAAGAACAAAACAGCATATCGATAACATACGTGAATAAGAATATCGATTGTCTGCTATTTTTAGATGTACTCATAACTCACTGACAAAATGGTTCAGTAAGACGATCTGTCTACAAAAAATCCACACGGATGGGATAGTATCCGAATTGTTATACTTCTTATTCACTACAGTATTGATAAGTATTGGTTAAGTGCTTGTTCAGACGCATTCAGCATATATGTAGAGACGACACAACTGAAGAAGAAACACAACGTTTCACTAAAACACTGTTAGGTAACAACTATCCGCTGAAATTCACTAAGCGTTGCAGAAGTATCAAACAAATGGCTCTGCCGATCCAGTCAGCTCTCAAAAAAGATGTTTATATATCCTTGCCGTTCAAGGATGACCAGCAAAATCTGGTTACTAAGCAAAGATTCAGGGTGGCGATTAACAGAACTTACTACGTAGCCGAACTGATTTTCATAGAGAAAACGAGATCTATGCTGTCCTGTAAACCACCGTAGCACCCGAACGATAGTGTCACATCCCACTGTGTTCACTAAATTAAATGTGTTCGCGGACACGTATATAGGAAGGACCCATCGGTCTGTGCAGGTTAGGGCTACAGAACGTATTCCAAAGTGTCTGCAAAAACAAAAAATCACAGGACACAACTGATCCCGGAAATAGATGTCCAAAATCTATAGCGAAGCACATCATACAGACGAGTTACAAGGCTGATTTCAATAGTGCTTTTGAAACCATAAATAAAACAAGATGGGGTCGTGTACTTAATATCATTGAAGGATTGGCCATCAAAAGGCTTAGACCTGTTTTATGTGTTCAAAAATTAATTGTTATTACTTTAAACTTGCCTTGATAATCGAATTTAAAACCAAAGTTCATTTTACAAAATAATATTTAAACCCTTTTCCTTCTCTTTCTTACAGCACATCTTTACGTCATCTTCCAACTCCTCATATGTGACCCTGATCTGTGCACAATTTGTCTTGTGTCGTAATAATTCACTCTCCCTTGCTTTCTATATGTGTATGACAATTACTCATGTGACTGGAATGTCCGAAATATGCTACGCAAATACATTACACATTTCAGACAAACTACGTTTTCTTATTTTGTCAAAATGCCTAGCTCTCCTAGTGGCTATTGGATTGTTATAATGACTGTAGAGCATGATTGTGTCACGTAATAAATCAGTCCATCACTCTTGTACGTATTATAACTTGTCAGGAATTGGAAGCGGTTCTCAACAGGAATAAATATTGTAAATAATAAGCTATTTATTATGGTTGTGCGTAGATCAAACATTCATTAATGAACGTATAGCTAATTAACTGATTATATATAAAGTCAAATACTGAGGCTGGTAGTACAAGTATTCACAAATTGTATAATCAATGTTCAACTTCATTCTAAAAGTTTGTTTTTTATATACTCCGCTCATATAACACAAAACCTAAATGAGACATTTTAGACAAATACAATTTTGTTTACGACTGTGTTGCATATTTTTTGAAGGGTTTTAATGAGATCGATATGCAGTTAGTTTGGTGGTGCGAAATAATGAATATACTTTATAAACATGCACACTTTAGCGATATAACAGTATATAGCATAGGCTAATAAAATGCATCACAAGGTTGTTAAAATCTACCTTAAACGTTTCATTAGATCTTTCGTCTAATAAGAAACCAGAATTTTCCTCTTCTGAGAATAAGCATTCACGCAAAACCGCATAGAATCTTTGAAAGAAAAATATATTAGAAACATAAAACAGTAATGCTCGTTATGATCTTATTGTAACTGGTAATTTATGCTAGTACACCGAAAAGTGATTTATCAAAGAAGCTTTGGTCATCAGTTTTATATGACGATATTAATATACAATTACCATTTTTTAAGAGGTAAGGACTTGTAAATTCAAGCTGTTTCAAATAGTTTCACCAGTAATTCACGTTTGTCCCAACAAGAAAAGAAAGGTGGAATATTTGTCAAGGTTCCAAAATAGAATATGTTCAAATCAAATTTCTCTCTTTAATGAATTACTATATTAATATTTGATTGTATTAGTTGACCTCAGAATATTGTAAATATGGTTTTCCCTTATTGACTTGCTAGTTGTTAACAGTGTTAAAGAAGAGTAAAGCCTCATTCCCGAAATATTCTTTTCGTCAGCTTTAAAACTATAAATGATTTTCTCATAAACTTTGCCTTTTAGTTCATCATGGTATCAATGCTGATTCTAAAGACTGGCCTTAATATGTCGGTAACTGTACTTTGATGTCTTTGTGATATAATTAGTATCACTTTGAAACGTACTGCTTACATTGAATTTGTTTTCAATGTCACGCAGTAATTCACCTCGGAAATTCTTGGTGTCATTCTACCCAACAAGCAAAATTAACCGTGTTTTTCTTACATTTTTGGAATAATAACTGAAAACCAAAAGTCGTAGATTATGAATAAAAGTCTGCAAGTAAATGCGAATCTCCTAGCGTCGGTGGCACAGTGGTTAGGACTCTCGCCGACCATGCACATGGTCCGGGGTTCGAGCCCGCACCGACGCACACCTGATATCTATGGTTGGCCTGCAAAATTTGGGCTACCGATATCCATGCTGAAAATTCCATACTTGTACCGAAAATACAGTGTGGAATCGAGCTGTAAATCAAAAATAAAAATAAAAAAATAAAAGAATGTTACTGAGTAATTTCACAATCAAAATCATCCTGGTCTAGTCAGTAAGCTCATCGTATATTGGTTTTATTGAAGATTTGTACAACCAGATTATAAAGTGATTAACTAATTTCACTCATCAAAGTGGTGGGTTGGAAACACCTATTTCCCGATACGAATTTAAAGCAAGCGATAAATGTTAATAAAGCGGGACTTAATGAATTCATCATATCCTGCCTTATTAATTTTAAAGAGGTAAGCATTAAACTTCATACAGCACTTTTTTATTTCTTTTGCGTCCCAAGTGGAACATAGGGCTTCATGCTTGAGGTCTGCAATCTTAGTAGAAGTGGTGTTTCTATGACATGTGTTTGCTGGCCCACCCCCAACCTTCCTTGTTTGTCGGGCTTATAGTCAGCTAGATGAGTTAAAGGTGTATTCCGGCTGGAATATGAGTCCCGGACTACATTCATGGTTGGCGAACATTCTACTACTGAACTAGCACAAATCTAAATTATTTTTGCTCACTTCATTATTATCCTAAGAAAACGTCTTTGTACGCTTTAATACTTGTTTTAGGGTACTTTCAAACGACTGAATATGATTTGTTTGGTTTTGTCAGAAGGTAACGAAACATTCTGAAGCTGCGGAATACTGGATTTACAAAACTCAACTCCGTGCTTTCAAAAACATCATTCGAAGTCAGGTATTTTTTTATTTGTTTATATGCTAAGTTGCTAGACACACGTTTGTGTAGCAGATCACGATACTTTTTTGATTGGACACTAGTCAGTAACCAGTGTAATGTGTGTGTATCTAATCTTGTCTTTGGTGCAGACTGAATTCTACCAGTTCAGGGCATTCTGCCGATTGCCTTTAACTATCTAATACGAACTGATCACGATACTATGTAAATTCTAAATCTGAAGTAGTTGAAGTATGATGCACACTTAAAGCATATTGTTTGAAAATCGAGCATCTAAAACAATGTGTGAAATATGTGTAAACAACCGTTTGGTTCATTAAGAGTGAAATTAAATGCATAAAAAGTTTAATTCAACCCTACTTGTTGGATAGGAACATCGCACTGATGCTAACGTAGCCTTCAGGGTTACATATCACATTCCGAAGTCATTATAAGTCATGGTTCGCCTAGATCTTTTACACAGAGTTGGGTCTATTCTAATACGACCAAATAAACTGGAGTTATTTTTATCCAAAGGGAACATTTTTGGGTCATGTTCCTACTGTGGTCACATACAGATTAAAATTTCTACCGACTTCAGAGAGTGTCTTTTCTCTCACCTCATTTTCTTCCCCTTTGTTTATTATTCTACGTTTCTTTTTATCTTCATCCTAGTGGTTTTAGCCACAATATTCCATAATTTATATCCTTCATCTTTATGATATTGTAGAATTTCCTATTTGTACTATGTCTTATAACTACTGATAGTACTACCGCCTGTTTCATTTTACACATTGCTTATTTTATGATGAACATTTCAGAGCAGTTTTACTATTACCTCTTTAATGCATACTGTTTTGTAATAGCCACCGGTTTAACACCTTTTATGACCCTGAACTGACACGTGAATTCTCCTTCCTCACATTCTATGAATAAATCACGAATAACCACCAACATCATCTCGCATTTCACAATATTTTTTAATAACATTTATCTCAGCACGCTTTTGTCACCTTATAACTCATCTGCTATTCTCCGTAAAGTGTATCCACCGCGTGTTACATTTTATAATCGTAACAGCCTGAAAAGAATTCACTGACAGGAATACTCTTCATTCAGAGTGACTTTTAACTAAAGATAAGGAAATAATTCACACTTATAAATATTAGAATGAAAGTAGTTTTTTCCATTTTTAAAAGCGTCACATCTTTTCTTTGTTTCCAACTTTCAGTAGTTACTTGGTTCGTAAATAAACTTATTCAGCTACGTCTCAACAAATGGTAACTATTATAGAATGTTATTTATACTGCATTTATATCTACGACATGTGAAAATGTTACCGGATGCTGTCTTATCAAATCTGCCGAGGTTTTTAATTTTCTTAAAATACAATATTAGTCAAACGCCGATGATGTGAGTTGGAATAAAAATAGAAACTTCTTGAAACATAATCCATTGGTAAACGCTCAGAAGACTGTTCCTACTGAAATAAGTTGCCTAACATTCAAGCTATTACAATTAAGTGTGTTCTCTAAGGTGGTTGGTTTAATTGTGGAGCTTTTGTCGTCCTTTTGGACAACATCTTCGGCGCAAGTCTTAACATAAAATGAACTGATTTAAATTCTCCGTGAATGATAGAATTGCGTCTCCTGGCAACCATCTTCGTAACTGGTAGTCGATACACATCTGTATTGATCATTTTTTATTGACTTGAATTTTGAACTTTCTTACTACTTAATTTAATTTTTACTGGTTGGTAAATTTGGTCTATATCAATATGTTTGTTAATCACTGATTCACTTGAGTACCAGGCTTCTAGAAATTCCCTGGCAGTATTGATGCTGTTTCCTCTATTTAAAATCTCGACGTTATCTCAATCGAATTAGTGTCCATTGATATGAAGGAATACATATCACGTCTTTTCGCAGCTAATTTGTGTTCTTGGATTCTGATTCAAAGGGGACTCTCACTGTGACCAATGTTATGTCTGTTACGGTTTATACAATTTATTTTGTAAATTGTATTAGTTTTATCTCCTTTTCCTGTTGGATCTTTCGGTTTGCACAATATAGAATTAAGTGATTTGACTGGCTTGTGTTCTATATCTATTTCAGACGGTTTCATTATTCTAGCTGTTATTTGAGAGATATTTTCTCTATATGGAAGAATAAATCTTTTTGTAGTTTTTGACGATGGTTTCTTGTTGGTGTTGTGACTCGATTTTAAACACTTTTTGATTAAATTGTGGGGATACCCATTCTTTTTGAAGACGGTTAGCAGGTAATTTTCATCCATTCTCTTCAACACAGAAGTGCTACAGTGTGTTTGAACTCTTTTAAACAATTTGTACACACAGTTTTGTGGGTAATTGAGTTATTGCTGCAAATCTTCTCTGTTATTCAAACTGTTAGTCAAGCCGTACAAGAAATAAAAGTTGTCCAAACAATAAATACACAATGATGAAATTGCATTACCTTTATAAGTCAAAATAGTTATGGTGCATAAATTTATACATCCTGATTTGGTGTATGTATAAAAGCAAGAATGGAAAGAATGTGTTAAACATGGAAAATCTTTCCTTCTTTTAATCCCAAGTTTTTACACGTGTTAATTCAACAATCATATCAATTAATTTAGAAATGATTTATCGGCCAGATAAAATGAAAAAAAACAACAACACGATCAGGCATTTTATATAATTACCCTTTATTCTTTAAAATGTAGTACTTACTGCATTTTTACTTTTTCACAGGAGAATGATATACGATAGTTCGGCAATGAACACGACGTGTATAGGTAAACACTACGACTGTTGTTTTCTGTCATGCTGCAAAAAAAAGAATTATGTTTTTTAAAATAATGAAAATAATTTACCGTCAGTGTACTGAAAATCAAAATATAGTTGTTCATTTTTATGACGTAATAAATACGAATTCTTTTATATGGGTGAAAGTATTCAACCTGTGTTGAGAAGCAGGGGAATTTTTTGAATGTCTGCAAACTATAGAGAGTCGCAACACATTGCGTTTTCTCTTGAAACATTAGTCACAACTATTTTAACACTGACAATAAATCAACACTCTATATATTTATATTTATTCAAAGCTTTGAATATATGCATCCAGAATAATTCAGAAGACAATGCAGATGCAAAATATGGATTGTAGGGTTCACTACAGGTTGGTGAGTAATGAAAACACAACATTATAACCATGCAAGTGTTCCGGGTTTCGATTTCTGACCGGTGCACTTCTTTACCTCCCATAACTGGTAGTGGGCTAGGCAAAGAGGCGAGGTTGAGCGTTAGGCTAGCAACCTTCCCCTGTTAAAAACACCACTTCTACTGAAACTTCAAAGGCTCTAGCTAGAAGCCGTTTGCTCCACTGGGAACGTAAAGGAAAAAATAGTAATAATTATAAGGTTTCCAGAAGTGATATTTTTCTACTGTTTGAGTATTTCTTGGAGAATGAAACAAGGATGATGACTATGTAATGGAAGTAATGGCAAAGCACGTATGAATATTATTTCCTGTAGATTGATGAATCTAAAGTAATCTCCATGAAATATTTTTCCAGGTCTACGACTGATACAAGCTTTTGCCGTCCATTTATTTTTATTTTCTCTTGTCTTTTAATAACTTTTCACTATATTATGTATTTAAACCTTTCATTGTCTAACAGTAGACAGAAAAAAACTGCAGTAACATAAGCGAAAAGAACACTGGGCGGTAAAATTGTATTGATGATGTCTGCAGTGTTATGAAGTTAAAGTAAAGCCTATGACCGTAGAAATCATTCAGAATAGAACCTCGTTCAAGTTCAGGTAAAACAGATTTAAAGATGTATTTCTGGAAAAATATCTCATATATCTGTTTACGAATTGGAACGCTTAAGTCAAATGGGGAAACAGAAGTTGATTTACATAAAGTAGATTGTGGAAACATATAAGTTAACAGTTATACCCAGTGAGGTAAATCAAGATCCAGTAAAAATGCACAACCTTTCAAATTCACTATCTCATCTGTAAAACTATACTGTATTAAGGAGGCAATATAGGATAGCAGAGGTAGGCGTCAGTTCGACATTGATGACTATATTATGTCATTATATTCCATCATAATTGGAAATAAAATAGTGAATTGGGCATCTTGTAATTATATAAGTGTACGTCAGTGGTTCAGCCGAGGAACGCTCGCCAACCACTCACGTGGTCCGAGGATCGAGCCTCGGCCGCAGTTGCCCAAAGCCTCACTAAGCCCACAGTTAGGCCGATACAGATGGATGAGGTAAGTTGATAAGTACCACATAAGACAATTTTACACTCAGTGAGAATTAATCAGATATCACTCCTTAAGAAGCTATTCACATTACCAAAGGTAGACATTCTCAACCAATTCACTTCATCCTTTGGCATCAGATATTGCTGTATGTCAGTAATGCGTTATCACCTTGCATTTGACAGGAGTAAATCGCACACCAAACACTGGAATATTTCTGCTTAAGGCGATGAGAAGACTGTGCATTATGTTAACACTTTTATCTAGAGGGACCATATCATTCGCATACTCCAAGTTAATGAGACTATCCCTCAAAATTAAATCGATTTCTAAGGCTTTAAAGTCAATTAGAATCATATCCATCAATACATCTATGACCAAATTAAGTGAAAATTGGAGACACTGGACATTCTTAACAACACAAGTGATTCTCATTACTTCAGATGAAAACTATTCGTAACTTCTTACACAGCTGAGTGAATGGAACACAACACAGTGCATAGGAGGAACAAAAACAGAAGTTTTAACAATCAAAATAAAAAACAATATTCGTTCAATGGTAAAAGTCAATCTACAGCTCAGTTTTTGAGGGATAATTTACAGAGTAATCTCCAATTCTGAAGCGCAACCTTTTATTGAAGGGAAAAGTATAAGTGACATATTTAAGATAGATTTAACACTATGGAATCATAGTAAAGTAGAGGTAATAAATGAGTTACATAACTTAGTCGTGCTTAAAAGAAAATCTACCTTCAGTCTATAAAATAATGCTGCAATATGCTAAGTGGAGCACTCACAGAACTGCTAGCCAGTGGACACCAATGCTACAGCAAAAGCAGAAATTCTGAATGCATCCAAGCTAGTGAACTCCAGTCGAGAACAGACGGAGTTCCGCCGAAAACAATGGAAACGGTCATCGAGACAGCAGCTGATGTGCTCAACCTACTATTGGAAGGAAGGAGTGGTATCTACCGATCCGAGGAAAGGCTACCTTGTCAAGCTACAAAAGAATTGTGAATTACGTCTCTACAAGATATGGAGCGGAATAATCCTCTTGTCCACTCCAAGTAAAATACTAAGTCACCCAATCCTAAAGAGAATAAAAGATGCACTGGATGCAGAACAACACCAGCCCACCAAGGAGAACAAGCTGGATTCAGGAAAGCCAAATCATCCGCTGATCAAATTCCAACTCTACTCATCGCCATCATAGGACAAAGCATAGAACGTCAGTCAAACCTGTCTCTACCTCAAATTCATCGACTTCGAAGAGGCCATCGACAGACAGCGTTGACCGCGAAGTAATTTAGAAACTGCCCTAACACGTGTCAGGTGATCCACAACGAAAAACTCAGCGAGAAGTTCGAAGTGCATGCAAGAATAAGACAAAGCTGCCTTCCCATTACCACCCACGATGATATTCTTAATTGTGATGGACTGGATTATGCGTCAGACTGTGCTTACGAATGAGAAGACGCGAATACGCTGGACAACTGATAAGGAGACTCCAGAAGACCTGGATGTCGCGTGCGGATGATTTATGTGAATATCAGACAAACTGGAAGATTTGAAGGCGTAAACCAACAAACTGTCAGAAGAATCAAGTGGAAAAGACAGGACTCCAGGTGGACATAGTGAAGACGGAGGTGATGAAGACAACCGACTAACCAACTTCAACGACCAAGTAGCAACAACCACCGCCAATCACATCACCGCGAGAAATTTGACAGAGGTTACTTCCTTCACTTACCTGTCCAGGGTGCATGGTTTCAACCACAGGCACATGGCACGGAAGAAAGTGTCAAAACCAGCCAATAAGCTAGTATCGGAAAGGCGAGACACGCTTATCTTCATCAATCTGAAACCAGTTTGGAAATCTTCCGCACTGCACTCAGCTAGCTAGCATCAAGAAAAAGATTCGGATTCTGTTCAACACAAATATCAGTGAAGTCAGTCACTCCTTCTATACAAGTCAGAAACGTGCACTGAGTTTCAGTCACGAAAAGGATTTTCAACAGCCAGCTGCAGACTTTCATCAACAGCTGACACCTTCGCTGGCTGGCTGGCTGGCTTGCTCCATACTGCAGATCAAATGGCCAGCCGGCTTGTCAGAAAGAATTAGCAACAAGGAACTCTGACTGACAACAAGCCAACCAAGGGCGGATGCTCAACAAATATGTAGGAGAAAGTGGAAGTGAATTGGTCGGGAACACGTTGGTGAGGCCGTTGAATGAAATCGCGCGCAATGCAGGTCATTGGTCGACTGGAATCCTGATGGGGAGCGACGGCCGAGTTGGTCGTCGGTGCGAGTGTCACATGGGGGAGATTGCGTTAGGAGGAGAGTTGAGATAATTGGCTGTGGTGGAGCTAGGCAGCTAAGGAGAGTAGCAGAAAATAAAATAAAGTGGAGATGTGTTATTGAAACCTTATATTCTGCTCGGAACCCAGGGGAATAATAATAATGATAAGTACTAACGTTCATCTAATTTTAGTGTTGTAGCATCAATGAAAATGCTTATCAAATTGGAATATTTTGTTTCGCACTTTTTAGTGAGATTTCAATCGAAACATTTTCACATTACTTATAGGTAGACATGAATTGTTTTAGTACATCAGAACATAAGTGTTAAACTAATTCATGAAATCGGTTTCGTCCATCAGATTCATTTCATCTTCATTTATTTGTTGGCATGCTTTTTACACTGAAAACAATTTGTCTAGAATTGAAGCACTTAGTTAAACACAAACAACAGATTATTTCGCCTTACGGTTCAAGAACTTGAATATCCAAAATTATTCACGAAAAACTTGATCAAACTAATGTAAACAAACATAATTGTCGCTGGTTTCGGGTTTAGAGAATTTCCAATAAATCTGTTCATTTTAAATAAAGAAATATTTATAAAAACGTCTAGTTTTATTTTCCATATCCACCGGGAACAGAGCTTTTGTAGAAACATGTGTAATTTATTCATGACTCAAGCGATTCTAAATTATCTAAATTATCCACAAACTTCATTATTTTAGGCCTACTTTGTAACGAAATTATTCTCAAGTATTCTTTACTCGTTTAAAGTGGCAAGTGTATGATGAGGTTTAGTAAGCAGTTGTTGTGTTCATAACACGTTTATCTTTTTATAATGATTGACTTAATAACTATGGAGTTCTGCTGCAACGTAAATACATATTAGTATACATTTAATTCATAAACCTCAGTTATATAAAAAGTGCACTGGTAGTCCCAAATGTCTCCACATAACTCATAAACGTGTTACATATTCAGTTAGCCACAGTGGTTAGAGTGTCTAGGATAAAATTAGATAATCTAACTTAGGTGACTGTTTAAATGACATGCTATGAATATGTGATGTATCTATTCTCTTGTAAATTTTCGCAAAGTGATTTTCTCTATTTGAGTCAATAAAGGCATGTTGAATCGTATAAGGGCCTGAAGATGCAGACTCAAAATAAAACGTTCATGAAGATACATAATGAAATGTTGTTTTTGGTATAAGAAATGGCAGAATAAAAGTCATAGTGAATATTAAGTACATAAGAAAAACTACTTCATGCAGGTATCAGATATAATGTGGTTTGTTCCTCTGGTGTATTGGTAGGGTTTATGTAGGTCTAGACTTAAAAAAAGCATTCAATGCAAAATATAGTAACTTCTGGATGCAGGAAAAGAATTTCAATATGTGATACGAAGTTGTTTAAATCATTCAGCTAAACTTTCAAATGATTTAAAACATCTTAAAGGCAGAATGCATATATTCATTCCCATTTTGAAAGATGAAAAATAGAAATAGGAAAAGTTGTACAAACGAATGAAAGAATAATCATGCACTATTAGAAAGAAAGGTATGACAAAGAGAAGTGTGCAGCCTAGTCAGTCAGAGTTTTGCTGGAGAATAGCAAATCCAAATACTTTCTTACTAGTCCGTTTATTAGTCGTGAAGGTCAGAGATAATGTGTAATGGAATTCCCCTCGTGGTTACATTTACCACTTGTGATTTGATAGAAATAGTGCACTGTTACATCCCATATTTCGTTATGCTACCTGAATATATTATTATAATAAACTTTAGTTCATTTATAATCTTGTGTATCTCTGTATCTAAACTAGAGGAGAAAAACTGTTAGTCAAAATATTCATGTATGTAGAAAAGTCAGCAGCCGAGATCTAAAAAGAGTGATAAACTCCACAAATACCCTCGTTTACATTTGATGGTTGTTTTTAAATCTACTATATCTGAGGACTAATTTTAAATAATTATGTTATACGAATGGAAATCTGTCAATCATGCATAAACTATCCATCAAAGATAACATAAATCTAAGTGATTTATAAAAAACTGCTAATTGCCAAACCATAATTTTACAATACGTAATCTATAAGAGTTACTGAGTAGTAAACCAAAATATTGATTTCTTATGTTTGTGGTTTCAAGTATTCTCTATACTTATTAGGAATGTGTAAGTGGAAGTCATTTATGACGTAAAGAGAAGCTAATCACATTAGTATCAAGCTGTTTTACTATAAACATTTGCGGATCCATAGTTTCTTACTTTGGCACATCTGTATATTCTAAATACGATCTGTTCGTATAATGTATGTGTTTGCGTTATCTGCTGTGTTTGTCAGCCTCTTGCAACCATGGTAACAATTGTTACATGAATTAAATAAATAATGCTGAAAAAATCACGTTGTATTAAATGTCTACTATCTTTATGAGTAACCTAAATTTTATTCATTAAAGGTGGTTTGCAGGTATTCGCATGTGGTCAAGTGAATAATGCCCTAGCGTTTAAAACAATCGCTGCTAAGTTCCAGTTTCAGTGGGGATTGTGGGTTCACCGAAAGGGAGTGAAATTCCCACCCTAGATTCAGGTGCTAGCCATCATACACCAAACCACATCATGTTAATTCTCAACATCCTCAAATCGTCCGTATTAGGGCCGATTTGTCAATAGAGGCTCAACATTTTGCTCCAATCGATCAAAGGAGGAAAACAAAATTGACTGTAACATTTGAAAGTAGTTATAAAAAGATGCCGTCGTCCTCCGTTTTTTATAATTCAAAAACATACGACTGAGATATGATAGAGAAGATTTGTAGCTCAGGTGGGTGATTTTGATGTGGTTGTGTTCTCTGAGCTGGATGGTTAATTCGCGAATTAACCATCCAGCTCAGAGAACACAACCACATCAAAGACATACGACTGAAAACGATATTTTTCACTATCACTGCAAATAAATTAGGATTTTGTCAGTGGGTCATTTTCCAGTGTTTTTGTCTTTAACACAATTCTGTCAATGAGTTCATTTCAAAACTTTCAGTTGAATATTACTGATACACATGAGTCACTGAACCATTTATAACTTCTGTAATGATTGTTTACTGCCGAAGAAGACTTACTTTATTCCTATGATATCTTCTGTGTTTAAAATTAAATCCTCATCTTGATTGTGCTCATTGAAACGTGGAAAGTGTTGACGCATAGTACCACAGTTGCCTAAATCAACCGACTGTATAGTTGAAGATATCGTATAGTCTAGGTCGTAGAAAATTATACGAAGATTTCTTGGTACAGCATTTATATTTACTTGAATATTTGCCGGTTTCATAACAGTACAATTCTGTTCGGTTACAAGTACGGGATATACTATTCGTTTCGGATGAATATCATATGGCAGTGTAAAGGAATCTCTTTCTGTATCGCCTAAATATGAAACACAAATCAGAATAGAATATATGAGGAAGGCAAAAATTAACTGCATTGTGCGTGTATGTAACCGCACAAATTTTAAAAAACGTTTCTTAAATTTTAATAAACAAAATAATGGAATTTGAATTGTACTCACAAAGATTTTTCTAAAGACTCTTAACCAGAATATTCAAGTCAAACTTTTCTAAATTAATATTAAAGATTCCGCTTACTCGATTAATCTTTCAACTTGAGCAAATTAATATTTTATGCAGTAGTTCTGACTGAAGATCTCCACTAAAACAGAGTGAACTAAAAATAAGTTGGTGACATACAGCTTTAATTTGATGACTAAGTACTCTGAGTCAGAATTAAGAGAATAAATTTATTCTAAAATACTTAACATACTTTTGATAAAACCATAATATGGTTTATCACTAGAACAACGACTTCTAATACTTTCTGTTTAATATACTAAGTAAACGTGTAGAAGGAAGATTGAGTCTATTTTTACTCTAAAAGTTATCCAATTATTCATTTCTATGAATTTGTTATACTGACATTGTCAATTTAAAATGTTTATTAAAAACTGGTATTTTCTCTACGAGACAGATAAGAAACAAGTTATATTATATGGGTTGGAAAATTAACAGTTGACTAGTAATTTCTGCGCTTATTTTTAATTGACTCGATAGACATTTGACTTTATATAACTGGAACATTTATCTGTGCATATGAACGACTGAAATTACTTCACTCAGTATTAACGCGTAATGAGTAACTTATCGACTTTCATGATTATCGTTCAGTTATCTGTGGGGTAATTTCGAGTGCGGAATACTGATTACTGACTTCATGGATACGCGACACGTTTTAACTCCATCCATAGCTGAAGCACTAACCATCATGCCGTCATCTTCATTTAATAAATCTTACATCAACTACAAGGTGTTTTATTTCGTTCTTGCACCACAAAATCAACCAATCGTTTCATTCACACAAATGGTCAGTGAGACAGAGATTATCAACATAGAAATCTAGCACTAATACGTGGTAATCTCAGTTGCTACAATGGAAGGCAAAGCAAAACTTATTAGCACAAAAAGATGATACAGTATTAATTTTCTCATACGCACAGTTGGTGACAGCAGTATGGTAGGAACTGGATAGCGAAATTAGCTTGGATTAAGAAAACTTTTTTCTTTTTGAACTGAGACGTTATAACACGACGAAACTAAGCTAAATTATGCTTGGCTACTCAGACAAACATAACAGTTAAGCAACTTCAAGGCAACTATCACAAAAAGGACTTAGAAATATCCATAGAAATTTAACAGTTCATTGATTAAACAATCATTTATCAAAATGTTTGCCGGTGGAAAAATTGATAACGATGCAAAAAATTGAAACAACACTTGACTCCAATATTCATGTAACCGATTGTGTGGTTGGAGAACAGTTCTTATCAAAGTTCTATATAAAAAGATGCTACTACTTTAAATCACATTTCTTTCTTCACTTTTTCCTACTTTTAAAAATTCTGAAAAGTTTAATAAATTCTTTTCATAATTAGGGATGATTATTCAGTTCTTTTACTCTAGTGTTCGTAATTTCACATCACTTCATTTAAAATGCCAGACAGATAAGGATATTCTACCGTACCTTTCAAATGCTTTGGCGATTTTCACAGTGTGAAAGAAAACCAGTAGTTCATGTTCATATCCTCAGGCGATATGATGTTTAGAAACTGAACTACGATGATAACGGTCATTGAATCTTATTCTTGGTTTGTAATGTTTACACACATGATATTATATTCACTCACTTGATATAGCCAACATTTGGTTACTTTCATCTGTATCACACACTGTGGATAGAAATTCCATCCAAAAGTCGAAAAGCTACAAATACAATGAGGGAATACAAAATAGAATGAAACTTATCAGTGATAAAATTTATATAACTAGACTAAAAGAATGACAACTAAGTCATGTGCATCCAGTCGGTCACATAATTCTGATTTACTACATCTGAATATGGCTTTTGTTCACATAATTAAGAAGAAACTGTTTCCAAAAAATTAAGACAGAATAAAGAAATATGTTGCAGTGATTTCCTCACAGTCTCAGTAACAAAAATCTTATTGAAATACGGTTAAAAGTAAAAACTCAAGTTTCTCACTGTTGTAAGATTTCAGTCTTTACATTATGGCGCACGTATTGAATGTAATAAATATTTAAAGATATTTGCTATTCTCTCAATTTCCGAGTTACTTTATCTACCTAAATGAACCTGGGTTAAAACACACCTAGAAACATCTCAAAGAAATTACTGCATAAACGGAATAGGTCTTTTAGAGAGAAAATACAAGGACTCTGGCGAGAAGGTTTGCCTTTTACAAAGCTTTGCTCATTTATTTAACCAAATTAGCTGCCCACATACTTATAACCTTAGTTTGGTAACAATTTTCATCTCTTTGTCAACAAACGGCATTGCAGCACTGTGCAAACTGATAAATTTAGATTAAAACTTAAGATTATACACCCGTCATCCAGTGATCTGCATGTGTATGTCATATGTCAGATCAGTCGAAACTTCCTGAAAAGTCACATAACGCAATTTCGGACGTCACATATAATAGTTCTCATTAAAATTGTGACTAAAATTTTCATTCCAACGAGAAAGAACTCTAGGATAAGCTTCCCTACCATCGACTCGTAGTGTCAAAACACTTTTGTCTCGGAAGAAAAGAGGTATGTTAGTACCTAAACTCTGTCAGTTAAAGTAACAAGTGTATTTGTTTGGTATGACTGAGGTCAAAAGTCTTGTACAATGATTAAATTCAATGCTGTTCCTGAACTGTTGGAAATAAAACGATTAAGAAGGAACTTGAAGTTGTTAGATGCTGGGTAGACTATTTAAATTATGTTTACTTATGAATACAGATACCTTTCTATGCTGTACAACAGCCAGTTGACAGGCATTTATGCGATAGATACCCTAGATATAAAGCCTGTCTTACTATTAATAAAAATAAATATTTTTGATTTTTACGACTGAAGGTTTTATGTGCATCACGAATAAATAGTTCGAAAATCAGAAAACTCCTTACCTTATGTGCCTTTGAAACTTTATTCTCTTCAGGAGGTTTACGAAATTTGCAGATCATTTTTATGTTACCTAGAGTCGATTCCAGCTCCCTAGAAAGGAAGAGATTGAAGATATGTTTGTTAAAAACAATGTCCACAATTGTTCAAGAGATAATTCTATTAAATAAGCTTTACTCATTAATAACTAAAGTGAATGCGTAGAATAATGACTTTACTATTTAGAAACCTGTAGCTCAAAATACAGACAAAATAAAATATCTTTTCGACAGCAGAACTGCTTCTTCACCTAGATGCTAAAAGTAATTCATAGAGAATTTCTAAATACAAGTTTTGGATTGATTTGATATGCTGGGAACACAAAGAAAACTTATGTTTCCTTCAACATTGGAACCTGAATTTCGAAAAATCATTATATTTTCCAACTAAATCCAGCTGTTATTCTTATCCCAAAAGTCTGTTGAATGTTCACATAACGATAAACATGATTCTGGTAATACATTAACAAAAATGTCTTTACTCTGTTTTGAAGCTGAAACCAACTACAAAATAAAACCAACTAAAAACGGATCTAAGGTAAAACTGTATCTAATCCATCCCTGATAAAATCATGTTAGTAAAGCATAACTTATAATTAAGGGAAAACTGTGAAAGCAAATTGGTTCATCCTATTGTCGGTTGAATGAAGTCAAACTACCGACCTTCATATTGGTAACATTTCGTAAACATCCCTACAAGACCTAAATGTTTTCTTACATGTGTAAATAAACAAACATAGATAGCTGCAATGGTATCTCTCTTTATGTAATTAAGTTAGTGTCCGTTGCATAAGAAAATACGTTCACTGAAATATTCCGAATATCTGCTCGTTTGCATATAGTCAAGATGATCTCATAAACAGTTATATATGGAAGGGGTTTATACAGCAGAATATGTGTAATTTGTCAAAGACAGTTCGCACTTACAGGAAAATAGTCACTGCAATGGACATTTTGTCTGACTTAGACAAAACAGTCATCACAAAGTTCTCAAACTTGAAGTTATTTATGCCAATAGAATAAAATACCACTTCAGTATATATATTTGCAGTCTGATGAAATCAAACATAAAGCCTCAATTAATATTTTAAAATATTTCAACTAGTGTCATATTATTTCCATTTCAAATGTTTATGGTTATCCGTAAGTCGAGTATTATTCAGTGTTCCACATTGTTCTAAATTAAATTTGTGAGTTATGAAATTACTCTTTGTTTGCCGTTTCTGTATTATTTTAAAATAGAAATCGATCTAGTTTAGGTATATGCAACTGTCAAATAAAGTGACATCACGTGATCGAGAAAATCACGTGAAAAGGTAGAAATATACAAACACTATGTTGAAAGAATAGTATTTTTGTAATAAAACTGATATTAGGAGAATAATATAAACAGTCTATTCACAGGTAAGGGATTTTGTCTGGAATAGCAAGGTAAATTATTCCAGTAACTTTTACCGATGTATGGAGAGTGACTCGAAATCACTTTCTGAAGCGATACGTAGAAATGTAGTCAGTAGAATTAAAAATTAAACAAATCAGATATTCGGCTCACTTTTATCTAGTTTTTAGAACAATAATTTTAGATGGACTTTGGTAGAGATAGAATCATAAATGTCGGTGAAGCTCAATTATATTCAGACGTATTTCGTGCTTAAGCTTCGATGAGGAAAAAGACACGTAAATTCAGTCTCGTGTAAGTTAATTTAGTAAATACATATATCATGGCTAGCGGTCGCGCTATGTTGTGAATTGGCAGAAGTAAGAATTCAAGGTCCATTGGATCGGGTCCCAGTGGCTTAATGGTATACGAGCTTGCCTTGTAACCGGAAGGCCCTGGGTTCGAATCCCGGTGGGTGCGTACTGATGAAGAGTCCCAAACTAGGACGAAACAGCTGTTCAGTACTCCCAGGTTTTCCAATGGTTCTCTAACTAATGTCAGCTCATGATGAAATCCTGAAACCAATCAAATCCCTACAAACCAACACTTGAATACATATATCATTAAATTGACAATATGCCGTCTATCAGGGAATGAATATATTTGATTTGGTTGTGTTCTGTTAGCTGATTGATTTAATTCAGAAGCTTTCATTGTCCTTCGTAATTATGAATTCTTTTGACGATGATAAGCTTCTTTTGTTGATAAATTGACTAATATTCTCTTTAAGTACGACTCTTGTTGTTTAAACAAATGGGTCATTTAACTGTTTATCGGTACCTTGATTCATTTGGATGTTACAGTAAGTCATAAAGCTGAATATTTATATAATTAATAAACTAACCAGTCAGGTGGGTCTAAAAGATACATCCTCTCCACAGCCTGGACAGCACCAGCATAATCTTGACTTATAACACGTACTTCAAACAATGTGGCTACATCCCAATAATCATTGATTGTAGAAATATTCCCTTTTTGACCAACACGCAAATTCAATGTATTACCTGCATAATAATGGGAATAGAGGTCAAATAAGAGTAAGAATTACACTCTGTTGGAATGCTTTTAAACAAAAATGATGTAAATATCAAGTAGGCTTTAAAGCCTAATTTAATAAAATCTCCTGATTAACTTCACAAAGCATTCTAAATTCATATTAGGTCTGTTTGCATGATCTTCATCCAACCACTTACGAGTTTTAGTTTGAATGTTCCTTCTATGAAGAGAAAACAGTCTCTCAGTGCTACTGGCTGTTGCGCTTCTTTTTCTGCTAATACGAACTTCAACAGACGCATAAGGAATGATTATCATGAAATGTTTCAAGTGTAAACGGAAAAGCAGTTTATCATGACATTAAATTCCAGTTTCTGGAGAAAACAGCAACGACCACTTAAATGTGTGACTTTCCTTGGAAACGAGTGAAAACCACAAGATTTTTATCTGACCAACAACAGTAATTTAGGATTCAGTGAGTAGAACTTTCTATCACAAATGGTATCGTCTAAGAAAGCGATTTTACAAGACTTAGACATTTTTTTTATAAATTTTCAGCCTTAATACTGATGTTTTATAAACTGAGTACACTAATTTATGGTAAAAACGTTTTTGCACATCAATGACAACAACAGTACTGAATAACTTCAGTAATAGAGACAATGCATAAACCTTTTCTAAGATTACAATTCTCTAAAAATACTAAATTTTAAATTCACTGTTCTACTATACATTACTTCGATTCGTAGTAAACTCCTTTAAAACCTGTAATACATTGATAAAGCCCTGGGAAAAAACAAACTAGAGAGCTTATATTTACTTTTATCTCGTAAGACCCCCTTAAAATTAAAAAATTCTTTACATTACATACATCGTTAAATTATTTTATCTCATGTACTCATTGACCATGCATATTCAAAAACTAACTAAGTATTGTTCCATCCCATCTTATACTTGTTCCACAAAACATTTCTGATATGATTCTAATTTGCCTTTACTGGCTATTGTGGGCTAAAAGTTAATGGATTTACAATTTTGTAGCCTGTAGAAGTATTTATTGGAAACAGTTGTTCGCTCTATCTTTGTTCAAAAATTACTGTTGTGGTGTAGCGTGAAGACAAAAGAGTTTGACAGCAGTTTGAAATACAAATAAAATGAGAGCACAAACTTTTATAATGCTCTAATAGAAAATATGGATTTAAGAAAGGAGATAACTTAGAGCTGATTAGTGGAAACATCCTACATAACGAGAAAAATGAGCAGTGAATGACTTTGCACTCATGTGAGTGATCTTAGTCATGTTATTTAGAGTCTACAAACAGTACCTTTTGACATTTCAAAAAAACTTAAAACAGAAGTCAACACTTTTCTAATTTGGAAAGACTTAAGTTCATAGAGTTTACTCCTAGACACCACATTTTGATCTGGCAAAGCCTGTAATACATTTTTCGACAATATTGATCTATTAGAACTCACAACCTCGTCGGCTGACTCACTTTCGTTACCTCACACTCAACGTTACTTATCCTGTCTTACTAACAGATGTAAGCAATCAAATAGAATCACTGTGATTAAAAATCTAAACTTTTATATCTTTCAACCTAAGCGGTTGTACTTCACAGTAATGAATTGGAACACAATTGCTGTGATTTATGCAAGACATTGTGAACAGGAAAGAGATATCACACTGAAGCCGAAGATGACCTGACCAGACAAGCTTACAGCATTATTGCTGCAATTTCATGAGCAATAGGTTGATCAGGCTTAGAGCAACCCTCCACTCACCATCACTGAATTGGGTACTTGTGTCTGACATTATCTTACATTTGAGAGAGTTAAAAAAATGCCAGATACGCCTAAATCTTTGCTTAGAGTGTTTTGAAGGCTGCATGTTGTATCATATTATTCAAGACTATAGACGTGTAGTTTTCAACGGAAGATTTGATCTCTTACTTAGGGCCTTTGATGGTTACGAATTCTTTAAAACTATGTCGTGTCTCCGTGCATTATATGTTGCCTCATTTCCAGAAGTCAGGAATTTTCTACTACTACTCTGAAGCACTTTCATCGCAATACAGTCAAAACTTCTTCCTATTTCAAAGAATTACCTGAAAGACAACAGCTACGAAGTCGATATTTATGACTGTTTTATTAAAACGTGGAAAAAATGTACTCTTAGACCTACTGAATCGCTTCTATAATTTTGTACACGGTGTCACTATTTTAGTAAATTATTAAAGTTTCATCATTCTTGAAGGTTATTTCAGACACGTTATAATTGGCAGAAGGTGTCTTGAGAAAATACATTTTCTATTACCTTCGATTTCATAGCATGATTATGCTATTATTCCTTAAAATTCTTTTATTTAGCACACATCCAATCAACTTCCAGCTCCTAATTTTTAGCTCACTGAAATCATTCTCTTAACATAGATCAGTTTGGTTGAAGATGCAGAGACCTACAGAATTTCATCAATATCCAGTCCCTGATTAGTGACTATCTTGACTGTTTTCCCTAAGGCACATTTGATAGGGGGATGAGGACTTCAAGGATGTGCACAACTGCTTTGTCTATGTAAATGTTTGATAAGTCACCCCCGAAGTACGGACTAGGCATTTTCACAAGTAAAATGAATAGTTAACGTCTTCATTGTTGGTTTTTTTCTGCATTCAAAATGCGGGTTTCTGACCACATTATTTACATGAATTCACTTTCAGCTTGAGTCAGTGATGGCCACATCAGACATCTCTTCTTATAACCAGAAATATGTAACTTCCTGGATTAATGTGTAATAGGTGATCACAGTGACTGATTCGCCCTCATCCACTTCAGAAAAAATCTTGAAACCCTTTCTAAAATTCATTAGGATTCTTTAATTTAGCGCTTGAATCACATACCACTATAACGTAAGTTATATGCCTTAGTTTTAAGTTGAAAGTATGATTTTAGGAAGCCAAGAACAGTGTTTATTTGCTCAGCCTATTATCCGAAGTCGAATGTTCAGGAGAAACTGAAATAAAATTTATAGGAAAAATAACGCTACTGCACTCCATTTCTGTAGCACTTAGACTCCCCAACGGGTCATCGCCATATTGCCCAACTAACTTTTTGGAATGATTCCAGTGAGGGTAAGATTTATTTTTTTATAAAGTCTCACAGGGTTATACAGTAATATTTACTGATAACGTTTCGAGCACAATTTATTGCTCATAATCATATCGAGTTACTCACATAACATCCTAACTTCGTATATATAATTCCATTATTTCTCATCTCTTGATTTGATTGGTAGTAGTATTTTCCGTATTTCCGGTATTAGCGATGAGTCATTCCTATTGGACGTGTTGGGTCTAGATTCTGTAAATCTTTGTTCGAAAAGTCATCAGTAAATATTACTGTATAACACTGTAAGACTTTATCAAAATAAACTTTACCCACAATGGAAATGTGTTTTACCACAGTGCACAAGTTCTATCTTTATATTTTTGGAATGATAGCTTACTGAAATAGACACGGTCCATCACCATATCTAAGCGTCAGCTGTAGACCGAAATCATAACCACAGACCACTAAGTATTTTTGAAGTCTTATCAGACAAACTATCATAAAGCTCTGTCCCAGATGGCTGGAAAATTGATGGTAAATCAAACTAACAGAACTTAATGTTTATAAAAGCTAAAGAATATGGTAAGAAAGATTTCGTGCACAACCATCGATTAATTCCATTACCACTGGCAACAATATGCACTTGATTGATGTCTCATTACAAACGATTAAAATCATTCTAAGAAATACAAGTTTTTAATCATAGTTTTCTAGTTCAGGATTTTTCCCTGTACACTGTACTTTGTATATCACTTATAGAATGGTTGGTTGAATATACGACAGAATTTTCGCCAGTCTATTAATTCAATGACTGATGAAAACCTCTTACTTCATATCTCACCTTTCACTAAAGAACAAAGCATACGGGTTATTTGTCCCCACAGAAATTATATAGTACTGAGTCCAGGCAAGTGGTAGGTCTAAAAGATCTCAGTTTTTGTCACTAAATTTATATATGACTTTGAAATAGTAGAATATCACCTTATACTCTTTAATCTTAATAATTACCAATAGCCAAATAGTTTACTTTGAATATCTTATCATATTAACATTCTCTTATTTTATCACATTATTACAGTTGATAAATAACAGTGATCAAATACTACAATGTGGAAGGGAAGAGGTCAGTCGCAAACGAAAATCATCTCTATAAGAAAAAAAATGTCTTTCTCCATAAACATGCAATGCACTAGTTCGGCATTACGATTGCTGACTTTGTATCAATTTGTTTTAGTAAAGAATAATACAGCTTATTCAGTAAACTTTAAATTTACTTTCACAGTCGGTTTTCTACAGGTTTGTAATGTACAACTTTAAACACTATACTGCGCCTACTTCATTACAAAATAAATTATTCTTAAAATTGTTCTACATTAAGTGTTAGCAAGGAAGTTATACAGTCTTCTGTGAACTCAGCTGTGGTATGTGTAACCAGAAATACTACACGTTCATTTTGACATTTAATTTCAGTATATTTTACAGAGGCTCGATCACCCAAAGGCCTGATGTCTTTTAACAGTTATCAGGTGGAATAAAGTACTTGCAACAATTGATCAATGAGAGATAAAACTTCAGTTTTTCTTATCGTAAACCTACATATTTTACGCATTTCGGCGCTTGTTTCCAAATCCATTCCTTTTATAACTAAAAGGGTTGCAACATTCACAAGGAGGTATTCATTAGCATCAATTTTTAATCCTTCACGATATCCATGAATAGCCAGTTCTAAGGCTTCTTTATCTTCTCCACCAGAATCCATAAAGCGATCTTTTTGTATGCGACCAAAGAGACCATGCATATCCGCGGAAGGTGTACTACATGTTCTAAGGAGCTAAATGTTTCAAGCATTTAAAAAATGAAATAAAGTGAATGCATAAAAGTAATAATTAGTCTTATAATAATATGACGGATAAATTTATTTACGAAATCGCCTATAGACCACTGATATTAAGTGAAAGAGTAAGAACTGAAGTTGACGTACTTTAGTACTGATTATTGTAACTATTGAACTGCGCAATTCACCTAAGTCCGCCTAATATTCATTTTCGTAAAACAGGTTCCAGAAAAGAACGTTTCACCAAATTTATCACCTGTAAAGTGTTTCCATTTGTCAATAAAATTAATATCATGAAACTTACACTATCTCTTATTTCGATACTTTTGACACAACATTGTTGAGAGATAAAGTAATCAGGTCAATGTTATTAATGATCTAAGTTTAAAACTTGGGTACTGTGGCACAGTATAACTCCATTTCACTTTGATAAATCACCCAGTGCCATACAGTAATATTAATTGATGATGTTTCGAGCACAGTCATTTCAACTACATAGGTCGAATTAGTACATCAAGAGTAGTGAGATTATCAGAACATAAGAATTTAGCTAAGGTTAGAATGATTGATCCCACGAAGATAAGTAGTTTGGAAAAAATCTCAGCAATTGCACCGTATGCATTAACACATAATCACACAATAGGGACACAGTCAAAATTCTCAAAAGTAATATAGGTAGGTGGAGAGAGAGATTGATTACTGAATCCGGGTTCATCGAGTCTACACCCAACGCATGCAACAGAAATGACTCAACGCAAATATCAGAGATATGGAAGAGATTATTACCAGTCAAATCGGAGAATAACAAATAACGTTAGAATGTATTCACTTCACATTATAACATTCCAAGAAGTTACTTATTTTACTGCAAAAAACATCTTATTTCCCATCTGACTGTATTTGATTGATAGCATTATTTCTGAACGTACATTATTTTTTATATTGATTTTCATTGAAATGTCAAATCAATCCCACTCATGTATATAAATGAAGTAAATAAATTGTGTGAGTGACTTGATATGATTATGAGCAGCAATAGTTTGTGCTTGAAACGTCAACAGTTAATATTACTGTACAACACTGTGTGGTTTACCAATGTTGTTAACTCTACTTGGATCCATTTTTCTCAAATGGTGTTATCTTCAGGTCTACAATGAATTCGTCAATCAAAAGTAAGAATAAATCAATTTATTTGTACGACAGTGACTTGTTATTAGACCACTGTACTATATAACTAACTGAATTTTAAAAAAGTATGTCCCCCTGTGGACATGGACATTAAAAAGTTAAAATAAATATTCATGTTGTTGCATTCCTACCAGTTCTGTACAACTAATGGCTAATTATACTTACATAAAACAGTTCAAAAATTTACAAAATGATAGGAATGAATAGTATTTAAACTAAACCAAGTAACAATTCCAGACGTCGGGAAAAAAAATAATATCATCAGTTAATCGACACTGTTCTAGAGATAAGGTGAGTTACAATTAAAGCCGTAGTCAAACTGATTCCTTATAGAAACCAAGGGATGATATTTCTGAAGGCGATATAAGAGTTAGCTGTATCATCCATACTTTTTACTGAGATCTCTAACTAAGAGGGTAAAAACAATATCCAAGCTCCAAGCCAACCATTATTTTTAAGAAGCCTCATAAGTTACCTATCTAACTGCTGGAAAATCTAAACATCATCAAGAAAAAATCAGTAGTCTATTTATTACTACACTACTAATGCGGAAATTTCGAAAACATTTCCCATTTTACCGCCTTATATTAGACATTTCTTCTAAATTAACTAAACGAATTGCAGATGTGTTAACGAATTTTCTACGCTGATGGTTGAATCGCAAAGGTATTGAAAGGATTTGGACAACAGATAGAAGGAGAAATAGTTACAAAATATATGGAAATAACATTAAGCTTCGTCAAGACACATGCTTTTCTTATTCAGTAGATTTTACAACGCAAGCGCTAAGAGACAGACATCCAGTTCATGCATACTACATTCGTTTTCTATGCCTTCCAATTTCGCCCTGGTTTGAAACTTTGGTTTTGACGAATAATTTACCCTTCATAACGCAACCTGAAATCTTTATATGTTAATTACGGCATTTTATGTTTTCTGATAAAAGAGACCAGTTGCTTTTAAAATTGAAGGAATACAGTTGATATGGCGTTGAACAAAGTTAACCAGCTATTTTTTATGTTTAAATGAATTTCAATCAGGGATAATGATTCTGCTGCAGATCTGTGTAAGAACAATCATTTTAAAATGTTTTCATTAACCATTATGAACGCCTTGCTTATTTCTGTAAATGTTTACAATCAGTGAAAAAAACTACTATTCAATTAAGAAAGCATGGTTTCCTAAACACTTAATTATCCCAAAATATATTAATATATATGCAAATTAGTCAAAATTCCTATCTTCATCAATATACAAAGAAATGGAAATAAAATCGGGTATCAAGTATATTTGCTAAGATTCAAAAATTCGAGTAAATTTATGTGAACGTTCAAAAAACAGATCATTTATATTCATAGAAAAAGTTAAAGTAGTTTTACAGACCGAAGTACACGAAAAAAATACTCTGAAAAATTCTGTAGGTCATAATAAATATTTCCTTTTATTAGTCAGAATTGCATATGTTTCTTTAATCAAGCTAGGCATATATCGATTTTAATCATGTGATGTAGACGGAATGTTCAGAAAATGTATGTAAATTTCTTTCATTTTGTCTGAGATTATATGCAAAGAAAAGCAGAATGATATATAAGAAGAATGTCAGTTTCCTTACACGACACGATATGAAAAACTTGGTTTCATTTACTGTCAACAATAAACTACATATACAGGTATGCATTAACATATATTAATTATTTAATAAATTAAACTCAATATCCAGATTACGTATATTTAACTGACCACCTGCTTCTCTACATCAGAAAGAAATACTTGTATTATTGTGAAAATGTGTTGTTGTTTGTCAGAATACAGTTTCCATCATGCATTTTATAATGACTGAAAATGAGTCTGAATTACTTAGTTCAACTGCGATGTTAGTTAACAAGATGCCAACTCTATTGAAATACTGAAAATTCTTTCGTTTGTAACGTAAATCCAATGAATTTATTTTCCACTACTCAATTAATTATTCTGAGATGTAGGATATGAAGTACGCTTTCCTAAAGACATCAAATAATGCTATGTAATAAGTTCAAACGAAACCAGAAATAAGAATGCTACCGAAGTGATGTCTAGTGATTAACTTAAAAACCTAATAAGAAAATACCTTTAGTCTCATCAAAAGATATAATTGATTCAGACAAACAAATTTCATAGAAGTTTTACAACGTCAATCTTCATCACATCTGACTGTCTTCAAAAACGTCATACTTTTCATGTGTGTTTGTAAATACTTCATCTATATGAATACATGCACTATTACTACTAAAAGCAATTTCACATTCGGAAGAATAAATTTTCACAAGCACAGATTCCCATCACATCAGTTTTCATAAATGGTTTTCATTTTTGATGATTAAATATGAATGAATATGAGTTCATTGAAATACTATCTTTACATGTAACAGAAATGTTTCTATGTTAAATTAAATACTTCTAAGGTTTTTTCAATTGCTCATACAAATGAAAGTTAGTTTACAATACACAAGACTTAAATCTTCAAAATATATCAAAATAAAGACGACTAAAATATATGGTTTTAGTGGGATTGAAAATTTATTGCCAGTTAATAGGTATAACTGGCTCCATAATTTTCAGTTACTGCATAAAAATAAGTAAAATTAAAGTCAGTTTAAGTACACTAGTAATGCAAACATAGTGATTGGTGAAAAAATGCATCTGTTGCTGAGTGGAATATATATATATATATAATCCGTATTTGTCCAGTCTCAATAATAGTATTCTTAAAGTTACAGTTTACCTGAGATCCGCCTAATCGTCCATAAACCGAAAATATAAAGTTTTTGAACAAGGTAAAAATTTTGTTTTCCAAAATCTTTTCCACCAAGCTGTTTAGTTATATATTTATACAGTAAAATGGAGTACTTAAAGAAAACATAGTAAATCGATAGATATGGGTTGCTGCTGAGGCGTATGATGCATTAGTGGTTACTGAGGAAATATGTTACTTTCAAGATAGCATTTACCTCTCCAATCCTAAATCCCCAGACCCCAATCCTTCAGATGTTTATCAATAAATCTTCAAGTATATTCGTTTTTGTGAATAACGCTCGAAAAATTTAGACCGGATCTTACAATCTGTACGACACAGAGAATGAATGAATGAGACATCTTCCGTTATTCAAAATTTCTTAACAACTGCGAAGGATTTTTTGAGGAACTAATCCCTACAACCAACTGACATTCCTTCCCTTTAACATTGTATCTACACATTGACAATATCCAGTTGTCAAAAACGTGCCAGTCGTTGAGACTATCGACTTCATATGTAAAGAAGCTGAAGACATACCCATTCCAACATCGGAATTGAGGAAATTACTACTTTTATGTACTAAAAATGTCCAATTCCAATTCAACGGGCGTCTGTTCCGTCAAGTTGATGGTGTCGCAATGGGAAGCCCTTTGGGACCACCTTTCGCAGACTTATTCTTGTCACGCCTAGAAACCGGTACCTGCAGCAGCATATACAAGAAACAAATGTATACCTAAGATATGTTGATGACATTTTTATTGTCTGTGGAAGATATGTTGATAAAATTCAACTCATGCCATCCAAATCTCAATTTCACAGTAGAACACGAGGAAAACGATACTATTAAATTACTAGACGTTTTTCTGACCAAAATGAATGATGGCACAATCGAAAGATCTATATTTAGAAAGTCTTCATGGACAGGACAGTACATGCATTTCAAGAGCTTTGTTCCAATCCAGTACAAAAAGAACCTAGTCAGAACACTGTTCAATAGAGCACGAAAAATTTGTTCTGACAGTACTATTGAACACAAAATAAAATCTCTGAAGGATATTTTATCTAAGAATGGATATCCTGAGAAGTTCATTAATAAATACTCTAAAGAAACTACCCCCTGCAAAACAATTCAAACAGTTCCAAAGAAACCTGTCTATATCAATTTGCCATTCAAAGGAGATGACGTACAGGAAATAGTGAAACGAAGACTCGACAAAGCCATCAAGAGAACTTATTATGCTGCAAAACTTGTTATCCTTAACACCACCAAGCGAGTGCTTCAACAATCTGGGAAAGACCAGTCGCCAATCCTCGACACTTCAAACTGCATATATCAATTTGAGTGTGTTTGTGGCAGCAAATACATAGGTCGTACGGAAAGGCGATTGTCTACTCGCATGATGGAGCATTTGCCAAAATGGTTGAAAACAGCTGAGTGCAAAGTGCCAAAATCCTCAATAACAAAACATCTTGTGGATTACGGACATGATATCGACGCCATCAAGTCATTCACCATTGTCAGCAAACAAAGAAACAAGAAGATGCTTGCAATTGCAGAGGCTTGTGCAATTCGAATTTATAAACCAGCTCTCTGTATACAAAAGGAGATGGTCGTGACTCTGAATCTACCATGGTAATACGTTTTACTTATTATTCTCTACCTGTTATTACTATTATTCTACCTCTTCTTCTTACTATTATTGTTATTATTATTGTCATTATTATCATTCTTGATTCATCTAAAATTATGCTTTATCAGTAAGATTATCTTAACTCACTTCAACACTATTATTATTATTATAACTATTACTATTGATATTAGTCTGTTTGCAATTCTCGTTATATTCCCTAATGACTAATTGTTTATCTAAGTGATGTAATTGAAGCGTAATGCAATTTATCTTAATTTTGATCTCTCATACTCTCTCTCGCCTTATCTATTTGAACATGACCTGTAAAACATTCGCACGTGTATTTCTGCATGATTAATTCAATGTAGTTTGTTTACTTATCAGTCTTATATCTCCCAATGTAATTTCAAAAGTATATATATCCATGTATGTAGAGTATTCAGCTGATGAGTTCTACCGAAATTTGATGAATTCATTAAATCCTGCTTTGTTAACCTTTATTGCTTGTTTTAAATATCCAGTTAGTCTTTTTTAAAGCTCATCAGCCAGAAACTTATTACCAATACGACATATAGTGTCCACACATTTTACGAATATAGAAGATTTGATTACTTCTTTGAGAGACAATGCCCGAAGCATAGACGCTAGCCACCAGGTTGAAAATATCTTACACAACCTATCAACTAAGATTTATTAATGTTACTGTCAACGATTTCATCAAAATTAAGTATCAAGCTCTGGTGTACTTCATGCTTTTACACTTATTGAAAACTGAAATAATATACTTTATTATCTATGACTATTGAAACTCCTTCACAAAAGCAGTTAAATTAATTTTAAGTTTGATAAACTATACGTAGTATCTGTCGAGACCAATTCAAAAGCAGATAAATATGAACATAAGTTTAAAAATGTTACTCATTATTTGATAAAAGTCAGAAAATCACATACCTCCTCAGTTACAGCCAATGCAGCATCTCTATCTCCATTTCTATTTCGTCGGTGCAAGGCGAACGCGTAAAGATACTGGATCATGCAAACATTTAAGATATCTTGGTTTAACTTCAAAGCTTTTATTTCCTCTATTAACGTAACCATAGCATCGAAATCCTAAAAATCAAACAAAAATTAGTTGAGATCTCGAGTCAATTTTTTAAAGAAAATATCACCACAAATAACATATCGACATCAATATGGTGATTGCTTTAGGACTTTTATCAAGAATCTAAAAATGGGATAAGAATAAATAATTAGAGATCCAAAGGCAAAAAGCCCTACTAATTTTCCTCATAATTATAATAAATTCGATATCACATTATTATTTACATAATTATTATTCCCCTGGGTTCCGAGCAGAATATAAGGTTTCAATAACACATCTCCACTTTATTTTATTTTCTGCTACTCTCCTTAGCTGCCTAGCTCCACCACAGCCAATTATCTCAACTCTCCTCCTAACGCAATCTCCCCCATGTGACACTCGCACCGACGACCAACTCGGCCGTCGCTCCCCATCAGGATTCCAGTCGACCAATGACCTGCATTGCGCGCGATTTCATTCAACGACCTCACCAACGTGTTCCCGACCAATTCACTTCCACTTTCTCCTACATATTTGTTGAGCAATCCGCCCTTGGTTGGCTTGTTGTCAGTCAGAGTTCCTTGTTGCTAATTCTTTCTGACAAGCCGGCTGGCCATTTGATCTGCAGTATGGAGCAAGCCAGCCAGCCAGCCAGCGAAGGTGTCAGCTGTTGATGAAAGTCTGCAGCTGGCTGTTGAAAATCCTTTTCGTGACTGAAACTCAGTGCACATTTCTGACTTGTATAGAAGGAGTGACTGACTTCACTGATATTTGTGTTGAACAGAATCCGAATCTTTTTCTTGATGCTAGCTAGCTGAGTGCAGTGCGGAAGATTTCCAAACTGGTTTCAGATTGATGAAGATAAGCGTGTCTCGCCTTTCCGATACTAGCTTATTGGCTGGTTTCGACACTTTCTTCCGTGCCATGTGCCTGTGGTTGAAACCATGCACCCTGGACAGGTAAGTGAAGGAAGTAACCTCTGTCAAATTTCTCGCGGTGATGTGATTGGCGGTGGTTGTTGCTGCTTGGTCGTTGAAGTTGGTTAGTCGGTTGTCTTCATCACCTCCGTCTTCACTATGTCCACCTGGAGTCCTGTCTTTTCCACTTGATTCTTCTGACAGTTTGTTGGTTTACGCCTTCAAATCTTCCAGTTTGTCTGATATTCAACATAAATCATCCGCACGCGACATCCAGGTCTTCTGGAGTCTCCTTATCAGTTGTCCAGCGTATTCGCGTCTTCTCATTCGTAAGCACAGTCTGACGCATAATCCAGTCCATCACAATCAAGAATATCATCGTGGGTGGTAATGGGAAGGCAGCTTTGTCTTATTCTTGCATGCACTTCGAACTTCTCGCTGAGTTTTTCGTTGTGGATCACCTGACACGTGACATTGTCATATATCCAGCTATTGAATGAGGCTGATTAAGACTTGGCCACTGTTTTCCGTAGTGTTAGGGCAGTTTCTAAATTACTTCGCGGTCAACGCTGTCTGTCGATGGCCTCTTCGAAGTCGATGAATTTGAGGTAGAGACAGGTTTGACTGACGTTCTATGCTTTGTCCTATGATGGCGATGAGTAGAGTTGGAATTTGATCAGCGGATGATTTGGCTTTCCTGAATCCAGCTTGTTCTCCTTGGTGGGCTGGCGTTGTTCTGCATCCAGTGCATCTTTTATTCTCTTTAGGATTGGGTGACTTAGTATTTTACTTGGAGTGGACAAGAGGATTATTCCGCTCCATATCTTGTAGAGACGTAATTCACAATTCTTTTGTAGCTTGACAAGGTAGCCTTTCTTTCGATTGGTAGGTACCTCTCCTTCCTTCCAGACGTTTAGCAATAATGGCGTGAGCACATCTCCTGCAGTCTATGGGTCTGGCACTGCATAAAATAGTCTGTATATTCAACTTCATAACATTCTTTTCTAAATATACTGTGTGGCATAAAAGACAATTGTACATAAGTGTAATCAGTGATGTAATGATATACTGTGATTTATTTGTAAGCCTAATACAGATTGATTGCGCCTACAGTACTTGATTAAGTCGCTAATCCACAGATGATAATAATATGCATCCATCAACGTAGTTTTAAATGACACATAATACGTACCTCGCATTGTCGATAAGACAGCAAAAGATTAAGAATAACTTCTGAAGACAACATTCCTGGATAATCCAGTCTACGACGCATTATTCTAAGACGCTGAAAGGAAATAGTAATCAAAGCTTCTTAATTAAGAGTGATATAACTTATTAGCTTCAAATTCATGCAATAAATTTAGATCTCCAGTAAAATTTACGAACGGAGATTATTATGTTGATTTAATGAAACTGAGAAGAAACTTTTCATGAATTCATAAAGATGCAATTTATCTCATTATATAACTCCTATGTTTTCAGGCAACAGAAACCATATTTTTTGACGTTTTTAGGCATCACCAGCAACGATTACTACTACATCTGTTTTCAAGTAATTTTAGTCTACACTGAATAGCTGGTGCCATGGAAAACCAGTCCACAATCAGATTACGATTTCAATATCATGTAAAATATGCTGAGCTTTGATTAAACAGTATTATAAATTTCCATTCATTAAATGACTCAAACCATGTTGAAAATTTTCTACAGATTTATTTAAGAAAGCATTCTATTATAGGTTTCCAGACCGTAGGTGTTACGAACTTTACAAATCAACTGTAGAAGAATGAACACAACATCAATTTGACATTATCAAGTATTGGTTTTGTAGGGATTTTGTTTGATTGCAGGGAGGATTTAATCATGAGCTGACATCAGTTAGAGAACCACTGGAAAACCTGGGAGTACTGAACAGCTGTTTCGTCCTAGTTTGGGACTCTTCATCAGTACGCACCCACTGGGGTTCTAACCCAGGATCTTCTGGTTACAAGGTGAGCTCGTAGACCGTTGAGCCACTGGGACCCGATCCAATGGTCCTTGAATTCTAACTTCTGCCAATTCACGACATAGCGCGACCACTTCGCAATGTCTTCTTCGATGAGTTACTGCCTCATCTTCAACCTGCTGTACCCTATTCAGGCAGTTAACCTGGGGTTCTAGTGGGAAGCCGTGACCAGTAGGGTACATCAGGTTGAAGATGAGGCAGTAACTCATCGAAGAAGACATTGCGAAGTGGTCGCGCTATGTCGTGAATTGGCAGAAGTTAGAATTCAAGGACCATTGGATCGGGTCCCAGTGGCTCAACGGTCTACGAGCTCACCTTGTAACCAGAAGATCCTGGGTTAGAACCCCAGTGGGTGCGTACTGATGAAGAGTCCCAAACTAGGACGAAACAGCTGTTCAGTACTCCCAGGTTTTCCAGTGGTTCTCTAACTGATGTCAGCTCATGATTAAATCCTCCCTGCAATCAATTTGACATTAGTCATTACATATATATGTGAGGACTGCTTACTTATTTCTATTGGTAAAAATGTTCATGGACAAATGACCTTCGAATAAACTGACTTCAATTTATGTCAACATTTTTGACTATATTTTTTGATGAATAATAAAAGTCCGAATAAATCTGCTGAAGAAGCTCTGGCTTACACTGCGAAACGTTTAGAAAAAATCTTCTTTTGATTTTCTTAACTCGCTGGGATTAATTTAAATAATTTATAATAAAGCATTCTTTTGTTTTAAGAAAAGAACTTGTGTACTGTGGTAGAGTATAATTCCATTGTGGGTATGGTATGCTTACGAGCAATGAATTATGCTCGAAACGTCATCAGTAAATATTACTGTATAACACTGTGAGACTTTATCAAAATAAATTATACCCACAATGGAATTCTTGTTTCATTTATTTCAAAAACAAAATTGCGATATTCCACCTTATTTACTAATGGTCTACTTCCTTGAGTAAAATATGTTACGAGGAAAATTACAAACGAATTGATGAAATGAATATATAAGTATAAGGAGAGTGTATTTCCTGACACGTCACTGATCCCATTTTATCTCTGAAAATCAACCACAATTTGAATCTAAATAGTCAAACTGCCCGAGGTACTTATTTTAGTGGTAGAAAAGTTCAAGTCCACAGCATCAAAGCTTATCGTCACTGTTTTCACTTTTAAAGGAAATACAGTTCTCAAATATTCAAATATCTAGAGCTATGGTGGCTCGATAATTTCAGATTGAGTTTACTTTTAATAGGATTTTATAGGAAAAGTGAACCAGAGACTCATAAAAAACGTTTTATTGTTAAGGAATACATGGAGAATTCTCTCAGTTATAATAAATTTCTTTACTAACATATTAGTAAGATATAGCGAATTAGTAAGGCAAAAAAATTGATGTGTTAAAAAAATACATGGTTACCTAACCACTCATGTAGCTTGTTTCAGAGACATTCTGCCCTGGATTTTCATACAATTCACTGCATCTAGCCAAGTGAAAATGTTATTTTAGCTTAAGTCACTCCATTAGTATATCACATGTTGAAAGCAGTGCTGAAAGCTCGCATTAGTATAAACATCATTTCATTATTTGATTCTGAAAGCCTGTCACAAAAAATATTGGAACATTTGGTAAATCAACTTAATTTATCTGCCTTGATAGATACTACATGGGATTCTCCGTTGCCAAGTGTAAGGTGACACTTCAGGACTAGTCTGATGAAAAGACTGTTAGTTTAAGGTTGGGAGTTAATAGTTTGAACATGTCGACCACTTAACTTATTTGTGAGTTTGAGCCAGCCCTACTAGACTGATTGCTGACGAAATCTCAGTACGGGTACAAAAGGCTGGTGGGTCATTTGCCAGCCTCTCCCATCTTTGTCTCAGGTATGAATCCCGGTTTCGCAGCAAGATACGTCTTTGCTGTGTAACCGTTAGCTTCAACCTTCTTTGCAGCTGAAACGAATTATGTTCTTCCCCTTAACAGTGAAGATGGGCGTAGCGTGTCAGGTTGGGGTGGAAAATCAATCGATGAGGTTGTAAAGCTGCACAGATCGTGATGGCTAAGACATGACTTACTCATACCGAACCATAGTCTTCTTCGTCAGACCGACATCAGTCAAACGGAAACATTTGGTCAGTCCATAATTAGCTTGACTGTTGGTTTCGGCCACTTATGCATGTGTAAACTGCCTGTTTGGAGTTCTCAAGATGCTAACAATCAGTGGCTTTAGACTATTGCTGAAGTAGTTTAAAAGTAGTTTTCAGTGAAATAAATGCATTCACCCGTTGTGATTCTCTACATCCATTAAACCCTCATTAATGCCCATGGAATTATTCCTTCTCCGGAAACTTTTGTTCTGTTATAATTTATTTGCTTTTCTGTCTACCTTTGTGTGCTTTATAAAGTGTAGAAACCTAAACTGCCGCACTTTGTTCAATTTTTGGCACTGGAAACTCAGCTCAATACAGTTCAGTACTGTTATCGCAGAGTACACATACTTATTTCATTATCTGTCTGTTAGCCTTAAGAAATATCTAACCAACTGAAATGATTCCAATGACATAATAACTGGCCACTGAATTAAAGATAGGCAGTTGTTTCATAATATCACAAATTACTCATGTTATAAACTAGTACACGATAAAGACATACAGTATAGATCGATAAATTTGCTGGAAAACTAATGTGTTAAGTAAAATTATTCTTGATAAAGTAGTAAATTTACCTCTCGAAGTTCTTGGCCTTTGTACAGATCGCGATCCCTCCTGAGATCATCAATAAACTTCTCTTTCAGTGGAGCGCTTTAAAAAATTTTACAATAAATAAATATGTTAATGTACTGTTCGAGTTAAAAGGTAATATTGTAGAATGACAATCTTTCAGTCCTCAACCTCTAGCAAAGTGATTACACGGTACAAATTTAGTTTTGAACTTCTTTCAATTAAGCATCACTCTGAGAAAAACACACGTGGCACTCCTATAGATTAATCTATTCCGTACATCAATCCATTATTACTTTGATTGAAGAGTGACTTACCCTTTAAAAATTAAAAAATGAAATTTTGCAGCTAATCACTAACTACCTTTATGAAATCTTTATTTGTTATTCCTAAATAAAAGTGGTTTATTTTGAAAAAATTTCTTACAGCGTCTGAAAGTTATTGCTTTAACTTTCTGAATTCCACAGGAGGCTTGCATTTCCTTCTTTAGTGTGTAATGACCCAGGTTTCGCAACTAAGAGAATTGCTTTTTGGTTTAAAGTCATTCGTTTCCTCCTTGATCACTATTTTAATGTTTTGAAAAGTGTCAATCTGGGCAAAATAGACACTATGCAGTGGGTTGAGCAACTGAGTGGCATTTTTAAGTGATCTTATAAGACTTCTTTGCTTTTACCAGCTTCATTGGAATGGTGTCCCAAAAGGCCGAAAATCTCAAGCAGAAAATAAAAGACAATTCACCAAAGAAACTTCTCTTTATCATTGAAATTGTCTTCAGTGGACAAAAGTTGTATTTATATTTATCAAAAACGTAGTTTTCTATTACTGAGTAACAGGGAGGTGACATAATCTATTCAACGACTTAAAAGTAGTTTCTGAAGAAAAAATCACCTTACAGTCAACGACACAAGTGAAGTAAGGACTTGAAATTTGGTAAAGTAAAAATCCTTATTGGATGAGAATCAAGGTAGGTGAGTGTCCACTTGACAAAGGAGAAGACGGTGAGAAAAAAATCTAGTATAATGTACAAAAGGAAAGTGCAAGAGTGGTAATGGTGAATTACTTATTAGAAATAGAATTGAAAGATTCGGATCATGGTCGAAAAGCAGACTGAACAAACCTTTTCTGCACACAGAGTTCCTAGTTATGTTGACGAGTCTCTGGCTCCTCCTCCATACACAAACGCCGTGACTCAAAACCACTTGTGCCTTTTATGTCTCTCCTTTTAAATAATTTTAGGAGATTCTTTTGGATCTGTATGGCCTAAAATATACAGCCACTATAGGATTGAGCTTGTACTGTCCTCGGGATCACTATTCAAGCTAATGTTCAGAGATTCGTTTCAGAAGTATGCTTTTGTGTGGGCAATGTAACTACCTTACTTCTCATCGAGTAACAGTTTTCTCCTTACCAATTTTCAAACCGATGCCTCCATTGAGTCGTTGACTATAAAATGATGCTTCTTTGGAGACTTGATAAGGACTTACTGAAAGCTACTTCACTTTAGCGACAGCAGCAGTTCACATATGGGAAACCCCAGTCATTTTCATCCCTCAACAATTGTTATGCCCATGCTGTTGCAGCTAAATAGTCATGCAGTAAGAAAACACGGGTTGATGGAAAATACTCGACACTCTAGATGTAGTTTGATTCATTTTGACGGGACTTTCAGTGACATCTTAGTGAAAGTGTTTGATTCGTATCAAAAACTGAGGTGCAAAAATATGTTAAGGTGATATTCATCATACAGTCCTAGAGTTCCAGAACTGTGACCTCACAGGCTCATGATCGATAAGAATCTGTCAGTGACGTGAAACAGAACAAATAAATTAATTTCAGGACAAACAATATGTCCACACAAAACCATTATTTTCCGGTATACGGAATCAAGTTCCATGCAAACAAATCTGTGAAGAGTGCAGATTTAATGTTTGGAAAATTTCGGAACAAAAAATAACACTTTCCATTTGCACACTTATAATTATTTATCCAAATCAGGTGTCTGTTTATCTTTTATGTAGGTTTTTCTGGACGCACATTACAGCATGGATACTGAGCAAATAAAGGTGCTTTGTCTGACTCCCTCATTCATTCTCTACAGCTTTTGCTAACTTTTATTTTTGGGAAACTTACGAGTAAGATCTTGCCACGTTCCAATAATTGCCAGTCACTAGTTTACCAGTAGGGAATTGTCATCAGTACAATTCATAGTCTTGTTTCACATTAAAACATTACTTAGGTTTGCATCAATTAGACCAAACTATATCTTCAAGTGACTGATTTGTCTAGTAAATTCTGGTATATTATAACTGCAATATGCCTTTAGGCTGTGCATTTTACTTGACAATTTTTCTTCGTAATACTTTTCCAAAACAACCATTCTTTGAACCTATGCATGTTTTCTTACTGTCTCACAAACTTTAATGATAGACACAACCAAAAATAGAATGAGACCCTAAATGAGCTAAGAGAAACCTAAATAATATACCTCACCACTCCTTGAAGTCAAGCAAAATATTTGCAAGTGACATTTGAAAGAGTAGCACAAGCCTACAACCTTCGTCTCAATGAAGTTCTTATTGTGGCTAACCATCTTTTAAAGATAAATATATTTATTTTTTATCATATCAGAACAATTAAGGCACTTATTGGTATACACTTGTTTACTCCGTCAAAATTCGCTTATGATCAGTGTTTCAGTATTATAACGACTGTCGCTTTTCATATGACTATTAGACAAAATAGTGGTGGGTATTTTCATTGCAGTTTTGCTGACGTTTCTTCAACAGAATTCTCACTAAAAATAATCGCAGTCGCTAGTAGGATAATGTCAAAATACTTTTATTTTAGAAAACGGATGCTTAGAGCACATCCCCCATTTATATCCTCAATTCCTTCTTTTCGAACTACGTAATATCTTGTAGAACTAAATAAATTGTTATTTATCATAAATGAGTCTGTAAAAATGGTGGAAATGAAGTTGTTGTGAGACATTAAGCGATCATAAGTTTCGGGTTCAAAACGTTCGGCCAATACAAATACGTAACCTTACGTATTAGACGTAATTAAGACTAAGGGGGCTTGAAAGACCGCCAGATAAAGTCGACAGGGCAGAACACACCAAAGGCCATACATTTTATGGAATGTGTTCGTGTTAAACTTATAGAAACGTGCATCTTACCAATTACTAGTCCCTAATGACCCTAACATTATGATACCTCAAGTAAAGAATAGACATGAATAAGTGAATAAGCTCAAATTAAAACCGTTATGTTAAAACACATGTCAAGCATGAAGGCCAGTTAAGGAGAGGACAAAAACATCGCAACATTAAATCTGTTTTCCACTAAATCTGTTAAGTTGTTTGAACAGTTTTTGGTTTCTAATACTGTGAAGATAAAAAGGAAGAGAAACTTAATGTACATATCTGATTACGAATAATCAAGAACAGTATATGGATTCTCGCATTTGTTTGATTTTGTACCCAATCAACAAGTGATGGCTTTCATTTTTTAAGGTTCCCCTAGTGCAAATACACTGATTACGAACGACGTCAGTGAGTAAGATCTATTCTATAATACATGAGCATAGGAAAAACTAAAATTATGCATCTCTCTAATATACTTCATTGGATCAAATGACCAAATCCTCAAAACAATTCTCATAGTATTTATAATTACATACCGGTTTCCACTGCTCATTTCCGACAAAATTTCCTCAAGTTCAACTGAAAGTCGTCTCAAATCAGCACATATTTGATTTTTAAGAATTTCGTTATCAATCAGTGCGTTCTGAAGGCACATATCTTCCAACAAGACAGCGAATCCGCTTTCATTAATGACATATGGAAGGAGTTTTGTTTTACGACTTAAGAAACCCTAAAACCTGTTATTTACTTATAAATGCATACGCGAAGATCGTCAACTGATATGTAGCTTGATAAATTAACGATGACTATGTTGTCAAATAATCTCAGGCTTTCTCGAACACCTAGTTGATAGTTCAGTGTTCCCTGTTGAGTCTGAAACAAATGATGTCATGATATTTAGATTCCAACCTTATCACTCATATCCACAATTAAGACGTCTGAGTTGTACACGAAGTCGAGAGTTTCAGTAAGTCCATGAGATACTTCTTCATAAGACAGGAATCGTACAGTTGCCTGAACACTTCATTTAGAGTGAGAACGTGATCAATTTTGCCCACTTTTTACACGCAACACAAACTTCTTCCATAGCCTTGTGTTGGTCAAAATGGATATTCAAACTGCTCCTGTCTTCCGAAATACATGTTACTAACATATTGGAAACGGACAAATTTTTCGAAGAACCCCAACGACCAAGAGTACAACAAATATTGTTCTTCAGGCACTAAAACAAACAAGAAGAAAAATGAGAGGTGATAGGAAAACTATGAGAAATTTACCATCAAAAACTAGCTATTTAATGTGAAATGACTTTCATTCATCTAAATTTATTTCTTATCTGTAATTATTTGAGTTTTATGACCTGTCTGGTTATATGCGAAGCTTTCGTCATCCTTCTTTTTATTATTTTTTTTTATTTTTGATTTACAGCTTGATTCCACACTGTATTTTCGGTACAAGTATGGAATTTTCAGCATGGATATCGGTAGCCCAAATTTTGCAGGCCGACCATAGATATCAGGTGTGCGTCGGTGCGGGCTCGAACATCTTCAGCTCAAATTTCGCCATCGAGAACTTGCTAAAATTTCCTCTGATTTCAAATTATCCACCTGAGCTACAAATCTATTTTATTATTTGTTACTTATTGTTGAGAATACTAGAAGCAGCTCAGTGTATTTTATTGTAGAAGTAAGTGGAGCAGTGTTCCGCTCCATTGTAGGGTTTTTGGATTCTTTGAGTTGGCTGGTAGTTTTCAGAAAGGTTTTCCTTTTCGCTACACTTCACTACAGAAGATGTCCTTACGCATTGCTTAGGTCTGTCGAATGCATTGTGAACATATATTCCAGTGGGGTTTTCGGGGTAATCAGTTTTTCTCCTTGATATTGACAGTGTCATGTTGAAAGGTTGTCACGCACCAGACAGAGTTCAAAATTCACAGGCTCTTAAGTTGGCACCTCTTTGTATGGATGAATACGACTGTTCAGGACTTTAATAACTGATGTGATACAACGTTGGTCTTTAAATACTGATATACCATGGTATGTATCCAGCCAGCAGTGTCATTTGTTGTAAAACATAAAATAGAACTGCTTGTTGCATCCAATTTGTGTGTCAGAAGTGGGCTGTGACTTTTTCCTACAAATATATGGGCTAAATGACTTCCATATGGAGGTCACGTGTCAGTACAGAACGGCAGGGCGGAAAACAGCATAAAAATTTTTAAGGTTGAATCCCAACATTCGGAAGCTTTGCAATGAAAGCAACTGACGGCTCTAACCAGACATGTAACTCTGGGATACTGTCACCTCCATACGAAGCAGACCAAACTTGCCATTCTGGTGTTTCATTCCTACCACATGCACCGCAAGTGAACGGTCTAATAGTACAATACTTCTTTTATACAAGCACTCCAACCGTTGTATCTTCACTCACTCATTGACCAGTGTACATCCCTGGACCTAGGCTCATTTCATTCAAACATGAGGGTACTGAGACCTTAACGCTTCCTATGTACCAGAAACGCCAATCAATTAGGCCATAAATTTATGAGCGATATAGATTCCTTTCTCTACCTTTGGCTGGTTAAAGTTTCCTGCTGTGATCTTAGAGTGGTTTGTTCCTTTGGCATCTTTTCTTAAATTTCAGTATTAACTGGGAATAATCAGACATTTATAAGACTAGGCAGAAACTGAAGCTCAGATTTATGCTAGCGTCCAATCAACTTTCTCGACAGGGATCTTCATTTCATTATTGAGCACTTAGACAAGGTAATAAGCTGCCTCTACGGCAATGGAAGTGGAATACTCAAACTTAAATTCCTGATAAAAGAACGTGTCCATGTATAGAACGGAATGACCCTGCATTATTACTCAGCCAAATAAGATAATTCGATAATATTTACTGATAATAACCTTGACGAAATTCGGAACCCTTGGATTCAGGCAAACTTTCTTCTGTCTACATCAGAGTGCGTCAGTAATCTTACACCTGGCGATGGGCAGAAAACATTATTTTAAACGCTCAGTTATACTGATTACGTCTCGTGGATAAACATTAGGCATTAAGAGAAGCGTCCATTTAAAAGTGATGCAATTTTTAAGCCCCAATAGGTTAATAAGTCCACCTTAGCTGTCACATTTTCCAACACCTGCAGCTGGCCCGAAATTCTTTTTAGGTGAAATACTGCCTTAGTTCCCGGAATTCAACTGTGGCAAGACTCCACTCATTTTCCTTACGACGTTTAATATAAGGTGTCTGTTGAGAGACGTCTTATATACTGTCTGTTCACCAAGTCATGCATTCAGACAATTGTTGTTCCATTGGTTTCCCCACGCTATTGAAGATTTTCGATGAATGTCGTTTTAACAGTCAAGCTCCAGACATTGTATCTTGTTAGTTTACATTTACTGCTGATTTTTGGAAGAGCAGAGGAGTCATAGTTACGCCGATCAGTGGTGAGTATCGCAACCGAAGTTCCATATCTACCTTAAAAATCCTTTATAAGTTGGATTAGGATGGTAGCAGTCTGGTTGGGGGCAAGAAACAGTCAATGTGTGTTTTGGGCCAATCAGTATGTATAATCACATAAAAATCGGTAATGTTATCTCTGTTTTGGCTGGCAACATAAGGAACCCAGAAACCTAAACATTGCGCAAGGAACAGGCCATGCGAAATGTTTAAAAGCTTCAAATCGTTCGCCACTAACTTTCTAGTGAACCACTTTCTCCTATTATTACAAATTATTATAATTATACAGTAGAATCTGTTATCTGAGTGCCTATTCTTCAGTTACTGAATAAATTATCCTGATTACAGCATCGGACGCAAATGCTCTCAGCAGCTAAGTTGTTCTCCACTTTTACACACAATTTCGGAATAATTTTTGAAGGGATATCTGCTTGTTATGATCGATTCAACTATTCTGTTCCTTCTAACTTCAAGTATCTTCGGTAAAACTGGTTGCCAGTGGCCTCACATAATATGTTTCTGATGTAAGCTAACCGTTGTGGAATAACAGGAATGCTTCATAATTGTCGACATCTCCTTCTCAATGAAAGAAACGAGTTATGCTCTGTGCTGCCAATTTTCCTAACATAACGAAATTAACCTTATCGCAAATTCGCTTTGCCGTTTTGCTTCCATATGACGTATTGAATAGGGTCTTAAGTTTCTCACTGTTTCTGAACTCCGAGATGTTTGTTAGAATGCCAGTGAATTTAGTACTCGTTGAAGTCATTTTGAACGTATATATTCAAGATCACTCTCAAATTTGTTAACTAATAGTCATCTGTCTTTTCTCATTTTTGGAGTAAGTGCGGTATGCATTTTGCCTTGCCTGAGGCTGCGACGCGTCGCTAAAACAGCCCTATTAGTGCATAGGCTAGTAGTGCTCATCGTCTAATTGATCTAAAAACTTCTCATAATGGTACACTCGTTCTGGAAAGCATTTTTTATGCATTTGGAGCCAGTCGACAGAGGACTTTGGACCTAAATTTAGTGCTTGTCGGCAGTCATTAGCAAGGCGTATCTGCGATCCTGAAAGGACTCATGTCCCCTAAGAAATTGTCACCTCGGCCACCTAGTTCTGTCTTTAAATAACAAAAATTCAGACTGCACTGTGATAGCAAGCCACCTAGTATGGCGGTCACACCATAAATGTGACTGGTGGAAGTCAGCCCGTGCTGAACGAACTGGACTCATAAAACTAGTTATTAACTACTATCTAAACAAAAAGCAGTACTCTTCTACACGGTAAATATTCGACAGCATATCACCTGACACGTTGTTATTCTGTCTGGACGATTCCTCAACTTCACTCAATACTGATCCTTCATGAATGCAAACTTTACAGACCCTACGTACGCTAGGCTATGAAAACAATGCAAATGTCAAAGTACAAGCATGGCTACTGCCGATCAAACGCTGATCCTACATATCATCGCACGGAATATTCGCACTCTCATAGGATCAGCAGATTAACCGTTATGAAACTTTCATGTCAAAAAGGTATACTGACAAAATATAAGACATGTATAAATAAAGGCGTTAACAGAAAAGGCCGTTTTCTTTTCGACTATTCACTTTCATAAACTGTACAATCGTAATTATGCTTAATTTAGGCCAATCAAATATTGGTAAAATTTGTCATCGAAAGCGTGTTATGCAATGTAATGTGTAGTTTGGAAGGGGTGACTAAGTGGAATTTGGAAACTGCATGGAAGCTGGGCTGGCGTAATAAGTGTGATAAAACGGCTTATCAGCGTAGTAGTGCGGAGTGAGAAGTGCTACTCTGACCACTAAAATTTCGCTTCCTCTTATCATATCAGTTTAGTATCGTTATTCTCACCATCCTTATTTTATTATCACTCTGCTATTGTTTATTAGTAACGCCGAGTTTTCATACTGATTTTTAAAACACTTTATTGTCTTTCCACTATTTCTTGTCCACTCTGCACAACTACACTGATAAGTCGTTTTGTCACACTTACTACGCCAGCCCAACTTCCGTGCATTTTCCAAATTCCACTTAGTTATCCGTTCTAAACTACACATTACATTACATAACACGTTTTCGGTGACAAAATTTACCAATATTTGATTGGTCTAAATTAAGCATAATTACGACTGTACAGCTTATAAATGTGAGTCGTCAAGAAGAAAGTTTTCTTCGCTGATAACATCCTTTTCTTTTGACTCAGTATGAGCATATTTCATTCACGTGTATGAAACCCATACCAAAATTTTGTGTGCCACTATATTACTGCCATTGAAAATCTAATGCCTCCGGCCACCTCCTAAGTATTGAAAAATTACGAGTGCAACAACTGTGTAGGTGGGATTTGAACATAGATTTACCACCTACGAATCATGGCAACAGCCCTAATTTCCAACACGGCATCCTTTCCCACATCATAAAGTTTTATTCTGCACAACCAGCAGCGTGTGAACGTCTTATTTCCAACTGAACTGAATCGCCTGCGGAAGTCACTATGGTATTGCGAAAATTCTGAATTCAGTCTGAAGCACACTGGCAGTATCCCCCTACTTACTTGAGCATTCTCATCATTTTGTAGTCTTTACTTTTTACTCAGAACCTATATCATTTTATTTTAAAATTTGCACATGTTTTGAACTTGAACTTCACCATTTGCCGGG